CTAAAGTGGGCTCCGTGGCTTGAGGCTTTTAAGCTCCTGGTAAAGCATGGCGCTTCTGTGCACGAAGTTAACCGCGACAAGACCTTGAGTATGCTAAATATCAACTATCTATTCGGAGACGAACAAACTATGGACTACTTCAGGATCCTTCTATTAGAGGGCTATATCTACTGGGAGACGGCTGATAAATCCGCTTAGTCGGCGGTTTTTACGGCTATCAGAACGAGGAAAAATTCTTTGTAAGCCTTGCAATTTCTGGTTAGAAATGGCGTCAATATGAGCAGAGTCTTTGATGATGGTAGGTCACTACTTTATCTAGCTGCGGAGCTTGCCGATGATGTGGAAGTTCTCGAGTATCTCTGCACTCAGGGATGTCTGGATGATCGTGACAGGCAGGATATGTGGGGTTGGACACCTTTATATTACAGTATTATTGCTGTTTATCTGCGCAACAGTCCAGATATACTCCAGAAGGTTCGATTCCTTCTGTCAAAAGGTGCGGATGTTAATATTAAGGGGAGGGTACAAGAAATCTTTTACTTAGAGAGAATGCCCGCTGATGAGTTTACACCTGGTGAGATGTGCCGAGCCTTGAGTCTTTCTCTGTATAGGAAATTTGAAGGTGAAGCCAGGATAGCGGGGTTGCTTTTGGAAGAGGTTAATGAAGGGACCGATAATCTCAGCTAGTAGGCTGGCTCGAGTATAATAATGTCAACCAAAATCGGTACTCTATGCACTATCTCCTGATATACACGGAGAAGCAAACGAGCTTATTGACGTTACGACACTTTCGTACGGGATCTCTATGTAATCCTGTCGGATCAGGCTACTCTGAGATTACAACACTCGGGTACCCCGGCAATTATGTACGCTCAAGGGTATTTCAACCCCCCTGAGCTCCTTAATTTATGTTCTTTCTCGAATTCAGAATCATATCTTTACTTCAATCAAAATAAATTCTTCTCCTTTCTGATTCCGTCGCTCTGATTGGCCAATCCTTAGTACTCCATAACTGTGTAGTCATTGACAAATAAGATTGTTAAGAAATTGAAATCAGGATTAGAAGATTCCGTGTAGTATATAGGCTTCGGTCACTCTACCTACCGCATTGCGGTTGAATATAAGCTTCTATTCGATTGTGTAGCGGACGTATCTTCGAGGGTCCTTATTGTATATGCCACTATCCTATTCGGCAAATGGTAGAAAATTGAGTTGATCCGACTACGGCTGATCTGTGGCACGATACAGTACGGGGCAGGACTATGTAGGAGAGTACAAGATTGCGGGCGTGCTACCGAGGTACCAGGAGTGGGGGCACACTGCCAATTTCCTATAGGTCGACAATCTGGGGTTGATCTGCATTTTTCACAAAAAGAGCTCTGGGTTATCCCAAACATCACTCTTTACTTGCTATGCTAGGTCGCCTAGAGCTGTATTCCGTAAAGGGTAGCCAGGAATGCATGATGCCCAATGAAGACCCGAAGCCGCCATATGGCGATAAGCGATAGTGATCACAAAACAGAACTTACTGTCAAGCCTTGCCTATCAACTTGACCCAAGATGGACACCCAGGGCAGTGTCAGACCCTCTGTGGTGAAGCAACTAAAGGATGGAGGAGGGAAGTTGACAGATTGCTAACTGTCGCTGGTTTGCTTAGTTTTGCATGGAGCCTTCTTGTCGAGAAGTTCTCGAAGTTCTCGTCATCCACGCTTCAGGAACTTGTATCGATACAGCTGGGGTACAAGATCAGGTAATATTACAATGTATATTCATAACTCGTAATTAACGCTATTCCACATTGGGTTTCTCTGACGATGTGATTAGGGTTTGAAAGAGTATCTCTCTGTTTCCAGATATGGAAGGCAAAAACAGGCGGCACTGTACCTTACCTTCTTACGTTCCGAATCTTTGTCCCGCTCCCCAAAATGCTTAAAATCTAGAAAGAGGAACTTCGCAAATGCCTCAGCTATAAACCGGCTGACTCGACTGATCACACAATCAAGATCTTTACGACCTATGTAGAAGGTTATGAATAAGACTAAATCCAGTTTCGGGCAACTGTTTATCTCTAGTCTTAATCTAGAGGATGTGCAGATGATGATCAGTCTCGAGCCCACTCTTAAGGACCGGAGCTTAGAGCCGTGACTGCTATTACGATACCACCGGAGCTTAGTACGTGATCCTGGAATCAAATAAGGAACACAGCACGTTACTACTGAAGCAAGCTGACGCCCTAGGAATGATCGATCGCGCTACATCTAGAAGTCTACTAAGAAAGGCTATTATCCGACTAATGGTCGATATACTGTTTATTTATGCTCACGATATTGTCACCTCGAGAAATTCGACCGCTGCTCGTTCTCTTTGCTTGCAGGTGGAGAGGCAATAGGGCTACGGTCTAGTGGTACGAGATAACCGACGTCACAGACTAGTTAGGGAGCCGGATTATGCAGTTTGGTATGGCGAGATCGAGGAAACCGGCGTGAATGTCGTTATTGTGGAAGCGAAGAGAAGACAATACGCATCGACTGGCCTACCACAGTGTCTGGCCTATATGGGTAAGTACCTTATCATATTTCTACTGTGATTGAAATTTAACTCTCTCCTAGTAGGCGTATATAGGTTACGGAAAGAGTCTGGCAAGGAGGACTGCGCTATCTATGGCATCGCTTCAGACGACTGAGAATTCACCTTCCTTGAAATTAATAACAAATTTAAGGTATGTTGCTATATGATCTTTAATAGAAATAGGCATCTCGGTCTAATTACTAAATAATGGTCCGAACGCCATCTCCAAGCCCCGACTAGAGACTACAATGAGGTTCTAGGTTTGCTCGTCCATTGTTTCCAGCAGTCAGCGACGATGTCGCCTACTTATTCGAAGGAGCCGTCTCGACATACTTATATCAAGGAGATCTCCGGATCTATAGTTTATTCATTAGCGGATGGAGATGTCTATATAGGTGATGCGTCGCTTTGATCCGTTTGATTTCTATTTTACCCTGCCTCTCTCTAGCTACTTAGGTAAGGTTAATCGGCTTTTATTAGTTACACAACTATTGAATAATAATTGTAAACGAGGAATTGAAGTTAGATAAGAGATGAAATGGATGTGTAGTAATATAGAGACAAACAAAAACATATCACAATTAGTCACAAGTCGTAGGAAACATAAATACTTAGTCGTAGATCGGCGCGCGACGCAGTGACGAAGGATTACATGCAACATCGTGGTCAACGTAGTCAGTATATACCACTTAGTCGCGGAACCCCGAGCAGGGCTCGTTTAGCGAGAAGTCCTCTAGGGGAATCCGATACCACTAAACGAGCGTGGCCGATTATGCCTACTACCGCTACTACTAGGCCAACTACTATTAGTGCCGGCTACTTTGCCTACCTCGCCGGGCATCTCCCTGCTCTAGGTTATACCGGTAGCGTGAGGCATAGCGCGTGGCGGAGGTATTACAGTATACTACAGGGATTCTAGTGTAGGTGCCGGAACGGATCTATCGAAGATCGGTACTGAATTCGCTATAATAAATAGGGGAACCTCCCAAATACCAAGCTTCCGCTAAGTAAAATACGTGTAGATAGATTAGTTAGTTCCGAGCGACCTGATTAGCTTAGATAGAGAGGTAGGAAGGCAGCCACAGAGCTCCAGCACCCTTCCCCTCTCTCTTCTCTCTAATCTCATTATTCGCTACGGATTGCACTCTTTTTCTAAAGACTATGTCCTTGTCACAATACTACATAAATAATATAGATGCGATAACTCTCTATGTTTGCACTATTAGGTACCTAATAGGTTAGCATAGGTTACCCACTCGACCCAAGTGAGTTCTATCGATTGTGCCGCAGTCAAGCCAAGAACTAGAGATAGGGACAGGCTTATTAAGGCTTAGTGCACGCTTATAACTAGTCGCCCTCTGTACGTGGCAGGACGACCCGTCTGATTTCTGAATTACTGAAGTCGCTCAGCTTTACTATATTACAGGCATAAGCCAGCATTGGGTCGTTTTTCTTCATAGTTACGGTCGACTTGAGGCAAGAGAGTAAAGTTAAGAAGATAGAAGAGAAATGGAAGAGATGGAAGGAGAAAGGACGGACAGGAGGGGCAGCAAGGAAAGCAACAAAGTAGTGTCTGTTCTCACCCCGCGAATAGCTTCCTCTCATTACAAAGGGCCTTTACGCGTTTTGGGGTTAGGCTTCACCTCTCTAAGTGAAGAATATTCATGTGGGTGAACTGCCACCCAAAGCCGCCTGCCACCCAATGGTGGGTGCTAGGTGAGCATCACCATAGTATGGCTGTTGTATGTTTTTGTTTTGAAGTTTTTGTGAATTAGTAGAGAGAGCTAGTTGATCAATCTGAAAATACCACGGAAGTTTGACTCTATTATTTTAAAAGTCTCTGGTTTTTGTGATTTTTCGCTAAGTGTTTGCTCTCAAGTTTGTTATTCACGACACGATTTCCTCGAAACACGCGTTCCCGCTCGGCGGACTACAACTTGGTTCAAGTACTGGATGGGACCCATACTAAGGAGCGACTTAACATTCTAACATCGTAATTTTTGCCCTCCATCGCAGCCACTTATCTGAATTAAAGTAAGATTTGCTGTGTCTGGTCTTTATTCCCGGGTGTCATTCAGTGTCATCCAATGTCATCCGGCTTGCATGCCCCTCCTGCGTCCCCGAACTTCGGGGAACGAATATCGGGAACAACCTCACGATAATTCCTGGCATCGCCACCAGGGGTAATAAAGTCTGGTCGGGAACAGTCGGCGCCGATTGGATTAGACCCCTTGGATTGCATAATGTAGGGCAGAGGCCTGACATGATGACAGCCTATCCTGCACAATGATAGTTCACCGTGTCGGTAGGCAGAAATATATAGTGCACAGACATTAATCGAAAACCTAGTATTCATAACGATCTAACGCCTGTTTTCCTGAGAGACACAGCGACTAGTAGAACAACCGAGGCAATAGACAATCACCGAGAGCATGGATATCCTCATCGTGGGCGCTGGAATCGCTGGTCTCGGCGCCGGAGTTGCTCTACGCAGGGCAGGTCACAGAGTGACGGTGGGCACCTCCCTCGATTCCAGGAATCCCGTATCGACAAGACGACTCAATTTCTAACATGCCGCTAAAATACAGATTCTCGAACAATCCTCGTTGATGCATGAAGTTGGCGCGGCCATCACCATCAAGCCCAATGCTTCACGCGTCCTTAAGTCGTGGGACTTCGTCCCCGAGCGGTCTGGTATGGTAGCCCTGCGCGGAATGAGCCTAATCGACGGTACCAACATGAAAACGCTCGTGCCTACCTATTACAAAGACTGCGAATCGAACTGGGGACTGCCTATGTATGCTGTTCACCGGGTTGATTTGCACACCCAGTTGAGAGAGCTTGCCACCCAAGTAGAGGGGCCAGGACGACCCTGTGAAGTACGAGTGCGGGCCAAAGTGGTCGATTACGATGCTAAGAACGGAAAAGTGACAACCGAAGCTGGTGAGGTCCTGCAAGCTGATCTTGTTGTTGCGGCTGATGGAGTACACTCAACGGCCGTCAAGCATGTTCTCGAAGACGACCAGATTGTTCAGGCCGGGGACACCGGTTGGGCGTGTATGCGGTGGCTGGTTCCGAGAGATGAGATTCTCGCAGATCCGGAGACTGCACACATGATTGTAGACTCGGCTACGAGATACTTCACGGCAGCTGAGGGTGCCGCTGGTTTGGTGTGGTATCCGTGCAGAAAGTAAGTCTTGTTGTGTATGCCCTTCTATATTCCTGAATCGCGATGTTGTCCAACCACGCCGATGGTTGACAATGTGCTGACTTTATGTGTGTGAAATTTGTAGCAATGAAGTCCAGAATTTCCTGTACCTCTCGCGGGAGTTCAATACCTCCCACGTCGGAGAAGGTAATTGGTGGGCTGGTTCCTGACGAGCTGAGGCACTGACGACTGATGCTGCGAACTAGATTTCCGAGCTATGGTGGAACCGAGCATGGCCCTGGAATATGCTGAAAAACACTTTGCCCCTGAGCTACACACCGTAATCAGGTGAGTTATCACTAAAATACTAAATCATTCATTTGCTCATCCCCGACAGGAAAGCAAGAGATGTCAAGTTCTGGAAGCTAGTAGCTAGAGGACCGATTCCTAAGTGGCACAAAGGCCGCCTGGTCCTAATCGGAGACGCAGCTCATCCTATGCTCACCTGTAAGTCTCGAAAGAAAGAGCCACTTTATGTTGCGGTTGGTAACAATAATACAGTCCAGGGCCAAGGTGGCGGACAAGCCATCGAAGACGGTGCCGCCCTCGGCATCTTGCTCGATCAGATTCATGACCCAGATGCAATCGAGGAAAGACTACAACTATTCGAGCAGGTCCGCCGAAACAGAGGATCAGCTCTCCAAATCTTGTCCAACACAAACCCGCCGGCATCACAGAGCGTTCGCGATGCTGCCGCCGCGTATCTCCCTGCTGGCACGAGGTTGGATTCCACCGACGACATCAACGACTATGTCTTTTCGTTTGATGTGATTGGGGAATGTAAGGCTGTGCTTGCCACTGCGTAGAGTTGTAGTTAGAGAGAGAAATTTGATAATGGGGCCGATTAAGATCACAAGAGATCCAGTGATAAGACTCGTTACTCCAGCTAGGTTATGAAAATTAGAATCAATCGTGGATTAGATCATGCAGAATTCAATGACAGCGTAATGAAAGTACATAGGATTGAAGCTATTAGGATACAGTAACATTCCATAAATTCAGCTACGTATGAAGCAGGTGATGGTTTCCTAGCCAATGATAGTGCGATAAAGACTGCTCCTGTTCAGAAATGGGGTAAAAGAGAGTTTCAAAGTCAGTTGTTCGCCCCCTGACTAATGTGAGAATTAGTGTCTCTGCTGGTCGTTTTCATGAGTGTCACCTTGCTCAGACTGTAATTTCGCACAGCCCTTGCGGCACATGACTTTGCCTGTACATCGCGGAAACAAAACGCATATTTCTATATCAATCTGTATATGTATTCACAATCTGGTCTATATAAAACAAAATCTACACACGCTAATTCGAAGAGAAATAAGCCAAGGCGTTCTCCATCTTCTCCTGGAGAAGTTGGACGTGCCCAGGCATAGGCAGCTCGAAATGATCACCATTAACAGAAAAAGTCTTCACCTCTCCACCGGTGTACTTCTCCCACCCATTGGGACCGAGGTTCTCCTGGCCCTTGTTGGGCACATGGCAGGCAAAAGTACCCAGTTTGGGATCCTCCATGAAGCCCGGGTAAGGCTTAGTCGGCACACCCTGAGCCTCCAGCTTCTGAATGTGAGCTGGATCATCCGATACGCGATTGATCAAGCCTCGCTCCGCCCAAATGACAGCCGTTTTGGCGGGCCGCTCGGATGCTGTCATCGGCGCCGGCGAGTACTCATTCATGGCGAAGAAGAACTGACGCATATGTTCGCGACGGGCTCCGAGGGCACTCCACTGTCCATCTCGGTTGACTATTCCCTCCAGAACGGCGTCACTGGTGTCAGCCTCAGCGAGTAGCTTGCCTTGGTCAATTGCCCGAGGACGAGGGCACGGCATGTCAATCAAGAGGAGGCCCTTGACTGTGCGCCCGGCCTGGGCCAGCTGGCGGGACATCTCAAAGGCAACAAAGCAGCCGACAGAGTATCCTCCAATCATCAAAGGACCAGTAGACTGCGCCTTAAGTAGCGCATCGACGACCAGCTTGGCAACACCATCGATGCCGACCTTGCTGTTCATGCGAGAGGGGCAACGGAGGAAGGGCGAGTCGATGCCGTAGACGACCTGATTGGACCCGAAGGGGCGCAAATGAATGAAGGACGCGACCGTACCGGTTCCATCGGTCATCATGTACAGCGGAGTGCTGCCGGCTTCAGGGCGGCCCTGTAGGAGGGTAATTCTGACACTAGGAAGAGGCGACGTGTCTGTGTCAAACCCCGGTGATAGAACCGACGGCTCCTCCTTCTCCACGTTGTACAGACTTGACGCTGGCGAGGTAGGGGTGAAAGGGGTGAACGGGGCGGCCGGCGTCATGCCATCTTCATCACCACTGGAAGGCGTGTCGCTGCTATCATTGGCGTCCGAGTCGTCTGGGTTACCACCTCCAAAGACGCGACGAAGGTCACCGATTGTGTGATAATCGAAAACAAAGGAGGCGGGCAAATCGACACCCTTCTCAGTAACGGCAGCAACGACCTCAATGGCCATGATGGAATCAACACCGATATCGGCAATCTCTGCGTCGTCAGTGAACTCGGAAGGATCACTTCCAGTTGCTGCGATGAGGCTTTCGAGAATAATCTGGAATGCCCGTGAGTTTGCAGTCTCCGGTTCTTTAGCCTTTTGCTGTGCTTTGCTCTGTTTGATAGGAACTGTGGCCATAGCAGCAGACAAATTCTCATGGGTCATTTTCTTTTCCTTGACAGGAGGCAGGGATACCGACTTGGGAGCTGCATGCTGGGGCCCTGTACCAACAGCATGTGGTCTTGTGCTGAGAATGTGGCGCCAAGTGGCCCTCTTGAACTGCTGGTATCGCAGGTCAGTGGACAGCATAACAATCTTCCACGTCTCCGGGTCGAAGACGTAGGCTGAGCAGAAAGCTGTGGTGCCTTCCCATCGTGAGATGTGCGTGTACGTCATGTACTCCTTGTCAGCCTTAACAGGCGCGAGCTGCTCGATACTGTCGTAGCCCATGAGAGCATAGGTCAATGGCTGCGGCGTATTTGGGTTACCGTTCACCATGAAGCCCGCCAGATGCAACAAGGCCTCACCCCAATATGGCGATGCCGTGAATCGGGTGCCGGTCGGGTCGGGTTTGATTTTGATCGTCGCAGCGGCCTCCTGATAGTCGCCCGCAACGTACGCCTCTTGAACGCCACGGAAGTCGGGCGAGAACTCGACTGCATTAGCGAACAGCGCGAAGAAAACATCGGGTTGCATGCGGTGACCTGAGCCATCCTTAGACAGTCGAATTCGCTCCTCCATCTTGGCCTTGATGAAGAAAGAGACTCGGTCCAAATCGGCCTGAGACTTCTCGGGGATTCGATATTTGACTACCACTGATCCGAGATCGAAGGTCTCGCCGGTTTTGGAAGTGGCCTTGAAAGTGGCCAGGACGACTTCAGACGAGGCGCTCTCCATGGTGGCCGTGGTTACCAAGTCGCCATCAACGCCAACAAGATCGCGAGTGAGCGGCGCGAGCAGATGGGGCTCGTGGAAGGTAAGATGAGAAGCTGTCACGCCAGTCTTGCCGCCACTATACTCGAACGCATACTTGGCCACTGTCGCAGCGGCGTCGCAGAAGACAGTGCCGGAAGCGAGACCGATTTGCTGCATCCTGTGACCATCAATCACGCCCATGAAGCCATGGTCAGAAAGACCAGCTCGGAAGGTGACTTTAACCTGTCCTTCAGGTGTAATGGTCTTGTTAACGAGGTACTGGGCCGTCGAGGTAAGGAAAGGCTCTGGTGCAGTTGCCATGGCTGGAGCAGAAGCAGGGACCATTGCGCCGTTGTTCTTGTCAGTGTGTGTGATCCAGTAATTCTTGACATCCCATGCATATGTTGGGAGAGTCAGCAGCTCGAGCTTGCTCTCGTATGGGGCGTGCAAGGCAAGCCAGTCCACGTCAATGCCGCTGGTGTAGGCTGCCACGAGAGTCTTGGAGATGATTGCCCAGTTGCTGTTGTTTGCGTCGATAGTGTGATTGATTCTAGCCGCTGGCGGCGAGAGTGTAGATCGAACAAACGAGGTGCACACTGGACCGGGGCCAATCTCGATCCAGAGAGGATCATCATTCTTAAGTGCGGACTTGACAGCGTTGAGGCCCCCGGAGAAGTCGACTGCTTGGCGCGTCTGGCGTACGAGGTAGTCTTCACTGAAGACGCCCGGTACATCAACCACAGATGCAAGCAAGGTCGACGCCACGGGAATCTTGGGCGGCAGATATGTCACGCCACTGGCGAGAGCCTTGTACTCGGGTAAGATGGCGTCCATCTGGAAGGAGTGGAACGCGAACGGGACAGGGAGCATCTTAGTGCGTAGATTGGTGTCCTGGACAGTCATACTTGTTTGCATGCGTGCCAGGTCCTCGGCCGTTCCACTGATGACGGTGGCCGTGGGGCCGTTGATGCAGGCCACTCCACAAGTAGTCTCCCCAAGCCGGGCGAGGTGCTCTCGCACGGTTGCCACGGGTGCCGAAACGGAGAGCATAGCCCAAGAGTTAAGCTCGCATCGCTCGAGGAGAAGCAGGGCACGCTGGCCGACGAGGTACAGCGTGTCCGTCAGCGAGAGGACTCCTGCCGCGTGCAGGGCTGCGTACTCGCCCAGACTGTGGCCCATGACCATGGATGGCTCGATCCCTGCCGAGGATCTCCAGAAGGCAGTCAAGGCAATCTCCAGTGCGACAACGGCGAGCTGGACCTGCGCAGCGTTCTTGGTAGATAAGTCAACGTTATCGGTGGTGATTATGTCCAGGAATGCCGGGAACTGGTGAGAAGCACAGATGGCCGCGCAAAGGTCGACGGTCTTGCGGAAAACGGGGCTTGTATGGTACAGCTCGCTGCCCATGCCTGCATAGTGGGAGCCCTGACCAGTGAAGGCGAAGACAACGGGAGGAGCGGATGATTTCTTGGCTGAGTTGCTGGTGCGTTGGATCTCAGCCTCGAGCTTCGAGACGGCGTCTTGTAGTGTTGAAGCCGCAATCGCGAATCTGAAAGGGTGGTGCACTTTTCGAGCAGTTGTCGAGTAGGCTACATCTTGCATCCGGGCATTGGGGTTCGCACGGAGCCACTCCGCGAGTCGACGCATGTTGGCAAGGTGAGATGCAGGTGTCCTGGCTGAACTGGCGATGACATGACTCGATCGGACGTCAAGCTCCTGTCGCTTGGTGAGACTGGCTTGGTCTTGCTTGTACTCTTCGATGAGGACGCTTGCGTTGCCACCCTAGAGACATAGGATACCGAACGTTAGCGTAATGATCCTTGCAAGAGAAATGGATGAATAGAGCAGGGACATAGTAGGTAAACATACAGCCGCGTCGAAGTTGTTAATTAGAATGCGCCTGGGCTTCCCATCCGCCGACTTGAACTCGGTTGGCTTGGTGGGAATCATAACGCTGGGATCGTCTCCGAGAATCTCCAGCACGTTAGGGTTCATAGCATGTGGCATGCCAGCCTGAGGCGGGATAATTCCCTTCTGAAGCATGAGAATGCTCTTGAGAATTGAGGACATACCAGCAGCCTGAGGTAAAATATCGCATATCAGTATGAATTGCCATTCGTTAACCAGCCTACTCCTGGTGCTGATTTCAGGAACTTACCGCTTCAGAATGGCCGATATTTGCCTTGATGGCTCCGACTGGCAGAGGCTTGCCGCTCGGTCTCGGCAGGAAGACCCTGGAGACTGCTCCCATCTCGGCCTTGTCACCAACCTGGGTCCCGGTACCATGCATTTCGATGTACGAGACATCATCGGGGTTCACTCGTGCGTTCCGGAGGACCTTCTTGAAGAGACTCTCCTGCGCGTTGGCATCAGAAGTTGTGATGGAAGTCGCGTTTCCAGAGTGGTTTCTGGCCGACGAGGCAATGACGGCCAGGATATTGTCATTATGAGCAACGGCGTCTTCAAGTCGCTTCAGGACGAGGGCACCGCTGAAGTCAGCACGGCAGTATCCGTCTGCGTCGTCACGGTAAGTCTTGCAGCCACCTGTTTCAGATAACACACCAGCCTTGCTCAGGAAGGTAAAGGAATGGGGATCAGACAAGATGGTCGTGGCACCTGCAACAGCCATGTCGACATCTCTTGACAACAGACTCATGCATGCCAGGTGGATGGCCGAGGTAGAGCCCGCGCAGGCCGAGTCGAGTGCGTATGTTGGGCCTTCCCACTTCATCTGGAAAGCCAATCGGCCAGGGCCAAAGGCACGTTGGATGCCCTGTAGTGTATAGGCATCACATCCCAGCGCATGATGGCTGACCTTGAGCCAGTCATCGAAACTCTGCGCGAAGAAGACAGCGGTCTTGTTAGGATCAGTCGTCTTTGTCTGGCCTGCGGAGTATCCGGCCGTCTCCAGAGCCTCATATGCGCTCATAAGGAAGTGTCGGTGAACCGGCTCCATCAAAAGCGCCTCACGCGGCGAGATCTGGAAGAACTTGGCGTCAAAGTGGCCGGGATTCTTGATGAAGCATCCGTGTCTACATGTCATGGTGCACTTGCCAGAGCTGTGCTTGGTGCAGTAGTACTCATCCAAGTCCATCCGCTCAGCTGGAATTTCTTGATGACAGTCTTGGCCGGTGACGATAACGTTCCAGAACTCGTCCATGTCCTCGCTGCCGGGCCCCTTGCCCGACATTCCCACGATCGCGATGGCGCCCTCTCGGAGGCCTACGCCTTCATTGGAAGCTGATGATGACTGCAGGCCGTCTTCGATGGATACCTGTCTTGTTGCTTTGAGAACACCATTGATGTACGCTGAGTGGCCACTGGGGCCCATCATCTTAACCTCGACATGCTCTGACGACGTGCCGAGGTAGGTATTAAGCTTTCCAACAATCTTGACGAGATCCAGGCGTTGTGACAGTGTTTGCAAAGCCGCAACTCTCAGCAGATGGCCCCAGCTGGAGTAGGTTGTGCTAGCGTCGTCGTCGGTCATGCCCCATACCTTAAAGCCTGGGCGAAGAGGCGTTTCCAAGAGAGCCGAGTTCCCGACAACGTAGTCCATGTCGGATTCAGAGACATCGAGAGTGTGCTGCAAGCCGCGGATACCGGCTATCTTGTGATTGGGGAGATTCTTCAATTCAGGGAATTGGGTGAAGATGAGCTCCAAGACTGAAGGTGGTCCAATGATGGTGTTCCAGCGGTCTCCCGTGAAGCCAACCTTGGCTCTCTTGGAAGAGGGAATGCCCTAAGCACCAGTTTGATTAGATTAGTCTGTCTCAAATCAAGATTGATCGACTCTCCCAGGACTTGCATGGTCCCGATGCTTCGATCTCGTGATAAGAATAAAGACTTACCACGTCATCTTGGAATTGCTTGAGCTTCCTTTCGAGCTCATCCAACGAGATACCCAAGATAGCCCAGCCCCAAACTCCAGGGCGGTCCTCCCGGGTTCTTGCCCGCCCAAACATTAGACTGCAGACTCGAACCCATACCCGGCCGGCCTCGATAGAGGAATCGTACAGAATGTTGAAATTCGTTGCGATTGGTACGGAAACAGCGTTCCAGAGACCGGCAGAGATACCAACTAGATGTGTTTCGGGCCTACCTTCGTCACCTGGGTGGAGCAATAGTGGCTCGCGGTTGGCAGTCCTTCGAAATGGGAGATTCAGGTTAGAGAAAAGGCAGTATTGGAGAGGGAAGAAGACCTACTCTAATAGCAGAACCGCTCTAACGGTATATAGTAGCATGGCATGGACAAGGCCAGCCTGATCGCTCGAACGACGATATTTCTGAGCGAGCTCTTGGAAATTTGAAGCATGTCCAAAGCTCTCTTGTAAAAAGCCATCCATGTTTCTCACCTCGGCCTTGAAGGCAGAGAACAGATCGTTCAAGAAGGATTGGAGCCATGGCGTCGTTGTGGCCTGGTCAAAGACATAGTCCATGCCATCAACCCATGAGTCTGTGAGGTCTCCAAAAAGGAGGACGGTGGGAGGAGTTGAGCCCATTGTTATTGCTGTTGTTTGCCTTCTCTAATTGTATAGATAGACCTTGGGGCGATGATGAATCGCTACAGACAGTGGAAACAATGGACAGTCAAAGACACATCTTATGTTTATGCAACTGCATTGACACCCTCTCAGCCTAGCACAGAGCGCGTAATCTAACGTGATCTTGTTCCCGATCATGGTTGGGCTGATAACGGCCTCGCCGTACCCGAATGTCTGTCCGAAACGGCTGCGTCCCCGATCCTCCCTGATAACCCTTGTTTCACCGAGATATTATGTCAGCTAAGCAACTCCCGCGTGGAGTAAGGTTCCTTTCGGGAATTTCACTTAACCAGGGTGAGGTACTTTTGCCCTTGTACATCAACGCCTCACTGTCAAGTTGCCATCCCGAATGGAGTTCAATACCCAGAGATCGCTTGTACTGCCCAAGTGAGGAACATTGAGGAAGTTGAACGTATTCCCCCGGTCATGACTTGCGGCCTGAGACATAAATACGACGTGGATTTCAGGAGCAAAGTGCGGTCTTGGAATATTCATGTCATGTAGCCCTTTCCCTACATCAGTAACCAGCATCCGTAACCAGAATGAGTGGTTTGAGTTAGAAATTGAGAGTATTCAGTTTGAGTAGAATTCCGTGCTTAAGATTGCTCATTCCCTGTCGCCCGTGGATGGAATAGAGAGCAAGTGATGTCATCAGGGGCATTAGATATTTTGAGCCGCCACACCCGAAGACGAAAAATCATACACAAGTGTTGCCCCAAGGCATCTCGAATGCCACTGGACCCTGCATCCCCCCGTGCACTGCTGGCGAAGCTTTCGCTTGGCTTTGCTTTGCTGGTGCATAGCGCCCTGTGTGCTAGGTGGCGGGGCGAAGAACTCGACTAGCTTCAGCCCGAGGAAGTGAAATTTTTGAGGGCTCACTTAAAAGATTTGCAACCAATATGCTCTAGTTGCATCGTGTACACATTTTTTTTCGGTAGGAATCGGCATATCGTCCATATTTTGATTGTGTATTGAGGATCTCCCGTCGCGTAACTTGAAGAGAAAACTCGAGGCTCCATATTGAATTTTAAGTTGGGAAAGACAAATAAAAGTTAAGTAGAGATGAGCGAAAATATGGAAATCTTTGAAAATTGTCAAGTACTCCACTGCTGCAAGTAAGAAGGTGGGAAAATTGGAATGGAAGCTGTGTTGTTGTGACATGAGGTTGATCTACGTCACGTGAGCGGGAGGATCTGGCGATTCTCCAATACGAGGAGTGGCGTCTTCCTAACAACAAATTCTGGTCAAGAGATCGCGAAAAACTATATCCTGAGATTCGCTACCTATACACACGCACACTTTAGTGTGGCGGGTATATGTGGGCTCTATATAGAGGAGAAGAAAATATGGGCAGTACAGGCTGCAGGCAGCAAGTGTGCTCAGAACGACTAATTACATAGCATGGATCGCGCGCCCAATCCGCCTGACTGGGGTGGGTAAACAACCCGAGCTTCATGACACGACCCAAAAGTACCTGCAGGTCTCACGGTCCCCGCTGGTGATGACACCTTAAATACCCGCATCAGTCTGCTTGAATGGCGCGGTTGGCTCCCACTCGTGCCAGGCCTTGCAAATGGGGTCAAGTTCCTTGGCCCAGTCACCGCCAATCGGCTTGGGAATCTTGTCCGCCGACTCCAAGACAGTCGCTCCGAAGCCCTGGCTGCTGTGCCAGGTAATGTGGCAGTGCAGAGCCCAGACACCAGGGTTGTCCAGGGGCCACGCGATGGCAAGGTATCCGTTACTGGGCATGGTGGCCGTGTCACGGCGAGGCGGGTTCTTGAACTGCCATCCGTACGTTCTTCCAGTCCATTGCTCGTAACCGGTGGAGAGGATGAGGAAGTCGTGGCCGTGGAGATGGATGGGGTGGGAGATACCGGTGAAGGGCGTCTTGTCTTCAATGACCAGAACCACCCATTCCACCTCGTCACGACGAAGGGAGCTCTTCGCCGTCGCGTTGGATCCAACCTGGAAAATGTTGTCGGTTGCGGGAATGGCCTTCAGGTCTCCGTTGATCACGTCTCCGAGTGCCGGGTTCGACCAGTTCACCCACATGAAGGATCCCTCGTTGACCCACCAGCGGAGGTAGGTGTTGTTGTCAACCCACTCGGGTCCAATGGTCTCGGTCTGGATGCCGGCGACGACATTTGCCAGGTCCAAATCGACAGGAACCCAGGGCTCCAAGTTGGAGGGCTGCTCGTCCACGCAGAGATCCCATGCGATGATTGCACCATCCACGCTTGCGCTGGTCGGGTCCGCGGTGCTTGACTTGTCGTATCTCACAATGGCGCTAATGTTGTTTGCGCCGGCGCCGTTGGGAATACACAACGGCTGGAAACCACTGCGCAGCCAGTAATCGGCCGGAGGTGCGTTCGCCTCGACAATAACGTCGTATCGCTGGCCCATGTCGATGAAAATGCTCTTGGTCTGGTATGGCACGATAGGCACGAAGTCCATGGCGATAACCGTCAAAGTGTGGTTGTCAATGCTGAATTGAACCCAATCCTCCTCTGCGACGTTGAGAAGTCGAAGACGATATTTCTTGCCCTGCTCAAAGTGCAACTCGAACTTCTTGCCATCGCTCAGGCAGTTGGGGTCAGCCTTGGTCGCGTTGAGCGCCGTGCAGTTGCCGGTGCCCATGCCGTTGATCAGACCAGTGTCAGAACCGTTGAAGGTAACGTTGAAGTTGGCGACAGTGGCCCAGTGCAGGTCGGCTGTTTCATGGTCCCAGTCTGTGATGAAGACGGCCCCGAGATCCTCGTCGTAGTCGGCCGTGGCAGGACCGTTGATGATCAGCGGTCCGTACAGACCATTGCTGTATTGGAAGCTGAAGTGGCTGTGGTACCAAGTTGTGCCGTACTGGTCGGCGTGGAAGCGGTACGTCATGCTTGTCCCAGGTGCAATAGGGCATTGCGTGACACCGGGTGTTCCATCATTAGCATTGTTGTTGAGCTGGCGCACACCGTGCCAGTGGATAGACGAGCCGTTGGTCTTGATGTTGTTGGTGACATGGACGACAATCTCGTCTCCCCAGTTGGCCACGATGGCTGGGCCGGGCATAGTTCCGTTGGCCGTCAGACATTTGCGCAGGTACCCGTCTGGGGCACAGTCGATCTCCTCAAGGTTCAACCAGTACTCGACAGTGTGGTTGGTGTAAAAGACCGTGTCGTAGTAATTGGTGTTGATGTCGTGCTCACCCCAGCATTGACGGGACTTGGGGCCGTTTTTGCATCCTGGGGTCAGGTTGGTTTTGCGAGGAGTAGCCCCTGGGCCAAGGGGGGCAGGGATCGATGCAGCCGATACCCCTGTTGCTGCAAGGGCAAGCAGGGAGAGGAAAGAAAGCCCTACCATAGCTACGAGCAGCAATTGACTTTCTACTCAGACAGGGAACTGTTCGAGGAAGCTTGAAGTCTTTGAACCAAGGACACGAGAAAAGTCCGGGTGCCCCCCGTTGTTTTCTAGCTCTTCTACTAATGAGCTGTTCCTAATCGTGACTCCTTTCACATCTCACGATCTATGCTGCCCGATATGAGAAATGCGGGCATGTAGTTCGTATATTGTTCGGGGATGTACTTCGGGGATCAGCTGACATGAGCACCATTCGGGTACGTAGGTACTCGGCGAAAGCCATCTTCGGGGTGGCATGCAAGATGGATGCCAAGAGTGAAACCTACACACCACAAATAGAATAATAGTTTGTGCTAGGAGGTGGGAAAAAATGTCGTCGTTCTAAGCGAGAGGTCCTTGAATGCTGCGATGCTTGAGTCTGCTGTTCTCGCCTTAGTCGATGAAAGCTCACTTCAATTTAAATAGCGACACCTACTATCCGTATCCAGTATAGCGTGATACATAGTGCCACCAATCAAAGGCAGAACATCAAACCAATTGCGTTCGTCCTACTAAGTAGGCGATTCTCCATCAAGGCCATCGATTGCAAGGAGAGTATGCCTTCCGGGGTGGTCGTTCTTCCTTGTCAGTTGGCGGGAGCTTCTTGGCTGCGAATGGATCCATGGTAAATCGCCAGCTCGAATGTGTATGAAGAGGCAACTTGGTGATCAACATCCAGGAATTCCGGCATATTTAAAGCTGATGGATGCAACGAATTCAATTTTCTCAAACTACCTCAATAGATACATAGCCTATCTAAAGAGATCATTCACTTGTGCAGGGAAGCTCAACCCGGTCCTATAACCACTTTCTCGGATCTTTGCCAACCTTCTCAATTACGGAAATAGTGAGCAGATTATCTGCGAAATCACCTCGCCAGTGGAGGACTTTGAGCAGCAGACTATCCTCAATATGGTTAAATTGCCTCGTTGTTGCTCATAGGAACGGATGCATGAATATATTATGCAGGTATATGAAACATCTCCGGGCTACTTTCCTCAGGTCCATGCGTTCGGACTATCGGACCTTCTAGAAGTAAAGCCGAGGGAGGAGCACAGCTTCAATGAGTTGTCTAACTGCTTTTGGTTATACAAAGATTTAAATCCGAGGGAAGCTTGAGGTAGATCAATGTGCTTACAAATGACAGCACACTTAGGTACCTAGGTACAGCTCTAGCTCGGACGTAATCCTGTCAGCTGCCGAGCTGAGCTGAAAGTTGTGGTTACTCATCATGGCATGACAAAGAAAAGCGCATCATCATTCATAATTCTTGCAAACTGTGTTCTCCCACAAACAATCTTTACAACATGGCGACCGTAACAAAGAAGTCAGTGTTGATCACCGGCTGCAGTACCGGCGGCATTGGCTGGGCCATGGCCAAGACCTTTCACCAGCGAGGGTTCCATGTCTTCGCCACGGCACGCGACCGCTCTAGGACCGGGAGTCTCGACGAGCTAGAGGATATAGAGATTCTTGAGCTAGATGTGACAATCCCCAAGACCATTGCGCAGTGTAAGGAGATAGTCACAAAACGAACTGGCGGGCGTCTCGATGTCCTAGTGAACAACGCTGGCGTTGAATTCAATAGCCCGTTACTTGACACGGACATTGATGAGGCGAAGAAGCTATTCGAAGTTAATGTTTGGGGTCCTCTTGCCATGGTCCAGGCATTCGCTCCGCTAATTGTCGAGGCCAAAGGAGTTGTTTTCAACCAGAGCTCTATCGACGGGGCATTGAATATGGTATGGGCGGGTAAGTTGTCCTCCTTTTAGTGCTTGCAAGCTACTCTTCCTGCCTCATGAGCAGCTTTACTCACATCGCAATTTGTGTGCTCTTTTGTAGGTATCTTTGCAAGCTCCAAATCCGCTGTCGCACGCATGTCAGAAACTTTGCGTGTCGAACTTGAACCACTTGGTGTTCGTGTCGTGACGTCCATATGCGGATCCGCTGATACGCCTATGTTCGGTAAGCCCGGTGGTCCTATGGAGATACCCGAGTCATCATATTATCACGGCGTCGAAGCGGAAGCGTGGAAAGAGCGGATGGATCATCAGCGTCAAGCCACGGATGTCGACGTGCTCGCTGGAAAGTTGGTCAAGGATATCATTGGTGGGACGAGGGGAGTTATATGGCATGGGGCGTTTGCTTCGTTGGTATGGTGGGCGAGCTGGTTGAATGTTACGCGGTTCGTGGATAGGATGATCAACTCCGCTCGGGGGTTGAATAAGGTCAAAAGGATATAGGGGGTCGACATCCTAGATTGTTGGAAGTGCTTGTCAGCAATTTGTTGCACTGAATCCAAAGTTGTGATAATTAGCCTCTATGTGGTATATATGCACCCGGAGCCAAACATTTAATCTGAAGCTTCAAAGGGGAGTGTTTTCAAGTTTGAAACCGCTTAATTTTGTCTCAAACAATATATCCAAGCAGTACGATCGGTTCAGGCCACACCTACCGGTTGAGCACTCGAAAATTACGATGTCTAATCATTGAAAAATAAGTGTCTTGATGAAATCTGGATGCTTGCTCACAGAAAGACTCCCTACCAGTCTAGGTACGAAAATAACATCATGCAGATACTGCCTTACTTCTTCAACACAACTTCCAACAGCGCCGTCTGCCCCTGGCCGTGAACCTCCTTCAGCTCAAGCCTCTCATCCGCTGCCCGTAACAAGGCCTCCCACTCGGCGCGAGTACGTTCCTTAGCACCCAGTCCCACCAACATCATTATATCCTGTCGTCGCATCGCGCGCTCTTCATGTAGAGGCGTCCCATCACCAAGGCATGGCAGCACTCTGTCACTGATTAGCACAGGGGTTCCTGCGGGCGAAGCTTCAAGGCCGGGGACAAGTGCTCGAAGAATGGAAATCGAGTCAGCATCAGCCCAGTTATGGAAGACGTGGCGGAGGAAAAATGCCGCAACGCCGTTTCCACCGGCCTGCTGCGGCTCGAAAAAGTTGTGTTGCTGCAGGTCGATGCGGCTAGCCACGGAGGGATCCTCCTCGCCTAAGACACGTCGGCCCTCGGCGAGCATCTTCTCACTGTCTTGGACGCGGAAGGAGAGGTGTGGGAAGCGGCGTGCCAGTGCGAGCGAGACGTGTCCGCTACCACCACCAACGTCGATAACTGTGCCCTTGAGAGTGTCCCATGGGAATATGTCACTAAGGACGTTGGGTTTACGGTCGACTGGGTGCCATCTCTGTCAGCTATTTTCAAAGAAGAAGAACGCTCATGGTCTTACTGGTCGTAACACCTGCCATAGCTTTGGCAAACCGGGCGGCCTTGTCTGGGTTTTTATCGTAATAATCAAACATGGTCGAGCCCAGACGCGTTGTGAATGGTGAGTGTACGAGATCCGAGACTTGAGGGGACGCCTTGATGCAGTCGGCCGTTGAGGAGGCAGATTTGAACATATCGTCCATGCTGCACCAATCAGGTCAATTCATTTCCACTAATTGAGGCGTCGATGGGAAATTGAGACTCACGAATATTGTCCAAGTCCAATCAGATTATCATCTCGGCCAAACGCAGCGCTGCATGCAGTGTGTGCGAACCAACCATCCTTCACCTCACGGAAGATACGGTGTGTGCAGAGGAATCTCAGCACCTGCAGCGCTCGGCCTGCATCCATACCCGCCTGCTTAGCGATCTCTTCCACGGAGATACCCTGTTCGCCCGCAACGGGCACGATCTTGAAGAAGTCAAACTCGAAAGCGACCTGGAGGGCAGCCAGGTCATTGCTTGAGCCCATAAGGCTGCGCATTATGCTCCGCGGGCCGACAACCAGAAGCCGCAGATCCTCGAGTGAGGCAGTGAGCTTGCTGCGGAGAGTGGCATATTCAGGCGTATCAGGCAACTCAGCCGAGTCTGGCGAGAAGTCTGGAGCAGGCAGGTTCTGAGAACCTAGCAACGTCTTAATATTGGCCGCGTGGGTTACAATGTCCAGCGCAAGAGCGAGGATGTCAGTTGTGTCGGTGGGGACATTATTGGTGCCATTGGTGAAGACGCCCATGATTGCGGTTGGGTGCGGATTTGAGCGCCATTATTACTCAGGGTATGAAGTAATGTTATAAAACCTCGTTGTGGATCTCTGTGAATAAGGAATATGCAGATGCCCCGCGCGAAGATGATGCCCGAGTGTAAGAAATAGCGTTACTAACACGGGAATTTGCTCAGAGAGAACACCCCCGAGGAGCCGTCCGTTCGGGGACTCTGCTGCCTGGACGGGGAACAGGGGTTACGCCCGGTGACAAAAATCGCGCTCCTCTTCTCGTGGTTACTATTATCGGTCTTCGGTCCCGAATCGCGCATCCGGGTCTACTATCTTTCTCTAGACTGGGATTATTCCTAGAAAGTCTCGAATCAGGCCCTCAAATGCATGTCTCAAGGACTTTTTGTCGATCTGAAACGAAAAAATTGAAATTCAGGCCACTCGGTTGGAAGGATTCAGGTGCTAGAAACACGAAGAAGGGTTCGACCTGTATGACCACATACAGGAGCGGACAAGCATTCAATGTGTTCACGGCTGAGGTACTGGGATAATCCGGAAGGTAGTGTTAGTAGCTACAAACTTGAAGCTGTCTGAAATGTATCTCAGATTTTTGTAGGCAAAGTTGATAAATTGCTCTCATCTAAGTAGGTACGATGTTCCTTGCGACTCCCTGGTTTTACATAAATCGGCTGGTCTGTTGAAGCTCCGACCTGATTACTCCCGTTCACAATCCTGTAAAGTAACTGTTGTGCTTGCAAGTAAGAAGATCCGACTTAAGGGGCTATTTCTGCCTGGTCGTTGTAAATCAAGATGTGTAGATTCAGGTACAGTATAGATATACAATGTTTTGCGAGTACTTAAATTTCATTCATTTCTCCCTTCATCAATGTCAACTGGCTCCATTCTTCATCCTCTATAATAAACAAATATGTTTGGAAGGAAATAAAAGTCGTCGGTGAAACTCCAGCCGTTCTAAAAGTGTTTGCAAGTGCTATACAAGCACTGAGTTCATGATCTCATCTGTCGTATGGAATGAAAATAGTCTCTTAACATCTCCAGCTTTTCGCTCAAGCCACAGTCGTGCATAATCACACGCAATGACAAATGCCATATGTCGTGAAGGATCTGGAAGGCTGGCCAACGCGTTGTGCTGATCTCGCAAATGCAGTGTGAGTTGCGACAACAGCCTCTCTAGTTTGCGGAATGACAGCAGGTATAGCCGCTGTCGGAGATCCATCTCATCATCCTCCTCTAGTTCAAATACTCCCCATGATAGTCGAGGCTCGATAATGTCTCCCAGAGACGTTGTGGTGCTACTTGGAGTGGCAACACTCGATTTATTTCCCAAAGACGCAAAATCGGCCACTGATGATGAGGATGAGAACGACGATCCCCTGCGTACCGTGGACTCATTCGCAAGCATCTTGAAGTCATCGATCACATACCCAATAAGCATAGTGACAGCCATAATGTGAATAGGCTCGGAATCGTCGCGACTGTGTATGCATCCCATAGATTCCTCTGATGATACGATGCATTGCTTCAATCTTGCAAGTTGCGCGTCCAGAGACAGCCGCTGATCATTGCTGCTGCTGGCGCCGCGCATCGACGCTAGTAGCTCCGTCACACCCGCGTGGCAGGTGCATTCACCCTGGCCATGCAACCCGTGAAACGTCCCCATGTCCATCACGTCGTTATTGTGGTTGGTACCGAAGAATGTATCTAGGTCACCGAGTGTGGGAGTGGGATCGGTCATTGAGAAGTGCCCAGGTATCATGCCTGTGCCGGTGGTGGTACCAGTGACTAGGCTGCTAAAGTCCAGCAGCTGTGTCGTAGTATGCATTGGATTGGTTTCAATGCTTGTTTGAAACATGTAGTCGTCCAGAATATTTGTGTTACTATTGTGTATCTCCACTGGCTCGTCCGATGTCACACAATCATTAGACTGGGTAGCAATTCTATTCGAGCTGTTGCTACTGGCACTAGTACTCGTGCGAGTATCGCCACTGGATGGCTGTCTTGAAGGCCTCCCCGGCCGTGAAGTTTTGCGTCCTCGCTGTGGAGGAGGGATCATGATGGGCGGTGCGTCTTTGTGTGTCCTTCGTGAGAGGCCGTAGATGCAATCAATTTCGTTTCGCTCACACCTCGAACAAGTGGGCTTGCGCTGGCTACAACGCACTTTGGATTCGTTGCAAGCGTTGCACGAGGCGCGTAGCCGCACCTTATTCTCGTCCAACATTGCTGGCCAACTAGACTCGATTTCTCTGTGTGATAAGGGATAGAGCAGGTGCATTACAACCTACTGTTGAATAAAAAATGACAGGGTTGGATAACCTAGTTTCTGTCGAGCTATGCTAGCCTTATGTATGCTGGGATAGCTCCCCTGTCCAACGGCATCATAACCCATGCTTGCCATGCCCCACTGTACACGACAACCAACAAAGGCCACCAACTTGAGTTGGCGCTGACCACCTTGAAATTTACCCCACCCAGACTGCTACCATCAATCCGTATCATTCCAGATCGAGTATACCGTACGGTGTTTGTCTGAAGAGTGTGGTCTTCAGCTGCGTGGCTGAATCGCAGGATCTACTGTCATGCACTGCAATTGGTTGCCTGGACTGGTAAACCCTGCACTAAGCTTTGGTAGCCCGTGAAAATGCTTGTTCGTCGAATTCAGTGGAGCAGATAACGGGAGCGTTCTCCAATTCCGCGAGCAACTAGGCGTTTCCTCAGACAAAATGTTTATAATTATGTTTTCATCTTTTGTGACTTGCAGATACGATAACGCCACCGAACAAATCGGCATACTGAATTTTCCGAAGCAACGTTTACCGTCAGCACTAGCTTCGGCCTGCCCGCCGCTTCCGCTCTGTTTCAGTTATATGCGGGGCCCGAGAAGGCTGTCGCCAACGCTTAAGACCGAAGGAAGCACCAGGGGAGCTTGAAAATAGTAGTTGGTGGACCCCTATCGCATAATACGAATGTCCGCTATTAGAACCTGCACTATTATAGCCTGAAGAACTATTCATTGGCTCAACGGATTCTTCGCCTCCGAATGGTTACATGTGCTCCTGCAGTCCTGCTTAGCCTATCTCGTATTAAACAGACCACGTGTGTAATTGGGCAGCCTAATCAAAACTAAGCCTAGTAGATCTTCATCACCGCCTACGTGCTCCGTATATGAGATAGTCTTGAAGGGGTCAAGGCTGACGGCTAACCAAACCTTGTCATACTGTAAGTTAAAACCCGCGGGTGGATCACTGGGTCGAGGGTCCGTGGGTTTTAAAACCCGACCCAATAATTCTAGAAAATGTCCATAGCACGCTAAGCCCGAGAGTTTTCGTAGATCTTACGATACCAGGCGTGCTATTGCTATGCATTTACTAGATTTGCTTTATTTACGCATGTGTTCTTTACAGTATAGTAATTACATCCGTCTATTTACCACTCAAGAAGTTAGAAGGGAGAATGAGAAGTTTTGATACCAATTCCCAAACCTGGGAGCAATAGATCTGGTATTTTGAGCTACCCGTATGGGCTCAATACGCCTCCATTCTCCAGTGGCGGGGTTACCGTCGTTTTCCGGATGGAATATGAAGGTCGCCCTTGATAAGTCAAGGCTTACTGCAATTAAGCGAACCGGTCATCAATTGACGAATCAACTAGAATAGTTTATAATGCTTGTCAAGGAGGAACTAACGACATCCGAATATTATTTCATAGTGCATGAATTAGATCCTTCGAACGAGCTTTACTTTGCATAAATCACGTGTAGGTACGTGCATGTTGATCTTGGCAGTTCGCGCGTCGGGTCGGATTTCCCCCCTTGCAGCGCTTGCAACCCTTGACCCTGCATGATCCAGGGTCGTGGCCATTGTCAGGATCGCCCGCAGGGCGTGGCAAGGTCTAGATTGACTAGCCTCGTTATTCTAGTCCTTTTTGGTGGAACCCTGACCGGGAGGAATAGTCACTCCTCATCGGTTAGTGGTATGATATTGAATATTCCAAGCGCCACTTTGAGTTTGGCACTTGCCGAGGTGCACTATCCCGTCGGTCGAATTATCTGAATAAAGAAGGTCTTTACAGGGTTGCGGGTGGTGAGACTGATGGCTTACTCTAGTGCCACGGTGATCTGGAAAGTCTCGTATCTGGTGGGCCGCGGGTGTGGCATCAGTCTGTGCTCTGGATGGACAACTAGGTTCCCGGGAAGTCCCGCTCTGGAAGTCTTCAGGACAAAGCCAGGTATAGGCGGGGGATAACATGATACGTGTAGGTTTGCGCCTCGAATCTGGGCCGACGTAAGTGTCATCTGTTTAACTTTCCAACCTTGTTAAGGCATGTCTTCAATGCAGATTTACTATCGGGACTCTAGACAGATTCTGGAAACGATCCTGCCCTTTTCAATAACGGTTAGAACCCTTTACGAATACTACTTAACCTGATGTTCATTCTCTCTTAGCGAGGGGGCTGAGCGTCAGAATCTACATGCTAAGCTAATATAGCGTGGCTTGGCGTTTCGCTAACCGCAAGATGCGGGCGGAAAGCTAGATCGGGCGATATGCCCATGATTTGCAGTGCTAAAGCTCACTCCAGGTGTTATCAATGGCCACACACAATCTGTTATTGTCAATATCTTGGAAATGTATCCATTGATCTAAGTGCCAAAATAATCAAGTTTATCCTCTTTCAAAGTCGCTCAATTGACAACTTCACGCTCATGACGATCTCAACTTTAGTTTGACTTCTGAGCGATCGACTTAATCAGTGCCTTGACCTTCTCCAGGTCCCACTCTTGCAGTGCCAAGAGGGGATTGTCATCCTTGGCCCAGGGATGTGCAAGCGCTTTGGTAGCGAGACAGTACTGAATTTGAACCTCAAAGGTTGCAGCACTAATGTTGCCGGTCTTGAGATCCGTCATCGCCTGTGCCAAAAGAGGCTCCATATCGTTATGCTTGACCTCCCAGCCCTCGCTTCCGAGGACCGCCTTGGTTGCGTCGAAAATCTGATTCTGCGACATGTACACGGAGTGAACATAGACTGGGCGGTTCAGGGTTTCCTCTGGATGCAGGAGAATATTTGCAGTCGCTGTGCCGACATCCTCAAGAGTCGACCAAGGAACAACGTTGTTTCCATCACCATAGATGGAAGCCTTCTTTCCTTGGAAGTCCAGGCCCATGAAACCAGTGGAGAGACTCCAGTCAAGGAAAGCACCGCAGGCGACCAGAGTGTATGTCAATCTGTTCTGAGCCGCCTGCTTCTTCACGGCCTCGTATGAAACCTTCTTACGGCCGAAGACAGGCATGTCATGAATACCCGGGAGTTCAGGGTCGAGTCCAAAGTCGCTGGTAATACTAATAAGGTGGAGAATAAGAGTATTAGCTAAAGTTAATTCCTTATCAATTGAGTTCACTTACAAGCGATACACTCCGGCCTCGGCGGCGGCGTCAATAAGTCGTAGTGGCGTTTCGACTTCAGGCGAGAAAGTCGTGTCGATGACTGCATCCTGTCCAACGAGTGCGGCGGATAATGACTCCACCGAAGTGAAATCGACAACTTCCACGCGCGCGGCGGTCGGGAAAGGCTTAGCAGTACGAGTAAGCACTGTTACATTGAATCCGAGATCCAGCAATGCAGTAAGCACCCGTGCTCCGACATTGCCACTAGCCTAAGATCTTGTCAACTTCGTTAACGATAAAGTGGTTTTTTTGCTGTGCTTACCCCAGCGAGGGCGACGTTATTGATCGTGTGAGGTATCTTCATGTTGACAGAGGTGATTGCAGTATGTCTTTCGATGAGAAAAATTGTTTAGATGGGAATAGCGACCGATAAACACAGGTATTAGATGCTATTTAGACGACGCCGGTGTATACATCATGAAATACGTGATCTGCATAGCAGCGGCTTTAACGGAGCCCGATGAGGATTTGACGCGGATTTGGCCGGAGATCGAAATGCAGAAAAATAAAGTTTCCACCTTAATCAAAAGGGAATATTCTTTTCCGGATTTGCTTTTTATTTCCGATTTTCTTTTTTTTAAAAAAGCACGTGCATTTGATGATCTCCGTGGATCACCTTCCATATTCGCGACGAAATAAGCATCGGTCTCCGAGTTTTAGACCGGCAAAACCGAACACGGCAGCCTGCGTAACTCCGTGCTTGTGTTTAATGGAAATTGTCAGGAGTAGTATCTTTGAATTGATCGTGCGATGATTGCATCGAAGTCTTACACATGTTTCACTGAAAATCTGCCCACTTCGAGACTTCTATGTGCAGCCATACGACTGTTGCAAATCACTCAAGCCCTGAGCTCACCCACGCAGATCATATTGAGTGAGAAGCATCATGTCCGAGTCAAAAGTCATCCTTATTACGGGTAAGATTCCAGCTGCGCCAGGAAATCCCACAATTCTGATTTCGTCTAGGTGCCAACTCCGGCGTCGGCTATGCAACAGCCGAAACAATCGTATGCCAGCCAGGCTACCATGTAATCCTGGCCTGCCGAGACATTGAGAAAGGAAATCAGGCGCGCTTCAAACTCGAAGCTACCAACATCAAAGGAACACTTTCCGTTCTCCAGCTAGACGTCGAAGATGACACCTCCATCTCCAAGGCCGTGAACCTTGTTTCTGAACAATTCGGACGAGTCGACGTCTTCATCAGTAATGCAGGCACAACTTCACCGGGTTCTACTGGACGGGAAAGGCTACAAAAGATATTCTCAACAAACGTCTTTGGTGCGATGCTTGTTACTGAAGCTTTCATTCCCCTACTCCTCCAGTCTAGTCGCCCCTATCTCATTCAAATATCAAGCGCATTGGGCTCGGTCGGGCTTGCTACCGATCCATCGAGTGAGCACAGCCTTCCACCATGGGATGAATACCGCATGAGCAAAGCTGCATTGAATATGATGACCATCCAAATGAATAAGCGACTTAAGGACAAGAATGTCCGCGTCTTCGCCTTTTGTCCAGGCCTTGTGCGATCAAAGCTGAGAGGCGATTCCGAGGCAGCAGTTACTGCCCAAGGCAATGCTGGTGATCCTATGGATTCAGCTAAAGCAATTCTGGAAATTGTATCTGGACAGAGAGATGAAGATGCTGGCAAATTTGTCTGGATAGAAGGATGTTACCCTTGGTAGTTCTGTGTTTCGCCGATGGATGGAAATAGCAATTGAAATTGTACGGATTGGTCATCGTGGACAGATGTTAAGTGAAACTGGTGCTTAGCTGCCCGTCATCGCTTGGCAATCTCAATGCCACCTTTATTCTTCCATCGCTGCACAGCTTCATATCTCTATTCTGTAGATCTCTACTCCGTACTTTCGAAGTGGGTTCTTCCTACCCCGCCCCCGCCCTCCAAGATTTTGTGATCGCAACTCCATCGTTTCTCGAATGTCTATCTCAATGATCTTAGTGGTCGCAATCCTTTCAAACTTAACCATTCAATTCGATGATACTCTTAAGCTTTGATATTCAAAGAAGCCCTCCTAACATCTACCATAACAAAAACATCGGCATATCGTCATCTCAGCCTACCTGCGGGGACCTCAACCCGCTCACAAAAGCCACGCCAAAGTCTAAATCGGCCTTGAAGATCTCAATATCCGGAACTCTATGCACGGACGTTGGTAATATCTCGTGTAATTCCTGATGCTTGTTACATAGAACAATAACAATTGATCAACAAAAGCATCCCTCGTCTGTGATAAATTTGAAAGCCCCGTGTCGAAACCCCGCTAAGATCTGCGACGTCAACGTGGCCTGATAGCTGAAAATGACCTAGGAGGCTAGCCCTGTCCACTTTGGGCCCTTCTGGAAAAAAAACATAATTTTTTGTGGCCAGACTAGCCATGTAAGGCCTCAATGCCTGGATTGACCCTTTATCAAGATATTTAGCTTTTTCTTCAGCATGTCCATTGTCATTAAATCCTCAGCAGCCCGGGTTGTACTTTCCTCGCTACACAAATCCTCCGGGTTACATGCACTAGTCAATGCTTGCGTTACACTAGAATAGGCCTTCATGATTCAATCTCGTATCGCTTATCGTCTCCTAATGGTCAACGGATCTCGGGCCATAAGCGGAGGTAAATCAAAGCGAATTTTTGCGTCTATGTCCAGCACTTTCACATGCTTGATTGCATGGGGCGAATTCAAGGAGACTTATTCCTAAAGATTTTCTCTACATAGGAGGCAAAATTATTCTCCAAGTATGAAATCAATATTGACAAAGTCGAGCGTTGACGACATATCATAGGTTGACTAAAGGCAAAAAACAACCTGGAGCATCGAACTTTATGACGTCATTATTTGAGTCGGACAGGAAGCGGAGAGAAATGTGGGCCGCCAATATCGATAAGATATGAAGAGAAACTGAGGTGACGAACAGTGAGTGACCATTCAGATGTGATCGACATAGCGATGCCTTCTCAGGTCATAGGTGTATGTATATACCTAGCCAGTCACGCATCATTGGATCGCGGAGGATTCTCTGGGGAATACACAAGATGATGACCTGGCGGAAACTGACAGTGTAGTTGGCGTTGTGCGACAGCATAGAGCGATGAATTGATAAACGAGGTTTCACGATAGACTTGAAAATACGAATGACAGTATTCAGAATGGAGTTCGATAAGAAGGGGCCTGTTCAAAGTTTCTCGAGCAAAACACACGGAAGATATATATCCGGACGATATGTGATCGTTCAAATGGGCCAAGGACGCCGGCAGCCCTGGAGGATGACGGGACCGAGTTCTAAGTGTTGAAGGATGTTGATAGCTAACAGAGACTGTTTAGAAGTGACAACACTTCGTTCAAGATTCAGTTTTCTTTCATAGCAGAGCTATGGTTAGATGGAGTACACAACAGAGCTCCCGCGGCAAGAATGTATGTTACCCAGACAGCTGGCGCCAAAGCTCCTGACTGACTATTCCAATTCACTCAGAAGGTGACGCCCCGTAACGCCGCTCTCTCTTTCTGTGCCTCCCTATGCCACCCCTCAGCCTGGCCAGCTAGAGGGGTGGTTGGATGATACTGTTCGATAGATAGCTGTCACATGGCCCTATCTATTCAGATCTTCCAAGCTCTAGATAGAACTTAGCTTCATCAACACTACTCTTACCACCCTCGAAGGTCCTTCCTTTTCTACATTTACATCAGATACCACCTTGCGTCCCGGGGCCAGGCCCGGAGTGAATAGGTGGAGTCCCCCGATGATGAACGTGGCACCATCCCAGAGCATGAGGAACCACACGAAGCCGCCGTCGACCAGCTGCAGGATGTCCTGCAATAAATATCAACTAGGTTGTGTCGCAGGATGGATGTCTTTTGAAGGGCTTTGCAGCTGCTCTTCCCTTTGGGAAATTTCTGCCATGAGAGACCTTTCAAAAGACCCTTTCTTTACCTTTCCTATGAATTTTCGGCAATCAAATTCAACTTCTTCTCGCGAGTGCTTTTCATTTCGACTAATCAATATCTCCATCTCTTGAATATGAAGATTATCTCCTACATTCCAGCTGTTTGAAGATCCACTATGCCCTCCAGGTTTCATGCACTTTAATGGCACTGTTTCACGCGTTTGACCGTCCATGGTAAGGGTTGATTGAAGCTTATGTCATGGTTGCCTGAGATATATACCTCAACTCGACCTAGGATGGCTTTCCACGGCACATTGAGGTTAGGTAGACGGCTTTAGACCTTATTACCTACCTATGATCCGGATAGCCAGAGGCCCGTGAATGCGTTCTAGGTACTCAGAAAAAAGCAAGACTCCTTTTTGAACACCCACGCGATATCGAATCCAATTTCCAGTAAGACTTGCAGCTTCTAACTGACAATAGCCTTTGCCTTCATCGACGTGATAATGATGCTGGGTTTTAGTGTAGTAGAATCAACATTATAATCCAAATCATAGGCTCTAAAGGTATGTTTGAGTATGATCTATTTGCTAGGTAGCGGATGCCATGCTCCCGAGACCATTGAGATAATGAACACCCCCTCATGCCTCTATTCTCCAAGGATAGAACACAGATTTCCTCGAGGATTCCAGTGTACTTATGAGGCGCCCTGATTATGCTATCTGCTTGACCCCTCGTTCCGTCCAAAAGTATTGGCAATAATTTCATATGCTCGATGGTTGATGAAGTAAGGTGCCGTTTTAGGAAAATCAAGCATCGGAAAAAATCATATTGCCGTTTTGGGATAATCAAGCGCTCGCAAGAATGTTTCGAGAATAAAAGTGAGGAACCATGGGGGGAAGAACGCCAATTCAACACCCGCCAGTGATCCTATCCTGGTCATTCGTGGTCTTAACAAAGTAGAAAGAACTTGTACGATTTCAGAGGACCTTATCAGACGGTATCGGAGTCAATCCTAACGCAGTGGAGATATACGCTACAGCGTGATGATTGTATGTAGTGTAGGTAGATTAATGAATGAGAATGAAGGACTTTTTTCTATCCTCGAATCTATCTCTATGTTCAAAAATCACAGCAAATTACCGAATCATGACGCAATAAATCCATAAACAAACAAAAAACAAATCGCTCGCTGACCCATATCTATCTTCATAAATGAACCACATACATATCCAGAACACACCTTTGTCTAGGGGCACACGTTTGTACAATCTAATCAATGTACTTGGGGATAGTCTTCAAGATACCATCCCTGGCGATATCCTCCATAGCAGTAGTCATCTCCTGGAGGAACCGCTTATCACTACGCAGATCATCACCAAAGAGGTTCGTAATGCTGAGCAGCTCGGTCGGGTTGGTACCGCCCGCGCGGGCCTTGGCCTGGAGTTCCTCGCGCATGGGGTCGTCGATCTCGAACTTATTGCCGTTGTCGTCAACGCCGTTGATGTAGTGGAACCAGGCTGCGGCGATGAAGCACAGGCGACGGAAGGGACCGGAGACCCAGATCTGTTCTGCGATGGAGGGCATGATGAATTGGGGGATTTTGCCGGAGGCGTTGAGGGCGACGCGGGGCAGTTGGTCCATGATTGTGGGGTTGGAGAAGCGCTCCATGAGGGTGTTGCAGTACTGGTCGATGTTGACGCCGGGGATTTCGGGGAGGAGAGGCTTGACTTCCTCTTGCATGTATTGCCAGATGAATTTGCGGAAGAGCGGGTTCTCCATTACCTCGTGCACGTACTTGAAGCCGGCCAGTTGGCCCGGGTAGCCGATTGCGGAGTGGCTGCCGTTGAGGAGGCGGAGCTTGTGCTTCTCGAATTGTTCGACGTCGTGCACGTCCTTGACTACCTGGGCGCCGACCTTCTCGAAGGGAGGGCGACCGTCGGAGAACTTGTCTTCGATTACCCATTGCATGAAGGGCTCTGTGACGACGGGCCAGGAGTCTTCGATGCCGAAGTTATCTGCGAGTGCGGTCTTGTCGGAGGGGGCTGTCTGCGGGGTGATGCGGTCGACCATGGCGTTGGGGAAACCGCCTTGCTCGGAGATCCACTTTGCCATCTCCGGGTCGCGCAGGCGTGCGAATGACTCGAGCATGTGGCGTGTGATGGAGCCGTTCTTCAACATGTTATCGCAGGACATGACGGTGAAGGGCTTGAGGCCTTGCTTGCGGCGGCGGACAAGGGCAGCGTAGAGGAAACCGAAGGTCGTGCGGGGAGCATTCTCGTTGGCCGGGTTGAGGTCGTGCTGGATATCGGGGTTCTCGCTTTGGAGCTCGTGGGTGTTCTCGTTGTAGTAGTAGCCGCTTTCGGTGATGGTGAGGGAAACAATGTGGGTATCGGAGTGAGCCATCTTGGCAATGACGGCTTCGCGGTTATCAGGGGCAAAGAGGTAGGAGTTGATGCTGCCAACGACATTGGCGAAGCTGCCCTTGGCCGACCGCTCGATAACGGTGTAGAGATAGTCCTGAGAGCCCAGGGCGTCCCGCATGCTGGCATCGAAGGGCTGCAGACCAACACCACAAATGGCGTAGTCGGTCACACCATGCTTCTGCATCAATTGATCGACGTAGACAGCCAGATGAGCTCTGTGGAAGCCACCCACACCGACATGGACGATTCCCTCCTTGACCGCGCCACCGCGCTGGTAGGTGGGAACCTTGACTTGGGTCTCACCCGCGGTCGCGATTTGCGCCAGGTTCTTGTTGTTGAGCTTCAGGGGTGCCATTGTGAAGGGAGGGAGGAACAGAGCTAGATGACAATGACAGAGGGTAGGGAGAAGAGTGAGGAGGAGAAAGAGGAATTTACAGAGAGATGGAGAGAAAAGAAAGAAAGAGCAAGATTGTCGCTTTTGACTCTGGGACACCGCCGGTTTTGACGGATCGCCGAAAAATGTGCCGGGAGCAGCATTACATCATGGGAGTCGGGCGGTGGAGATCTGGATCCATGGGAAAGTTGGGAACAGTGAGGAAGCTTTGGAGAATCTTGCGAATCTCTGGATCTTGTTTGGATCTTCCGGGGTGGGAAACAGTGGAGATAAGGGGAGGTGGAGCATCCATCTGGTCAATCAGGCCCATCACGGAGGCGACTTTCTCTTTTGAGACAGACAACTACTGTATAAAGTAGGTCATCTGCCCATGGAAGGTCCATAGCGAGATGATCTTTCTAGAAAGATACGGGGTAGATTGTAGTCTCGGATAGTGTGTTGATAGTCTGAGGGTTTGATGATAAAATTAGTATAAAGAGGAGGTCATTCGTAAGTGAAGAGTTTTTTGCCTGACAGAAAGTCAGCTGTCATTATTGGCCCCACACCGCCCTTCTCGGCCACAGTTGCCACCCTCCTTCTTATGTACTGCAGGTCACTTACACTGCATAAATCTACACCCAGCTCTCCCTGCCAGATAAACTCTCGGAACTTCGCCTAAAAGCTAATCCATGCTTCAAAGAAAAAAAAAAACTCTGATGCTTGTACTTCACAAGAATACTGTAGGAATGAAAAATCTGCTCTACTCGCCCGAAACATCGACAAGACTGTTTCGTCTCGCTTTGGCCCCTATTCCTGAACATTTCCTTTTTCCGATCCACAGCAAAGGATTTTGATCTTCATTTCCAGAAGGTCATGTGCAATTTAGATGATCCTTCCGTACTTTTTTTATATGGAGAATAAAGTTTGTTTACTCTCGTTCCGCCGGCCGGCTGTCTAGGACTCTAGGCTAGAATACCTGTACTATGTACTCCGTATGTACCCCTGAAAGCTCGACCCACTCCCTATTTTAGGAACATATACCGAGCCTCAAAGATATATGAATTAGTCTGGCCGTTGGGAGAAGCCCTATCTTCCGCTGCCTAAGTCTGGGGGTGGCCGGAGCTTCATTGCTCCCTTTTGTGTGAAGGTCATGCTAGACTCGATTTATGCTGCTCGATAGAAACGAAGCTACTGCGAATGATCGCGTTGGACTCTCTGCGATGGTCAGCATCAAGCATTGAAAGACTAGGAGATCTCTCGTCCGCATTCGGAAATATGATGACTGTTTAAGCTCATAACTACCCCTTGTCTGGAATATAGGATGGAGCTTGAGTTCCTGAATAGTAAACAATATCTTTCCCCCTCTGCGAAATACACAAATGTGAGCCAAGAAGAGGTACATAAACGGACTTGCAGTATCGCAAATGTGGTTGAGCCTCATATCAGTTTTTGAATTGATGTGGCGAATCTTGCTATGTGGCGGGTAAATCTCAGCTTGAAACCATGGGTCATATCAAAGCAATTCCATTGATTGTAGGATAACAGCGGATCCTGGTCTGGATAGCTCCCGACAATGCAAGAATAGATGACAAAAATTTTACGTTCTTCGTGTCAACACCAGAACGATTCGGGCTTGGCCGATAATGATATATCCGTTTAAAATCTAAGATGCCTCAAAATTCTTGTGAACCCCATCGAGACGAAGGTGTAGTGCGTAAATATGTTGGAAACACATCATTCACCGCGATGGCAACAAAAGCTTTATCGCCATTCATAATCTCGTTCAGAGCATCCCATTTAAACATGTCCAGGTTCCTGGAACTCCTTGTGTTCACCAGCAGGGCCCTTTTCTCCCAGTGCATTCGAAATCTCCTTCTTCTCCGTCCAGGTAATGGTGGGCTTCCAGCCAACACTCTTCCTGGCAGAGCTGACCTCATTGTAGAGCTCATCAACTTCTTCCAAGGTCAACCCCTTAGTCTCATAAATCATGGTGTAAACAAAGGTGATGCACAGGAAGCAGCAGCCGAACCAGATGAAGAAAATCTTGGATTGCAGGTTCGCATTGCCGGGTCCATAGTTGACAAGGTAAGGGGTGGCGAAGCTGAGTGCCCAGTTGAGGAGCCAGTTGGTGGCAGTGGTCATGGACAGAGACTTGGCTCTGACCTTGAGAGGAAAGATTTCTCCAGTGACGACCCTGGAATGGTGTTAGTTGATGATCAAACGGAGAGAGAGAGAAAGAGAAGAATGGAAAAACAAAATGTCTATGGAACGTACCAGGCAATCGGTCCCCAAGAGGCAGCGAAGAAGAAGATGTAGATGCAAATGAAAGCAATGGCAGCCTTCTGCGCAGCTTCGTTATGAACGACAATATTTCCCAGTGCATCTTGGCTGGTAGTGGTAGTTCCCAAAACAGCAACGAGGAGCTGAGAAATAGTCATGCCGATAGCTCCCATAAGCAGAACAGGGCGTCTTCCCCACTTATCAATAGCGTACAGACCGGGGATAGTCGAGCCAACGTTCACACAGCTAGTAATCAAACTGATAACAAACTCATTCTTGAACCCAGAGTTCTTGAAGAACTGAGTACCGTAGTAGAAGATGAAGTTGATACCGGTCAACTGCTGAAGGGCCTGAAGGAGACATCCAGTGAGAAGACGTTTTCCAAGGCTGCCCTTGAAACACTCGATGTAACCGGCGCTTCCAATGCTCATCTCGAATTCATGGTTTGCACGGATCTCGGCAAGTTCCGCGAGCAAAGCAGGGTCATCGCCAGAAAGACGTCGGAGTTTGGCTAGACTTCGGACGGCCCCTTCGTGGTTGTCTCTCTTGATTAGGTAACGGGGTGTTTCGGGGAGGACGAGCATGCCGACCACAAGGATGATGGCCCAGGCGAATTGGACCGCGATCGGGATGCGGTAGGATCCGGTATCATCGCGGTCATGGGTGGCGTTGTTCACGACCGCGGCCAACAGCAGGCCGACTGTGATGGCAAATTGATATGAACCGACGATGAAGCCACGGATCCACTTAGGCGCAGTCTCGGATTGGTATAGGGGAACTGATCAAGGAAGATTGTTAGTTAGTACGAGGACAGATCATGCGACAAGGAAGATAGACAATCACTCACTCAATGCCGAAATCAAACCAACACCAAAGCCTGCAAAGAATCGACCAGCGAGGAAAAGAGGAATAGCGGTAGCAGCAGTCTGGAAGACAACGCCGACCGTGAAAACACCAGTCGAGGCAATCAATCCCCAGCGACGACCAATGAAATCTCCCATAGGGGCAGCACCAAGGGCACCAAAGAAGGTACCCGCAGACAAAATGGATACAATGGCTGAAGACTGGCTGGAGGTGATTGTAAGATTGCCATCGGCGTCTGTGTAGCCCGTGGAGAATGTCCGATCCCAGTAGGGCATGGCGAGAATGCCGCTGATTGTGCCTGTATCATAGCTGCACCGAGCATTAGCTCCCATGTAGAGACAGATAAATTGAGAAACTGTATCAAACATACCCAAATAAAATACCTCCGAAAGCGACGAAACCACTGATCAAAATAGCAGGCCACGCCTTTCCTGCGGTTCCCTCGGGCTGTTTGAGCAGGATGCCCATCTTGTTGGTGATTCCAAATGTATATAAATATTAGGAGAAGGGAGAAGGGATCAAGGAAAGATGAAGAGTCCTGTGGAATAGAACCAGAGCCTGTGAGGTCTGGAGAGAATAATCTGGGGGATTTGACGTGACATTTATACCCCGCCGATCAACGCGGAGACCCCAGACCAAGGGAAGTCTCCCTCAACAAAACACCCTCTTACTACTAACAGACTTCATCAAGATGGTCTAGGTCTGACAACGGTCTGACAACCATATTGAGGTAGTATTCTTCCGGGGAGAAGTATATGCCAGACTAGTACACAACCAATTGTTAGTTGGCAGTGGAGGAGTGGGGCCCCTCCGCGATCGAGTCGGGATCATCTCGGAAGGAGCTCGGGAGAGTCCCTCGGTGAACTAATCATTATAGGCTATCGGACCACAGACCCATGCCCGAGAAGACGACCGGTTCCCGGGTTGAGACATTTTTAAACTTTGCTGGTCTTTCTGTAGTCTGTAGAGACCATATGCCGTGATTTTCGGAGTCGGGCGCAAAAAGCAACAACACACGGGCCGTGTGGCTATACCGGCCGGCGAAATTTTCCTGGCTGTGGTTGGCTACTCTTTTGCCACTGGGTGGCCAAGACTGCGGTATGCTGTTGGGTGATTGGATAGCTCAAACGCTAAATGATGAGGTTATGCATGTAGTGCTCGTCGGGGCTTTTTCGGGGAATTTTCTTTCTAGCTTAGATCCCCGCGCGCCCAGGTGGATTCCTAGATGCTACCACAGACATGAGAATTCTACACTATGCTAGTAGTGCTGATGGACTTTGGATTTTTGCTCATCAACTTCGCTGGTGAATTGAGAATGGCCAGATTGACAGTTGCAATTGAATTCGTACAACTTATAAGTCAACTAAAAGGTTACTTCCATGGTGATTGGTTCAGACTACCACGTTCGGGGGCGATTCCCTTCAAACCTTCTTGCACAGGCACGGAGACAGCAGTATGTTCCAAATCCATATCTTATATATGCAAAGGACTACTCTGTTCCGGGCAACACTTTGATTGGAAGGTCATACGAGGGTCATAAGCCACAGCCTTCCACTGATCCATGAGCGAGTTGAAGCCGAAACTTTACACCTAGTCCTCGCGCGACAACGTCTAGATTCCAAGCGCCTTTGACTCCTCCGGTGAACTGCTTTGGTTAGAGCCATCCGATAACTGAGCCTATCTTTCGAGTGGAAAGTGCAGTCGAAGTTCACGATTGGCTTCGACAGCAGTCGGCGGGTTCTAGGACTTCGCTGCTCCGTTCCCGTTGGGAAGTTAGTTTGATGCGTCGAACCCGAAGGAGCCATCCGAGTTCCGAGTGCTGGAGAATACGGGTGGAATGCGGGGTTTGGGGATGCCGATATCGTCTTCCTTGGGAGCCCAGACCTACTCACTCCCAGCGGGTAGAGACAAACTGCGTACCGGAGACTCACGGGCCGATACCGTAGGGGAAAATGGCGAGCGAAAGGTAAACTCAAAAGCCTATTTTCTGGTGCCACTGAATAGACTCTCTGATAAGGGCTACACGAATTGATTTACGAATGCATTTGTTCTCAATCCCGGGCTAGCTGCTGGTAATACCAGGTCATATTGAAAACAAGACCCTGATTATGACTTTCCCTGTCCATCCCGTCCAGCGCTACTCGTCGAAGACTGATAAACACCACTATACCCCTCGACATTCTCTGTCATCTCCTCGAACACAATCTGTGCAAGCTTTGAATCTTTGTACATAATCACTCCATGCGGGTTCTTAACTTCCATCAACGCACCCATCGCCCCGTTATACCCAGCATCAATGACCCCAGCATGGATCCCCACTCCAGACCGCCATAGCGATGATCTAGGAAACACACTTGCCATGCAGTTCAATGGAACGTGGACAGTTTCGTTGAAATCAACCAAATAAGCCCCTTGCGGTAGTGTGATACCCTGGCTGTCATCGTTGAAAGGCAGGCTTGAGACTTTGGCTGCTTGGCGCTTCGAGTTGTCGAAATCAATTGTTGCCGCTGATGTCCATTTGGAAACTTGGCGGAGTGTAAGGTCGATACCGCATGGTTGTTGCTGTTGAATGACGTTTTGCAGGTTCCGAACCAGTTGACGGTTGACGATTTGGAGACCGCTGAGAATCATAGCTGACCGGTAGATAGGTAGGATTTCGATACTCCCCTACAACTTTGGACATAAGACTGGCAATAGGCTGTGATATGATTCTCGAGTAGGTCAGAGGGATGATTCGAGTGAGAAAGTATCACTTCCATTTTCACTCTGACAGTCAACACGTCCCACCGCCTCTGTTAAATCTAAAGGGATGGCGTCCGTCTCCGAGGTAACCACGCAATACAAAACAGCACGCGTTGCGACGAAGATCACCATGTTTCCAATTGCTAAGCTCAAAGCAGTTCTATCACAATATAAAGTCCACCCTCATATCTACCCCTATTTATTCCTTCGCCAACTGCTTCAACAACCAAACTTCCCCGTCAAAATACCACCCTCGAACCCTTGACTTCTATCCCCCATTCTTCTGAAGAAATACACATTCAAAATCTCGATCCCCTTAACCTCCAATGAGAGCCATATAACTGCACTATTTTCGCTGACACCTTCGACTCGGTGGCCTTTTACGTCGGGAAGACCTCCCAATCTGTCCAGAGGGCCTGAAATCAGTTGCACGAAATGCGATGGATCGGATAGTTGAATGATGGTTCCATCTGTAAAGAAGGATATGGTCGGAAGGTAGTAGGTCGTCATCTTTGTAGCGCGACCGGTTGAGGTTGGGAACGAGGGTGAGGAAAGAGTGGCGCAGTAAGAGGTGATGTGACTCTCGGCCGCGGCGATGATCCCGGCTGTATCTTGCTTGAGGGCCATGATGATAGTTTAGTTTTCGCTGAGACTTGGGATTGTGAGAAATTAATGTTGAGGAGTGTGTCTAGGGGAATATAGATCACTTCAGTGGAGGGACCGAGTTCTTATAGAAGTCTTTGTTAAGTAGTCTGGCAGACTGATCTTGTCTTCAGTACGCTGTCCCTCCGCTGGTGGCGGTCGATTTCGGCCGATTATATGACAGATTGTCTGCTTGACGGGGATTTGGGGCGCTGTTGCCCGATTCTCTCACTATCAAATGCAGAATCGGACTACGCATTTACTCGTGGTCTAAAAAGGACGGACATGGAGCATCAGTGTGTGTTCACGAAAGAGCGGGTGTGGGCTTGATTTATGGAGTTGACAAATTGCTTCTAAGTTGACATTCGAAATCAATTCAACTGTTGTCTAACGCTGCTTTTGCTGACTTTTCTACCCAGATCCTCGAGTCTAAGAACACTGACTAAAAGGTCCAATTACCCATGAGATCCGTGTTCACCAAGCTGTCAAAGACTATCATATCGCTTTCCTGGCACGTCCACTCGTCCACTTCAAGACCGCCTTGCATGTCCGACATATTAGGGAGTTGAAGATGACCACCGGAGAACTGCAAAACGGTATTTATTCGTTCCACTCCATCTTCAGCATAGTTCTCTCCGTTTTGAATCTGTTGTTGCGATGTTTGCTCCAAAAGTCGAGATACCGAGTTTGCAGAGTAATTGATCTCGATCCTTGAAGAAGGTATAGCCCGTTGTGGTGTTCGGGGGAAAGGGCTCGGCTGAGGTGCGTTTGTCCCGAGCAGGCTTTGGCGCAATTATTTGTATCCAATGGCTAACCTCTGTGACGGAAGAGGTACTCTCACCACCAGATATCCTAGAGCGGCGGACAGAATCTTTATGCCGTATTTCGATATCATTTTTTTCTCAATCATGTAGTGCCTTCCGAGTGGTCCACGGGGACTAGGCACAAATAGGCCCAACGAGAATTCTAATTACTAGTGCAATCAATTTTCCAATATCCGTTGTTAAAGGTTTTCAAAGATCTTTAACCATTTCATTTAACTTGTATAATGCTTCCAATTGGTTCTCGCTTGCGATATAATCATACCGGCGCTATTTATGGAATGGAGAAGCATTGAGCCAAACAGGCGGGGCTAAGGTGTTTATCTCCGGCGAACAGGGCCCAGCCAGAGGGTCTCCGGTAAAGGTGCCTGCCGGAGATCAGTACGCGTCGATGGAGAAGGGTGATTCCCGGCTTCGGTATCACCTACCTAACCCAATCGCTGAAGATTTGATGAGATCGCTGCCTCGTAGTTAGGTATGAAGCTTGATGCCATGAGATTGAATGATAGCTTTGTTATTTGTCTTTTCGGCGACCGGTCCAAAAGATATACATTTGAATCGTTCACTTTCACTCAAAATCCTAACTAAACCCACGTAATGGACTAGATCCTTGGGAAACCCTCCACTCTGAAGAATCGAGAAACATCAATTACTCGACGTCATTTGAGATCAGAATCTACGAATACGACCGTCCATCCCCTGACTATTTACCAAAGAGAGCTCCCCCCAGCCTCAAAAACAAACTCAAATGATGACAACGTGGATCCCCGAGGCTATGCCGACCGACCACCCCATTGGCCACAAAAATCCTTAAGTCCATAAACCCCACTACCATAATGCCATTGGCTCCAAGCTCAATTGAGCTGACACTAATGCCACCTGCTGACAATGCCAAGACCCTATCAGCATCCCTGGCTTCTGCTTTACTAGCAATTTGCCAATTATTCAACGGGTACTTAAGTCAAACGTCTTGGCTCTATTCCCCGAAAACTGGTGCCTAGTCTAGATCGTCTTTTCGGGGATGTGCTGCTCCACAATTTGATGACTGCCAAGAAAGAGCTGGTTGGTAAGTGTGGCTTGGTCGGCGGGTTTCTGGGCGCAATGCTTGGCTTTAAATTATCGTACATAACGTTTTTGAGTTGATTTCCAATCTAGAATTTGGATTTGATAAAGGACGGAATACGGCCGCGCTGGGCTGGATTCTTATTTTTACTTCAAAGTTCTGGTGTTGTCCTTTTTTTTATATCGTCGTCGTCTTAACGAGTTATCATGATTCTAAACGCTACGTCTATGCAAGCTGTTACTTGGGGTGGGAATCCGCTTCAAGTTAACGTGTCAACCCTCCCTATTCCGCAAATCCTCGACCCAACGGACGCAATTATCAAAGTCAGCCTAGCAGCTATAGGCAGCGCAGATATTCACACTTACAATGGGGTCTACGAGGACAAAGAGGTACCGTGGGTTATGGGACAGGAAGCACTCGGGATTATCGTTGAAGTTGGGAATTCAGTGACCTCATTCTCTATTGGCGATAAAGTGGTTGTCCCAGATCAAACTTCAAATGGACTTGAGGATCTCTCGACGGCAGAATTGATGGGTTTGGGACTAGGATCGGAGTATTATCTGACGACGGGATGTCAAGGTTAGAAAAGTCTATCCTGTTCCCATGGACTTCATCCACATACTGATAGAACTGCAGCGGGATACGTCCGAGTGCCATTCGCAAACGACAATCTCTACCCCATTCCTCAAAACGATGCCGATTCCTTGAAATCTAGTGTTACAGACCTCGACCTTGACTATCTCCTCGCAACCGGCATATTCGCAACAGGATGGGGAGCCCTCGATCTATCCGGGTTCCAACCAGGAGACTCCGTCGCGATTTTCGGTGCCGGCCCCATAGGGCTCATGGCTGTCTACTCAGCTATCCTCCGCGGCGCCTCCCGCGTCTTCCTCATCGACGGCGATCGTCAACGTCTATCAATCGCCGAGGGCCTCGGCGCGATGCCGATTGACCTCACCCACTCTGAGCCAATCTCAAAAATCCTCCGCCAGGAACCAGACGGTGTTTTCCGGAGCGTGGACTGTGTTGGAATCGAAGCTGCGACCAAACTCCACCGGACAGAGGATAAAGTCCTGCAAAACATGACAGCTATCACGAAAGATGGTGGTGGGATTGGTCGAGTGGGTACTTTCAAGACTACGAGTAATTCATCGAGTACATCGCCGTGGCAGTTCCTACTGCCCAATTTCCAGCTTGCTGTGTCTGGATTGTTCAAGAAGGATCCGCAGGTTCGATCAGGTGTTATCGACTCGGCTTTGATTGCTCCGAAATTAATCGAGATGATCTCAAAGGGCAAGGCTAGACCTAGCTTAATTGTGAGCAGTATCATCGATGTGAATGAGGCGCCGCAGTTTTATGAGAGGGCTAGTCAGCATTTGGAGACCAAGGTTGTGATTAGGTTTCCTTGATCCGGCCAATACAGGCTTCTACCGATGAAATGAATTATGTCAACCAAACTTTCTTGTCAAAATATCAGATTTCCTTACAGCATTTTCAATACATCATCTTCAAGCTGAAAGGCTATCAAATTAATGGGCCGATCGCATCAACTTCGCAAAATTCTCAAAAGCGTCGCGACGTTTCTCAACAATTTCGTTGAAAGTCTCCGCAGGACCAACCGCACCGATAACAATCTGATCCTTACCCTCGAGGAGACCCCTATGCGCCGCATCGGTAAATTGATCCACAGGCATACCAAAGCTTCTGCCGCTTTCGCCCATGTAATCATGTAGCTCCGCTAAGACGTTTGTTAGAAAACCTACAAGAGCGAGAGGGGAGAGCTAGTCACTTTGCACGGGAGGCGGAGAGATCTCGATGATTTTAATTTTTGTGTTTCCTAGATTCTCTCGAAGGCAGAGAGTGAAGACGTTCAGGGCGGCTTTGGATCCGCAGTATGCGGGGAGCGTTGCGGCGGGGATGATGGCGATGTTGGTGCCGGTGCTGGTAGTTGTCAATACCCGGAGCGTCCGAGGATGGTATTCACAGGGTAGCTTACAAGATGATACTTGTTGGAGTGTCCTTCTCTCTGAAAACCGGGAGAAATGCATGCACAAGCGCAACAAGGCTAATGTAATTGACGTGCGTCTCGTTCTGGAACCGTTCCAGGTCGAAGGTAGCCGGGTCACTCAAGTCATACGCATTCTGGATACCCGCATTGAGGAATAGGCAATCAATGCCAGGATAAGATTTCATCACGCTGAATGTTCCAGTAAGCAATGCTGCAAGGTAACGGAGGACATCCAAGTGTGAACCAACCTCTCAGCAAAAGCCGGAGTCTTTGAAATACCCGAAATATCAAAAGCCACCCCACTCGCCTTGTCTTCGCCATGCTTGCGCACGAACTCATCCAGTCGCTCTTGTCGACGACCTACTGCCGTGACTTTGATGCCTGTCTCGATAAATCGATCAGCCATGGCGCGGCCGATGCCTGCCGTTGCACCAATGAGGAGGACGTGTTTGTAGGGGAAGGACATCTTGATGGTGGTTCTGCGTGTGTATTTCAAAGTTGATTCGTAGTGACTTCGAATCAAATCCTCTTTTAAATCCAATTTCAGGTCAGTTGCTGGGGAAGTGTGTGTATATAATGTAAGTCGTGGTTCGTTTCTCTTAGTTCCGTAAGGCCGAGTTTCCGTTATCTCCGATGTCATGCAGCCGGTACTCGCACCAATTTCCTGTTGTATTGAGACTACGACCTACATCAGGGATGATTTATTGTTGATCATTACTTGAAAAGCTGGCTTGCCCGTGAGTTTCCACTTCGGCTTTTGGAGATTGAAGGGGGGGGGTGGCGGGTCGAAAGATAGATTCCAACAGGAATAGACCCGAACACCGCTCGAGATCGAACGAATCTAACTAGGTCTTTTTGACGACTGAGAAAGGCTATTATAGTTCCGGCATGGGCCAGATCTTTTTTGAGATGGCCGGTGCATCCCTGATCAGAATGTGCAGTAAACACGTCCATTGCTATTCCCGTGTCATTCTTTATGTACATTGACATCAAAAGATCATTAATCACCCTGCCAGAACTTACTCCGAAGCATACAGCTTAACAGGAACACCATGGTCATGCATCATCGTCAAATTCGAATTTTTAATCGGTTCCAACCGGGTATCCGGATCCGCATTCTCAAGACAATCAAAATGCTGCATCAGCCGGACGACGGTATAACTTGCCTCGGTAAGGGCGTATTGCTCTGTAGGAAGATCAGCAAATGATTCACAACACGAATCATATCATTTGCAAAGAGGGCTCATCACTTACGACCAAGACAAATGCGCGGACCACCATTGAAAGGAAGATACTCCCATCCATGCTTTGCGTTCTCTTCCCAACGCTCTGGTCGGAAAGTGCGGGCGTCTTTGCCCCAGAGATCGGTGCGACGGTGCATGGCGAAGACGTTGTAGGCGACCATTGTGCCTTTACGCACGTAGACGGGGGAGCGGCGGTCGGGACCTCCTCCGACAGGGAGAGAGGTGTCTTTTGTTGCGACGCGGAAGTTGGCTGGGACTGGTGGTTGGAGACGGAGGACTGACCAGCACAGATTAGAAATTGTCATTTTAAATCCAAATGCAATGACCGGGGGACTCACCTTCATTCAGAACATATCGCAAATAAGGAATATCCTTGAGCTTGGTCTGGGTAATCTCCACACCGGCATTCTTATCCCCAAACGCATCCACAATCTCCTTCCTCAACCTTTTAAAAACAGCCGGATACCTCGCCAAATAAAAGAAAGTCGACGACAACAAACTCGCCGTTGTATCCCGGCCCGCAAGCAAAATATTCAACATATTATCCCTCAACATCTTCGGATCATCCGTTTCTGCCGCCAACGCCTCCAGGAAAATATACCTCCCATCCCCACCGTGCTTCTTCTCCGGGTTACGCTTCGCCTCCAGCGCAACATTAACGTAATGATCGACGACCTCGTGCACACGGCGATTCGCTTCACGGAATTCCTTGGGATTAATCACCCAGTATAGCCCCTGTGCGCGGGATCGCGCGGCGAGGTAATCCTGTGCAGTGGTGAAGGCGTCGGCGAAACCTTGGGCGTTGCGGACGGCGGATTTTTCGAGAACCCCTGTTGTTGTCGGGGACATGCAGCCAACGGATTCGCCGAAGAGGAAGTGGGTGGCGGAGTCGAGGGTGAGGAGGAAGAAGAGGCGTTGGATGTCGAAGCTGGTGCGGTCTTTCGGGATTAGGTTGATTAGGTGGGTGATGTGGTCGTCCAGCATGGAGAGGTCGGCGACCTGGTGAACAGTGTTAGTATATGAAATACATTCCTCAGTCTTTATTCCCCCTAGGGCGGTTTGGACATACCTGATCCCTCGTAAACTGCGGCCTCAACAAACCTCTCGCATGCGTCCACCCCGCCCCATCAAGCGTAAAAATACCATCTCCCAACAACGGATAAAACTGCTCATGTCTAGTCCCCAGACAAAAATCCTGAAATTGCGTCGCCAGGATAGCCTTCACATTCTCGGGCTCAATAGTCGTAAGTAACTTGCGCGACAAAAACCGCTGCGTAAACGTCGGGCCGTGGATATCGAATTGGTCACACATGTAATCAATCCATCTCTTCTCGCGGACAGCCTTGCTCAGCCGTAAAAAGCCCGGGATGCCGAGCCAGCCTGAGTTTCCCGCGGCTGGGGGTTGGCAGTGTAACTGTTTGGAGAGTTTCCGGTGGTGGTGTAACTGGACGAGGTAACGCAGGACTAGGAAGGTTGCGTATAGGGCGGCAAATAGGGCGATGGCCGGGCTGAGCAACATGATGTGTAGCTGATGTGATGTGGGGTGTGGCCGTTATTCTCCGATGCAAATAAGATATGTGGATCTAACACCGATAATATATTTGAGTAGTTATATTTGAGAAGTGTTAAGGATCGTGGACTGTCATTGTTCAAAAGAATAAAAGACTGAAAGGGAGAATATGAGTCAATCAAGTACCCAACATTGATCCAAAAAAAGTTTACAATTTCACACCTTTGAATTACCGCGGGGAAGCGGAAATCCTCGGCAGCACCGCACGTGCGATCGCCATGGAAGGTACCAAAGTCTAAATGCAGTTAGTTTGTTAACATTAGTTAGGTTAGTTTGTTAATAATAAACCTCCCTGGACTGGAGAAGCGCCGAGATCGCAAGCACACCAGAAAAGGGTTTAGACTACCCGCGGGGGGCTAAATAGATTACAACATTACATCATATCATGACATTGTCACTGCTTCTATTTGCCATTCACAGTACTAACTGGATACCGAAAATCAAAAGAGGCAATGTCTCTGCCTCCGTGATTTGAACCGCTAACCTTCTGGTTCCCTATATACTTTGCCTTGTTAGTGCATCGCCATCCGCGGACACCGAATAACATCGCTAGTCCCTAGTACCGCCTGATACAGCGTTTTACACCCTCTTAACACAGTCAAAAAGGATATTGAACCTCTAGAATCAATACAATATAACTGTCTAAAATCAATAGCTCTACTAGAAAGTAATATTACCAAAAAAAAATCTCCAAAAAATGAACTCCCCCCGCCTAGGGGTGTGCCCGGCTGTCCGTGGAGCTGGAATCGTCAACACTGGCCCAGTAGCTTTTTCTTTGATTGCCCAATCCTCCAGGGCACATCAATGGTTCACCAATCTAAGGTGGATAGACACCAACTAGGCCATCAGAAGGTGGCAGTTGATTATTCAACATGAAATACAATGATGGCTTGTCAAACGATCACAATTTCCTAATGATCCTAAGAAATCCTATGAACAAAAAAAGATCCATCGCTAGATCGCTACTATGAGTCTCCCTCCACCACGCCGATCCTGACCGAAGGCGCACCATTGTAGTGGATTCTCCTTCCCCATCCCGGAACAGAGTCCCTTCTCCCTCCATGGAATCCTCCCAGACCCCCTCCGGATCAATCCCGGTGCCCTGCAACCGCACCAGCAGCCTTGAAACACGGCAACCAAGACTTCAACGCCTCGTGAAAGAACCCCCGCGAAATCTTCCCTGGCCCAAACCCGGTAATCAAATCAAAACAATGCTCCGCGTTCTCCATAATATACCCAAATAATCGATCCTCCCCCGTCTCCACTCCACACTTAGGAATCTCCGTCGAAAACGTCACTCCCTGCGGGGCGATATCCTCGGTGGCCAGTGGTGACAGGGTACGCCAGGGATCGAACTGGCCGCCACTCCAGTACACGTTTGAGGGACGGATGGTCCAGCCTCCGGTTTGTTTGTTCGTCGCCTCGACTTGCGGCGTGCTCGGCAAGAGACCCTTTTTCACGGCGTCGGGAAATTGCCGGTTACAGGTGTATTGTTGGTACTCGAGGGTCTGGAATTTCGAGAGCAGGGAGTGTGGGCCAAAATTGTTGCTTTGGTAGTAGCCCCATTCTGTGCAGAATTGCCAGGTCCAGCTTATGGTGTCGGGGTCGGTGGATTTGGGGTTCAATGTGCATTCGAGTGGTTTGGTGGTGTCGGTTTGACGGCAGTTTGTGTCGTAGTTGAAGTTGACTAGGTCGATGAAGACGGGCCAGGAGGCGAATCGTTCGGCGACGTATTTCTTGCCCCGGTATGGTGCGAAACCGCGTGGTCCGGCTGGTTGGAGGGTTGCGGCGTCGGTTTCGAGATATTCGCAGAATGATCCGAGTCCGCCGTCGCCACCTCCCACTCCGTAGGCTTGGAAAAACCCGAAGATACCTGCCAGCGCAGCAGTGAAGTCGCCGTTGCTATTCTTTTCTGCGCCGTCGCCGAAGAACCGCTTCTTGATTGCTGCAGCGGCGGATGCGTTCTTGGAGAGTTCGTCGTCGATATACTCGAGTCCGGCTTTGATATCCTTGGTGCAATTCGAGTACCCTTTGGCCACCATCCCGTTGTACACTTGGTCAAAGTACATGCTCATATTCACCCGAGCCTCCACAGGAGCCGACGATGCATACGCCGCAAAGATAGTATCCGGGTAGGCATCGCGAGTGAAAGCCGACCGCATGCCGGAGTAAGATCCTCCCACCATCACCCACGGCTTAGCATCGGGTGTTAGATCTTCCTTGTGTCCGTCGAGGGTGAAATTCTTTGCGAAGAACGGGATATCGGCCAAGGCCTGCTTGTTCGTGAGGTATTTGAAGTGCTCGGGCGGAGTATCGACGCTGACGTTGAACGGCAATGACTCTCCGTAGTATCTGTACAGGAACAACACTTGGTTAGTGATAATCGTCGAGATGAATGTACTAATTAGATCACAGGACATACCGATGTTCCCACGCGATACCAATTGCGCCAAAATCTTCCAGCATCTCCACCAAGAATGAAGTCGAATTGCCCAAGTGCTGCTTCGCCGTAGCCTCGGCGGTAGCTTCGCCGACATCATACACAAAGACTGGTCCGCCTTGTTGATACCATTCGTCATTGACCCAATACCGATTCTCGTAGGTCCCGACAGAGGGATCACCGTGGTCGATTGGGAGCTATTCATTCCCTTCATCAGCAAAACCCACACAGTTAATCACTCAATGCTTCAATTATCTCACCGAAACAGTCTTGGCAACAACATTATCCGAATCGGCCTGATTCGCCTGGGTAGGAACAGACTGGCGCTTCAACATATGGTCAGGATTAATTCCCATTTCCGCTGCAAGCCTCAACTCTCGTCGAATGGCACCCATTCCCATCGCAGACGCTGTACTAGACAGTCCAGCCAAGGCGAGGGCCACCTGGGCCAAGACGGAGTAACGCATCGTTTTCGCAGTGCAATGAGCTGGACAACACCCAGAGTGCAATCTAAAGGTCCGCTCTTGATTTATTCAAACCCACATCTTGGGGGTGAAATGGCTGCTCTTAGTATATATGCAGTTGCCCACTGTAGGCCCACCAGGCTCGGTGCTCCAGGTCTGTTTTAATGGAACACCCTCGCTGAGAACAATACTACAAGAACAATACTACGATAACGATTGTTTGCGGAGGCTACTGCAGGTATCCCCGCCCAATCAGCTCTGTGAGTGGTCGAATGGGCAAACTCGGCAGAGGTACCCGAGACAATGATCAGCGATCGCGTGCGGACTGAACTTTGTTTTGTATTTTCTATGCAACCCAAACAATCAAACAGTCTTGGCGAGGCCAGGCACCAGCGACGTGGAACAATATGTACTGGCAAACAGCGTTTTCTTCCTGATTCAAGTTTGAGCTGTTACATTGGAATTGAGATTAAGATTAACCTTTTGCACCGGACTCCGCCACCAAGCTCGGAGTCCGTCGGTGCATACTACTACGTCACTTAGATAGATCAAGATACCACAGCGGAGGAAACAGTGTCGGAAGAGCATGCCGAGCAGACTCAATAGAGAGCAAACTAGCTGAGACCTCCCACGAAAGATAATTGCAAAATACGGGTTCTTGGTGGATGATGTTTATCGGTAATTTCCGAATTGAGTCAATCAACAGACTCAAGCTCTAAAAAAAAGGGACCACGCGAGACTAGATCGTGGCACGCGGGTGATCCGTTGGATCGTGATCCGAAACCAGAGATTGTGCTTTGCACGGCGATGGTTAGTCGGTCAGGAATGTTCAAGAATGTCCGACGTACCCACTAGAACAGTAATTAGACACTGACTCGTCCGTTGGTGGCGCTTGAGGGGTCGTGATGGATGGCTGCAGAGAATAATCGGTGGGGCTTGATATTGTTCGTTTACAGTGGACCATACCCGTCCAGCCTGCGAGGTAATCACCTCAAGACAAACAATTGGGACGGAGAACACCGAATCTCACCGCTGCGGAGTAAGTGACTCTTTCTTTGGGGATTGCGATCGGGCCATTTTGGTTTTGGCCAAGATGATCCGGGCTGGAAACGGGTCGTTGGAATGTGGCTCAACGGGGAAGAATGTTGACTGTTGCGTCCGAGCCACTGTACAAAATAGACGGTGACGTTAATTTATTACTAGTCAAGAAAACTACCAAGCCAATACTTTATTGGGTACATCCATTTAATAGAAGAATGCAGCGTATGGCATTATCAAGGAGACTTGACTAATCTGATTTGACGTATAAGTAGAGAACAGTGGCTTATTGATCAAGAATGCAACCAGGGACGATCGGCCTCGTGGGACCCAATTAGGAAATGAATGCGAAGCAGCTCGGCATTCTTTCTGTCTCTGTACTGGAACAGAAGAGTGTCTCCAGTGTCATCTTTGATCGTGAAGTTGGTGTCCAGAGTTTCAACGTTAATCACTGTTCAATTCGGAATTCTAAAGAATTGATCTTCGTAGATGACCACAACCATCCTAGGTGCTTGCTTAAGAAACGATTGCATCGCATCGCCCTGTCTGGTAATGTCCCGACGCTCTGCGAACCTCAATCATGCCTGTTCCACCCAAGTCCACCATATATATCGCGAACACTACGCTACAAAGAGCTTAAAAGTGCCATCATCTTCCACATCCATTATGCGTCCTCCACTCCCTCAAATATCGCATCTAGTTCTAAAAGTCTGCACAAATCCTCGTATGTTCGCCCACAAAACAACCTAGCCATTGTCACTGGCTGCTCCGCAAGCCTTGATCGAACCATTGCTATCTGCTATACCCAAAAGAGCCCAACTGCGATCGGTGTCGATCTCTTGGAACCCCACGACCTGGATCCCAAGGGGAAGCCAACATCCACTTAAAGGTACGATCACAACTCCAGAACTCCAGAACGAAGGAAAGCCGTGAAAAGTTTCGGTGATTCAAGTCAGATGGAAAATACAGTTGGAGTCGCACTAACAGAAAACGGCCCCTTGAGATCTATGATTTGCCATGTAAATTGCTTAGAAATATCTGTATGGATCATCAGGACTATAAGTTGAGCAGGTACTGGAACTACCATCTTAGTGGAAACCACCAAAATGTCGCGCCGTGGAAGGACCACAATCACAAGCATCGATTGGAATAATTGGCTACCTGGATGACATTTCTAGAGCAACAGTTTTCCCTGTAAGCGAACATCTTAATTGGGTAACTGGCGTCTGTTTACTGGTGATTAGGAAATCATACACTTTGTGCTGACCGCCCACCTCGCGTATACATGGAAGCAGGTGAAAGTGTCATGGACAATCTGTACAGAGCCGTCTGCACCTGACCACGCCTTTTCTAAATATCTTGGCGGGTGTCAAGGATAAAGATAAACCGAGTATAAGCCCCGCTATTCTCTAACATCCGGCACCCCATAATTACCCACCAGTGATGCTCGTGGCGCGCGCTGCTGTACCCCGCAAAAATCTTGGCGACGGAGAGGAGTACAGAATTGGACTTGCTGGATGTGTGCCCCTGAAGTCGGTGTTCTTGCAATAGACTGCCGAGCTAAAGTATTGAGCAGGTGTTGTGTTTGCATGATGAAAGAAAAGAAATCTCAGTTGAGCATTCCCTTGTACATGCGCACATTTCTTACTCGGAATCTCGCGACGACCTGGGTTTAATGTGCAGATTCCGAAGGACTGATACCAAGGCAATGTTTCAGCATTGACATGATACACTCTTAAAGACCCGCTGAAGCCCTGCGAAGGTAAAGGGCCTTCTAATAAGGCCTTTGAATATCTCTAGAAGGATTTAACTGTCTTGATCATTGTAGACAACAAATCCCCGGATTGTATCCCACTAGGCATAACACCTAATGTAGACGCGAAGAATTAGCCGTACACATAGAAGAACCAAGACCACCTTCGGCTTTCGCTACATATAACACCGACAAACCCCCTCATCAAAGATCATTTGACTTTGATGTTCTTGACAACTGGGCAAGAGGGGGATCCACAGAGGTTATCACTAACTAAGCCTCTCTCTCAGGCTATATCCTTCCGCCGGGCATTAACCCGACGCGTCGAAACAACCGTCTACCCCACACGGAATTAAAGGGTCACTCTTGGCAAGCCCATCTCAGCAAAGCCAAAGAACTCTTGGCACGTCAGGGCGGAAACCATTTCTTCCCTGCGTTTTGCCATTTTTGCACTGCGTTTGGGCGTTCGGAGAAGATCCGCATCCACAATTACCGGGGTAAGTCTAGTTGCCGTGACGAATGGAGGTTTCTCCCCGGTTTCTTCAGGCAGGGCTAGTCATCCAGATTGGTGGAACTGGACTGGAATAATTGGATTTAGGATGATCTTCGGAGGTTTTGGAGAAACGGAGGCTGGAGGGTGGGAATGTCCACCGTTCAGGATTGAGGGTTTAGGGTGAAGAGTTGGTGGTGAGATATTAAAGCGGATGGTGTGCTGGATTTTATGTTGTGAAGAATTGGATCGCTCTCCCTGGCATTTTTGGCAATACCATGTTCATCTCCGCGTTGCTTGTGGCCTCCCTGGCCCTTTGGGGCAAAGGGGTGGAGGCTGCTTTTGGTCTTACTACTAACTCTGGTACTTACGTCGTTGATGCTGGATCTGCTAATCCGCTGAAATTCACGGTTGATCGCACGAGCTGCGATATTACTTCGATTAACTTCTACGGATCGGAATTGCAGTATCAATCGACGGGTTCGCATATTGGTTCGGGATTGGGTACTGCTACTGTGACTGCGACTCAGAGCGGTTGGTTTTCCCCTTCGCTTTTATGAATGATATTATCATCGACTGGAATTGAGTTGCTGATTGTACTAGGTGATTATATCAAGATTACCTGCGAGACGAGTACCTTGACGCACTATTATGTCGCGCACAGTGGTGATCCTATTATCTACATGGCGACGTACACCACTGCTGGTGAGTTTTACCTCAGAAATTCAACGAGAGGATCAATTCTGACTATATACAGAGCCATCGGTCGGAGAACTCCGCTACATCGCCCGTCTCAACGCCGACCTCCTCCCCAACGAAGAACCCTTCGGCACAGCCTCCAACATCGCCGGCGGTACTGCCATCGAAGGATCAGATGTTTACCTCGTTGGCTCCGAGACCCGCAGCAAGTTCTACTCCAGCGAGCGATTCATCGATGACCAGCGACACTGCGTGTCTGGATCTGCGCACCGCGTCTGCATGATTCTTAATCAATACGAGACATCTGCTGGAGGACCTTTCCACCGGTGAGTTCCCTCCCCAGCTTTAACTAACCTTGACAATGAACTACCTATTGAGATAAGTATTGATAATCACATGCACCAGCGACATCAACACCAACAACGTCGGCAGTTACACCGGTCTATACTGGTACATGAACTCCGGCCACGTCCAAACAGAATCATACCGCCAGGGCCTGCACGGTCCATACCTGATGTATTTCAGTCGCAGCGGGACACCAAGTACAAGTATTGATACGTCGTTCTTCGCGAATCTCGGTATTAAGGGGTATGTCGCGACCTCAGGTCGAGGATATGTCTCGGGTACAGCGTCTGGTGCGGATTCGTCGTTGAAATGGGTTATTCACTGGTGAGCATCACCCTCCATCAGAAACAACTCAATTTGAATTCTCATGATGAGACCAGGTACAACAACGCCGCACAATACTGGACCTACACCTCCTCCAGCGGCAGCTTTACGTCCCCGGCCATGAAACCGGGTACTTACACTATGGTGTATTATCAGGGCGAGTATCCCGTGGCTACGAGCTCTGTGACTGTCACTGCGGGTTCAACGACTAGCAAGTCTATCTCCGGTTCTGTGAAAACAGGAACGACGATTTTCAAGATTGGCACTTGGGATGGACAGTACGATCTCCTTCCCTCCCATGCATCACCTCCACAGTTCCCACCCAATTAACCCATCATTTCCACAATCAGACCAACAGGCTTCCTAAACGCCGCCTCTCAACTCCGCATGCACCCATCCGACACCCGCATGTCCTCCTGGACCAGCACCTCCACATACACAGTCGGGTCCTCCTCCGTCTCGTCCTTCCCAATGGCGCTCTTCAAATCCGTCAATTCCCCACTAACAATTAAATTCACCGCTACATCGGCGCAAACAGGTGCCGCAACGCTACGTATCGGGACTACGCTTTCGTTTGCCGGCGGTCGACCCCAGGTTACTGTTAATAGTTATACGGCTGCTGCGCCGAGTGCGCCGACGAATTTGAATAGTAGGGGTGTGACGAGGGGGCATATAGGGGTTTGGGTGAAGTTTACGATGTTAGTTTGCCGAGTGGGACTATTGTTGTGGGGACGAATACGGTATGCTTTTTCTTTTTCTTCCTTTGTTTGTAGTTGTGCTTGTTCCTGGTGAGGGGAAGGGGAGGGAGGAGATTGTGTGGATACGAATTGGTTGCTGACTTGGCATAGATTACCATTTCTGTTATTTCTGGAAGTTCAGGAGATGAATTCTTGAGTCCTAACTTTGTGAGTTTATCCGTCTTAAAGATGGTTGTTGAGTACGAGTGTTGGAACTAATGCTGTCTCCAGATCTTCGACTGCGTGGAGTTGTTCCACTAGGAAACTGGTCTAACCCCGCTATTCTAGAGCTAGATAATATAGTCAAGTCAAGTCAAGTCAAGTCAGGGCAAGGCAAGAATAGCAGTATTTTTACTTTACTCCAACCATAAATCCAGCTTACGCATTGAATCTCTCAAGAATATTTTTTGATCATGTTGAATCAATTCATCAGCTCTACCGCTGTATAAAAACCCCAACCACAAAAAAAATCATCATCATAATGCGATACACGAAAAAAGCTAAAGCCCAAAAGAATAATGAAAAATGTTGAATGTATACACAAGAAGGAAAACACCGCGCGGAACCAGTTAAAGGAATCCGCGAATAGCAAAAATGCAAGGCCAGGACTGTCTATCTAGACCAGACCAGACCAAAGAGTTAAATCTTAATCACAACGCAACGTGGGTATCATATATCTATTCGGTGTCGTCGACAGGACCGCAGGTGCAGAAGAGGTTCTGGTCACCGAAGGCTGTAGAAGGAGTTATTAGTTTATGCTTAACAAGACAATGCATGATGTGGTATAGAGGGGGCGGAGAGATTGCTTACCATCATCAACACGGGTAACAGTAGGCCAGAACTTCTTCTCCACCAGGTAGGGCAGCGGGTACGCGGCCGTCTCACGAGTATAAGGACGGCTCCACTCAGTGGAAAGCAGATCACGCTGGGTGTGGGGGGAGTTCTTCAACACGTTACCCTCACGAGGCTGCTTGCCAGCCTCGACCTCGGCAATCTCAGCACGGATCGAGATCAGTGCATCGCAGAAGCGGTCCAGCTCAGCCTTGTTCTCGGACTCGGTGGGCTCGATCATGAGCGTGTTAGCCACGGGCCAGGACATGGTCGGGGCGTGGAAGCCATAGTCCTGCAGACGCTTGGCGATATCGATAGCCTCGATACCGCAGGTCTCCTTGAAGCCGCGGACGTCGAGGATGAACTCGTGGGCGCAGCGGCCGTGGTCGTTGGTGTACAGGATCGGGTAGTGAGGCTTCAGGCGGGAGAGGATGTAGTTGGCGTTCAGCAGGGTGATCTTGGTGGCGTGGGTCAGGCCGCGGTCGCCCATCATGTTGATGTAGTTGAAGGTGATGGGCAGGATGCTGGCGCTACCCCAGGGGGCGGCACTGATGGGCGGGGAGGAGGAGCTGCCGCGCTTGGTCTGCAGGTATTCGCTGGTCGGGTGGGAGGGCAGGAAGGGAGCCAAGTGGGCGGCCACACCGATGGGGCCGACACCGGGACCACCACCGCCGTGGGGGATACAGAAGGTCTTGTGCAGGTTCAGGTGGCACACGTCGGCGCCGATCTCACCGGGCGAGCAGAGACCGATCTGGGCGTTCATGTTGGCACCGTCCATGTAGACCTGGCCACCGAACTCGTGGACCAGGCGGCAGGCCTCCTTCGCACCGGGCTCGAAGACACCGAAGGTGCTGGGGTAGGTGATCATGAAGGCGGCGAGATCGTCCTTGTGCTTCTCACACTTGGCCTTGAGATCAGCAAGGTCGAGGTTACCAGTCTTGGTGTCACACTTGATGGTAACAACGCGCATACCGGCCATGGCGGCAGAGGCAGGGTTAGTACCGTGGGCAGAGACGGGGATTAGGCAGACGTTGCGCTTGGCATCACCCTGAGCCTCCTGGTACTTCTTGATGACACGCAGACCGGCAAACTCACCCTGAGCACCGGAGTTGGGCTGGACAGTAACCTCGGCCATGCCGGTGATATCAGCCAGCTGGGCCTCCAGATCGTCGATCATCTGGATGTAGCCCTTGGCCTGGGCGGCGGGCATGAAAGGGTGGATCTGGGAGAATTCGGGCCAGGAAATTGGGATCATTTCCGTGGTAGCGTTGAGCTTCATGGTGCAAGATCCGAGGGGAATCATGGAGTGAGCGAGGGACAGATCCTTGGACTCGAGGTGACGGATGTAGCGGAGCATCTCAGTCTCCGAGTGGTGGGTGTTGAAGACGGGGTGGGTCATGAACTCAGAGGTACGCTCCAGGCTGGCGGGGACGGAAGCGAGACCAAGAGTGCCGTCAACCTCGACGGGGGAAGCACCCTTGTAGGCGGCAAAGACATCCAGGATTCCCTTGACCTCATCACGGCCAACCGTCTCGTCCAGGGAGAGACCGACCTTGTTACCATCGAGACGGCGGAGGAAGATGTTGGCCTTGAGAGCGGCAGCGTAAACAGCGTCAGCCTCGGAGGCATCGGCAAGCTCGATGGCAAGAGTGTCGAAGACGGCACCACCCTCGACGTTGGAGCGGGACGGGATGTTGTAGCCCAGACCGACGAGCTTCTCACGGAGCAGAGAGGTCATGGACATGATGCGCTGGGCGATGGACTTGAGACCGACGGGACCGTGGTAGATGGCGTACATGGCGGTCATGTTGGCGAGGAGGGCCTGGGCAGTGCAAATGTTGCTAGTAGCCTTCTCACGACGAATGTGCTGCTCACGGGTCTGCAGAGCCAGACGAAGGGCACGGTTGCCCAGACGGTCCTTGGAGACACCGACGACACGGCCAGGGACCTTACGCTTGTACTTGTCGGCACAGGCGAAGAAAGCGGCGTGAGGACCACCGAAGCCCATGGGGACACCCAAACGCTGGGCACTACCAAACGCAATGTCGGCACCGAACTCACCGGGAGCCTTGAGGACGGTCAGGGCGAGGAGATCGGTAGCAACGCTGAAAGTACCACCCTGGGTGTGGATGGAATCACTGAGAGACTGGAAGTCGTTGATACCACCCTCAGTATCGGGGTACTGGCCCAGAACACCGATCAAGTGATCACCCTGGTCCTTGACCAGCTGGAAGTCATTGGCCATGATATCACCAACCACGAGGTTAATTCCGAATCCCTCGGCACGGGACTGCATGACGGCAATGGTCTGAGGGTGGCAGAGATGGGACACAACGTAGGACTTTTCGGCCTTCTTCTGCTTGGAGGCGGGCATGGTGGCAAAGGACATGGTCATGGCCTCGGCGGCGGCAGTAGCCTCGTCGAGAACGGAGGCATTAGCGAAGGGGAGACCAGTGAGATCCGCGGTCAAAGTCTGGAAGTTCAGGAGAGACTCGAGACGACCTTGGGAGATCTCGGGTTGGTAAGGAGTGTAGCTGGTGTACCAGGCCGGGTTCTCGAGGACGTTGCGAAGAATAACAGGAGGCACAATGGTGGGGTAGTAACCAGTACCGATGTAAGTCTTGCCAGAGATATCAATCTGCTTGCGGTAGGTGTCGAGCAACTTGAGCATATCGGTCTCACCCAGACCACCCTGGATGGGAGATCGGTACAGGTTAATGTCGGCATGGGGCTCGGAAACCTTGAGATCCTTCTTGGACAGGATATCCTCGGGAAGGACCTGCTTGACGAATTCATCAAGGGAGGCCGCAGGAGGATCCAGAACAGCCAACATCTCCGAGGCAGCCTCGGGAGAAGGGCCAATGTGACGGCGGGGGAAAGTGTCGAGGGGCTGGAAGATATCCTCGGGGTGAGGATCACCGTGGGCGTTCACGGAGCTGGTATACACACCACGGCGAATAGGCGAGGTCGTCGCATGTTGAGATGTGTGCAGAGCTCGGCGAGTAATGTTCAATGGAGCAACAGACGCGGTTCGCAGAGAGACCGGAGAAGGACCAACACGAACACGCGACCGCAGGGCCAGCTGTCGGCCGCCACGCAGGGCAAACCAAGAAGCTGCCATGCTGGAAAAGAAGCTACCGGGGAGAGTGACGGAGTGACGTCGGGAGTATTGGTTGAGGGGCGGTAGCCAGGTAGGGGCCTCAACACATGAACCCGAGAAGCAATTGGGGAGGGGAGAGTGTCAGAAGAGAAGAATAAGAGAAAGAATCAGAGAAATGGTATATTTATTAACTGACTCCATGGAAAGCTTTAATTTTTTTTCTCGGGGATGCCAATCAACTTTGACCGAGGGGCGGGCAACGGGCAAAAGGGAAAACTGGACGGGAAACACTGATAAGCTGATAAGATATGGCTATCAGACCAATCACACTTCTAATCAGGCTTATCTCCCCAACAAACAAGACAAACATCCCTGTCCTCCCGCTGGTTTTCCGTCGGGAAAGTTCATCTTGTCTCTCTCTTCTCTCTCATCTCCCCACCAATTTCCATCCCGATAAAGTCGGGGGATCCACATCGAGGGGGAATTCCACTTCCCCTCCGGCTTCGCGCTCCAACACTGCCGGAGCTCCCCTGTCGGTCTCCACGGTGAGGCTCCGATCGATTTGGAGTCAATTGAGATCTCATCTACTTCTCCTATGATGATTACGACTGGGACCACAGATTGAAGAACGCATGATTGACAAACTGCCCGCAGTATGGGGTGACACTAGGAACTACAGTGACATGTGATCCACCAGAGAATAACAGCCCCGGTTTCCTGCTTGCTCCCCGCGGGTCTCGCCATCCACCCTCCAAATCCTGGAACTAAATGGTATACCGGAAACTGGCCTCCCCCTCGATAACCCGTTTCCCCTGGCTAGCCTGGCGATTGCACACTCGGAACCAAAGACTCATAGCACACACAATCACAATAATCAAAACATTACACCTGCAAGAAGGAACAAGTCAGCACGGAACCCTGCAGAGGTGACCACACCGCCAAGAGCGAACCTCCCGATAAGCGCGATCCGGAGCGATAGGACGGAGTGAAACTTACGCGAGCGCGGCGTACATTCCCGGCCGATACCCCGGCGCGTCCTGGGTACGGAACACCAAACTACTGGCAATACCGCCGAGACCACCGAATCCGACCAGAGTCGCACTGGAGAACGCTCTCGTCCATTGTCCACGGACATTATTCGCCTGGTATGCCATGCACGTGGGGATGTTGGCGTTGGCGCCTGCTACGGTGAAGAACACGCCCGCGTACCGGGTCGCGTCACCCTTGGCGAAACCCATCATGGGCAGGCCGATGATGCAGAGCAGAGCATTGAAGATGAGGACCGGTGCGCGGACATGGAACTTGTCGCCGAACCAGGCCGTGCTGTACATCACGATACCGGCAAAGACGTAGGGTGGAGCGACGAGGCATTGGGCCGCGCCGACGCCGAAGCCCATGCCCTCCATCAGGATGATGGGGAGGAAGTAGGCGATCGCGTAGGTGACGGTAGTCAGACAGCTGTAGAAGTTGTTAGCAGTGGTCGTAGATGGTAACTAACAGCTTATGATTTGATGGCACGTACAAGAAGATCATAGCAAAGCCCCAGATCTTAAGATCGAGCGCAGGCCGCAAGAACTTCACCAGCGAAAAGGCTTCCAAATTTCCATCCTTGCGATCATTGTTAATACGTCGCACGATAAAGTCACACTCCTTCTGGTTCAGGAACTTCCACGATTTGGCCGCCCGATCGGGGAAATCCACCAGGAAGACGTAGCAGAGCAATCCGATTGCTCCGGTGATCTAGTATTGCAGTCAGAATAAACCCATACTCCCATGCTAATCATTGCCACTGGGTTCATCATCACATACCACACCCTCCAGAATAAAAATCCATCGCCACCCACTCAAACCATGCTGGCCATTCAACTGCATCAGTCCAAAGGCAAGAATACCAGACAGCGCCGAAGCCACACAGCCAATCAAGTAGAAAACGGAGAATCGTTTTTGCACGTCGTCTAGAACAAATGTCAGACAAACTACCAACGGAAAACTAATGGCAAGGAACGGCTTTTGCAGAGCAGGGCAACTTACATCGCGTATACCAGCACGACAACAGATAAACACAGCCAGGGAAGTATCCAGCTTCCAGGACACCGAGCAGGACACGTAGTCCGACCAATTGACCCCAATTCTTGACGAAACCCGTTCCCTGGAGGAATGGATGTTAGCGAAGACTCATGGATAGACTGGGCAGGTGGCTAGACCATAGGTAGCTACAAACGTACAATCATAATAACCGCCCAAGTCATGATAATCGTGCTCAGGAAGATAGTCGGTCCAATCTTGCGGATCAAGACTGTCATGGGTGGTTGGAAGAGGACGTAGGGGACGAAGAACATCAGGACGACGATAGACTAGACCCAGGATCCGCATGTTAGCATAGCACAATAGAATCGTTAGATGGTATTTGACGGAAGGGCGAACGAACGTAGCGATTTCCAACACTCAACGCCAACTCCTTCTTCAATCTAACCCACCCCCATACCCGGTCAGTACTGTATCCAATCCAATCCATTTGATCCTCATCCAAATTGATACAGTTCAATTCTCAGAGAATAAGTATAAAACTCACCCCGCAATAGCAGCAGCACTCAAATTTGTCCGATCCATCAACGAAATACAATACGCCAGACCCGTCATAGTGACCAGACGAAGATCAATCCGCCGAATAATCCTCTTCTGTTCCTCGGGCGTGAATTCTTCATCGTAGTCGTCGGGAGGTGTCGTCTGGCCTGTTTCTGTTTGGGCGATGTCTTCGATGCGATCTACGCTGCTTGGTTTTTCGTCGGCGGACATGGTGCGTGAGGTCGTGAAGTCGTTGGTAGAAAAGAGGAAAGGAAATAAGTAAAGGGGGTTGTTGGTTCCTTTGTTGGAATAATGGAGGGGTGCAAGCTGGGAACCCTTGCAAGCAGGGATTATAAGCATGGATGAATGGAGGGGTACTACTTGCATTTATCTCTCGGGGTCGGAGACTAGATCTGGATCTGGGGAACCATCGGAAAGAAAGACGAGGACAGACTTGACTGGACTAGACTAGAGAAACCAGTCACGATTACCCTACTACTCTACTAGCTAGCTAGCTAGTAGCAAGTGCCTAACCAAACGACTGACTATCCACTAGGAAACACAAAATCCTATCCAAGCGCTCGAGTACAAGGCTCCCATCTCCCTGCCCAGCCAATCTACCCAGTCTAGCCCTATCCCCGCCTCCGCCACAAACCCCCAAACAAAGGAATAGCCGACAGAAATCAGGAAAGTACCTCGGCGCATTGAGTCAATGTATGCCAAATAAACGCAGCCTGAGACAATCGTCCCCCGAAGAAAGAAAAAGGAGGGGGTGCCAACCCCACAGTCAAGGCTGGGCAGAAAAGTGTACGGGTCAGAATTAGCGATGGACGGCGTGGCGGGCGTAGACGAGGTGACGATCTGGGGTTGTTCGCCGGGGAGAAATGCGGGGAAGAGACCTTGTTAGGTGGGCTTGGCGAGCTTGGCGAGAGACAAAGCGGTGATACGTGTGAGAGATCTCGTGTCGTCAGCTATTTAAAATTATTATGGGAAGTGGGTCATATGGTTGTTATGGTTATGCTTTATCTAAGGTTTTGAGTTTAGGAGGGATTCTTTATCCTGGGAAGGATGGTTTAGAAGTTTGGGGTTGGTGCCCGGTGGTGGTAGGGTAGATGTCGAGCGCCTGGCTAGGGGGACTGTGTAAACTCTCCGAGACAAATCATTGGATAAACTTGCCTGTCTGAGCTTGCTAGCGTCGTTTAGCTACCCCAACCTGAACCGCCACAGTACTGTATTCGCCCCCACTGTTCAGGTCCGCCGAGAAAGCTAAGGTTTTGGAGGCGGGTGATGTGTATGCTGGTGCTGTTCAGCTGTTGCCTCCGCGAGCTAGGCTAGTCATTTGAGCCACGGGATGTATACGAGGTAGACACTACCTAGGCAGGGTCTTTGACTTTTTACCTTTCAGGATCATCAAGCTAGTAGATAAGGAAGGAGCGAGGTAAAACTTTGTAAAACGGAACTTGTAAAGTTTAAAAAAGAAAGACAGACAGAAAATGTCAGACCTAAAGTAGCTTGGCAAAAAAAGTACCGCGGCATATTCCGGATGTGTATTGTATGATCATGATTTGTTGGCATTGGCACTAACCACAACGCGTGATGGTTGCATGATGCAAAATCCCCTATTACCCATTCTTGGCTGGACCTCGACCAGACTTCATTCGCTTTTAGATTCATGTCGTATGATCTCATCACTTGGGAATAGCATAGCGTCTATGATATAGCCGACTTGGGAACTATGCCTACAAATCAGAATGCATGATCCATCATCGATCGCGGATTTGGGACAGGGATTGTTGATAGATATGGCAGGACAGCCGCATTGGCCCCACGTGGAGGGTATTACCCCAGCTTTTACGTGCTTATTATAATTATTGGACCGATTGGTTAGATTCTGGATAAGTGGGAGGACTAGAAGGGTCTACACGAGGTTATACATAGCTAATAGGAAGAATCCTTCGAATCATGCTATGATATGAGAAAGGTATTTCCATCGCCCTTACTCATTATACCTCATAACTACCGTTCCTCTTGTCGGTACTTGCAAATGAATCATCATTAGACTCCATGGAAATCACCTCGGTTCGGTAAAAGCTTCATATCCCCGCCTTTCGCCTGAGCCATCTGCCAACAGGGGTTATTCCTCTACCTCTTCACTAAACTCTCCGGCTGCTTCCGAGATACATCTCACTATCATCGTCTCAGAGCCAACCAGAGCACATCTTATGGAATTCCCGGCGACAGCCAAGGCAGCAATAATAGGACTGGGCTCGCATTGAACGTACCTAGCATCCAGGCCATTATGAGAGAAGGCTGCCAATCCTGAAAAACATATGATTGTTCCGTATTTCGTGTCAAAAGTTGCGTACCCGAAGGATTTGGTGGGGTAGGCATTCCAGGGCTATGGCTTGAGGTCGTTGGTTAATTTTAAGCGATATTCTCAGGCATGTATGTACCCCGACCTCGCCGAATATCGCCGAGTAGTATTGCGGTCGTAGCAAGACCAATAATATGACTGTCACTATCAGCCCCGCTAGAACGAATGCAATTGAGTATCTCTTACTTGGCCAGCCGAGTTGAGCATGTATTCGTACCGCATACTTATAGTCACGATGAAGTCGTTCATGCAAATCATTTGCAAGATAGCCACTATTGTTCTAAGGATAAACGAGGGCGTTGACATTTGCTGGTGGGCAGGTAAGACAGGAAGAGCACTCTTCTTTTGACTAGTCTCCTTCTAGTGTGTCTGCTTTTGACTATGTCCATTATTGGCCGACTGCTCCCTTCTTTGCCCGATACCGAAGTTCTGCCGGAATTCGCGGGGTCTCGCTGTAAACATGCCGTATGACAGATTACTTCGGCGTCGCCGGGTTCGCCTATGTATCTTCTTGGGAGATTTTTTGCTATTCCGGGCTTACTTTCAAGCCATAGGCCCCAAAGCGCACTTATGCATCAGTATGATAGTGATAAAGCCAGTCATTAGGGAGAACGGTGAACATTACCTGCACTGTACGAAATGAGTAGTTTGTTTCAATTCGATCGATGCAGCAGGAGCCAATTCACTTGATGTTAGAGTTCTTGTGTGCTGGTCAACCGCCCGTAGCTCTCTTTACTGCATTTGTGCCTCGCCTCGGAACTTAGACACGTCCGAAAGCATCTTCCCGGCCCCGAATACATCTCCACAGACTCAATATGATTTCTTTGAAGATTTTGCCCAAATAAATTTGCTGGGAAAGGTTTGCACTATCATGGTGGATGGTAAATTGTCGTGGCTAGGAGAGCCTTCCAGGTGTTGGAGCTGTGGAATGCTGAAATCCGGACCTATTTGGGACCGCGATGTCAGGCTCAACATAGAGATCGTCATCACTGGCTCTGAACACAATTGATGGTCAATTTTTCGCAATCCCAGCTTCGCTCTAGCGATGAATAGATGTGGCAGGAGGACGAAGGGTACGATGACACTAAGGTGAATGAGTCGTATGCGTACTCTCCAAATCCTCTAGATTTGGTTGAAATATATATTAGCAGACGAGCGTGGAAAGGACCGAAATTTCCCCTCGTGCAAATTTCTATACAGTACCGTACAAGAAGTACAGCCTCGATTATTCTCTCTCAGAGAGACGGCGAGAGCTTCAAAGGTTTGAATGTCTGGACTTAACTTTGGGGACACCAGTTTGTCGTTTTCCAGTTGTCATTGAGGTGCATCATTATGGTGAGAATTATGTGACAAAAAGTTGTTTTAAGGATCTTTTGCTCCCGAAGTTACTTTCATAATTTTGTTCACTCGAAAACTGAGCTCTTCTCATCAGACATTGCTTGATTTTATGGATACCGCCCTCTCAAGCTGACATGTTTAAGCTTAATAGGATCGGAGAATAAATGTGGGGCCAGGCAGTGATGGGACGTGTGGCCGATAAGGATGGCTACGAATGCGATAAGAATGTACCCAAAGGCTAACATGCGACCGACAGCCACTATACTGTAGCGAGAGGAGCTTCAGGATGACATTTCTTTTGATATCACGAGTTTCCCCATAATATTCCCAGGGTAATATCTCCCAAAATAGCCTCGTTCCCACTGGATTTGAGGTAGTCTGTGGCCAATTAATCTATTGAACCTGGCGAGTGCCAGGGAACTGCGACCGAAATGACGTCGATGCTGGGAACATGACAGCGCCAATGACGTAGGCCCGTTAGCTGTCAAACAACGATCGCATTGTCGCCGACCTCCCTCTTGACGTCTCAATTAATCACAGGTTGACCAGAAATATTCTCCGAGAACTCGATTGAAGATTATCGCAAAATCTTCTCATCAACCAACTGTCAACTCGAACTGAAAGCCCGCCCAGTGAGCCGACCGGGACTAAACAAACACTAGACCTACTTCAAGTCGTCGTTGGGCGAAACCCAGGACACCGAATGGCGACAGTTTCGATTAATGCTCCCGGCTTGAGCGGGGGCCTGCTTTATAACAATGGGTCGAACAATGCGAGGGTGTGCATCACCTCGGAGACGGGCGAGTTCGACATGGAGACGATCAAAAACTGGCAGGATGAAGGGTTCGATGTCGTTTACCTTCCGTTAGATGCAGGGGGTAAAGATTATGAGAGCCGGTTGAAAGGGGTCAAGGAAGGCTTGGGAGTTGGCGAGAACTATGCAGTAATTGGTAAGACATCCTGAAATAGGTCAAGAGAAACATATCGTCGAAGCTAACTATGAGCAGCTTATGGCGAGGCGGCCAATTATTGTTTGGATTACTATCTGAAATCGCAAAATGCTAGTCGTCTCTGTGCGTTGGTCGCATACTATCCCAGCGTTATCCCTGATACTCGATCCCGCTTTCCACTCTCCCTTCCTGTGCTGGTGCACCTAGCCGGTGATACTGTGGACGTCACTACTATCCCGGTCGCACTGGGCCTGCAAGGCAAGAAGAAACGCAAGACACGCCCTATCAATCCCGGTATTGGAACTGGTGAAAGACTCGAGCTGGCATACCCGGCTTACACCTATGATCATGCCCAGCCGGGCTTTGCCGAACATGATATGGAGGAGTATGATCACCTCGCAGCAGATCTGGCATGGACTCGAACAATCAAGGTATTGCGCAAGGGGTTCTCAAGGGAGGCAGATCTGGAGAGAAGATGGGAGGAGCATCAAGAGGGTAAGCCGAAAGCTGGAAGTCCATCGTGGCCTATGCTAATGGAGAATCAGGCAAATACTTCGGGTCTAACATCACCAAGACTATGGACGCGTATGTTTTGCAAAAGAAGCCTGCAGTCACGTATGTTCCCACTGTCAGCGGAGGAATCGGCACGCAAGCTCTACGCCGCTTCTACGAACACCATTTCATCGGCAAGCTTCCCCCTTCTATGCGTATTCGTCTGCTCTCGCGAACAACGGGAGCCGATCGTGTAGTCGATGAGCTTTACGTCTCATTTGAGCATTCCCAAGAGATCCCATGGATGCTTCCAGGAGTCCCTCCCACCAACAAGCGTGTCGAAATCATCATTGTCAGTATTGTCAGCCTGCGCGGGGGCCGTCTATACTCAGAGCACACATACTGGGACCAGGCCAGTGTGTTGGTCCAAGTCGGCCTTCTGGATCCGAAGCTGGTCCCGCAGTCTGCGCAAGGAGTTGATCGTCTCCCCGTTGTCGGTCGCGAGGCTGCTCGTCGCATTCTCCATGAAAACCCAGAGGAGGAACAAGTGGACTACCACAATCGCATGATTCGGCGTGCCCGAGCTCTCAGGAACCGGAGCGCCCGCGCCTCGCAGGCCGGTGAGGAGTCTGCTGCCGAGTTGAAAAGTGAAGCGGAAACTCCTATGCCCATCCGAGAGAAGAAGAAGGGTAAATCAGTGCAGGAAAAGGGAGACTCAGGACCAGCGCAAATCGATGCTAAGGATGGTGCAGCCGATGAGTCGAATGGAAATGCCGATGATGACGATGGGGCAGTCACTGAGACAGAGTCGACGGCTAAAGCCAAGCCGGAACCTGCCGACCACAAGGCTTTCGTCGAGGAAGGCAGTGACGAGAATGGGCAGTCATGACTGAGACTATTTGTTAGACTGCCGCGCTATGCTCGGTGGTGGTGAGTAATCTATATTGACTACAGGCTGAAGGTAATATGAAGCGAGCCACTTTATCTGAATTTCGTTTCCGGTTTTAGCGATAGTCATAAGTATTGTGACGACAAATAATTTGTGACAAACAGTACCATCGTGTCCTCTTTGGGATATACCACAACGCTTCAAAAATCTGTTCCAAATAGCATGTTTAGTTTAATAAAGTCGAAATCTATAGGGGCAAAGGATGTTACCAAAATGCGGTCGGGTAGCCAATTCTAGGTACGGCATGGCATGTCTTGCTGACCTAAAACAGTGAATGTGGGTAATAATGCGAGAGCAAAGGCCAATAGAAATTCACGACATGTATGATTCAGTCTCTTGGATCGAATATCAGAAGAATTGTTCTCAATTGGGAACTCTTCTCATAGTCCTGACAGGGGCCAACCCCTCACCACCATACTGTTCCAAGTCAATCACAATTGGCTCGACATCCCTGAATCCAAATTTCTCATAGAGCGCATGGCCATCATTCGATGATTCCAGCCAAAAATCTGTTAGCCCATGCTTCGCGGCTTCTTCAAGGCCTTGCTTGATCAAAGCAGAACCGATTCCATAACCACGATACTCTGGAAGTGTGGCCAAAACTTGCAAATCTATCTATCTAAATTAGTTGAAATGTCCAAAAATGGCATGTTGAACGATAACTTACGTCCAAATATCTTCCCAGACATATATTTCTTTCGCATCGCAACTGCCGACCGAAGGAATAAATTGGCGCCTTCTTGATTCGCGGTAGGCCGCCACTCGATATCCTTCCAGTCGTCAATCACCTTGGGCTCAAGGTAGAAATGCCAAAGGCTAACGGCGACAATCTTTTCCTGGCCATCTGAATCGGTAACCACGGCCTTCCACATATGCGCACTATTGTCATTTTGGACCTTATCGGCGAGGTCTTTCGATCGAGCAGTCGTATCGCTAGGGGGCCGAACAATACTAGCGAGATATTGTTTCTCGGCTCTGTCTTGCTGGCATTAGAGTTGGAAATATCCTCTATCGTTGCGAACGCTGCGCAATCAGCTTCTGTTGCGGCGACGATTTTGAAATCGAGTTCAGGCCTTGATGCAGCCATAGTGACAGGAGGCAGATGTGTTATTTAAATATTCAAAACTTGAATTGCACGCAAGTTTGGAGTGGAAAAGGGAGGTTCTGGGGACGCGTCCCTTATCTACTCCTGGTGGGGCCTTTGCGATGATTCACAATGCTCGAATTGACCCTAAGCCAAAGCTAGTGCCCGACTAGCAAGGTCGTCTCACACGAGCCATTATACCCTTTCAGCCCCACACACGGGAGACGAAAAGCGCCTCGCCGATGTTACCCTCGCCTTTGTGGAGGTTTCCTCGTAAAATTTCTATCAGGACCCGAACTAGCGAAGGCTTATCAACGCTTATACTAAGGCTTACCTTGAATCGTGGCATCTTCTGTGGCTGAAGTCGTGCATGGCTGCTTGGGCTAGAAAGTGGATATAACAGACTAGCGCTTCCGACCGTCTTTAGCCCCAGGGCGCAGTCCTATATGTGTCTCGGACTAAGGTTGAATGCCAATGGGAACTACCTCTTTATGGAAGAATTGAGACCAAGCACGCAGCCTCCTGATCAATGAACTGCTGTTTGTTAGGGTCTACGGTGGTGTGAAGTCAGCCACAGCAGGCCGCAATTGACCATCATCTACACTCGGCTTTAGCAGAGCCGCATTCTACCAGCCTCATTATATACTACTGTACCCTTCGTCCTACTAACCTGGAGGTTTCTTCCATATCTATCGAACTTTAGTTGTGGTTTCTTACACTGCGATGCTATATTAACCATCATCTTCATGCAGTCACCCTGCAACCCAGGGTATGCACTGGAGGATGAGACGTGAACACCCTGTCAGCCTTCCGATTTGAATGCACAGCCACAGGCCATACGATCCCATGGATAGATTACTCCCAGATCTTGAGCTTGGTCAGAAGTAGAGCAACAGAGATTCAAATTGGATGTATGTTGATTGGAATCCTACATAAGGCCGCCAACATGCACATTTCACTGGTTCAGGTGCGTGATAATGGAGGAAGAAACCTGTTAAAAAGGCCACTGAAGAGCTACGTATATTGAGACTAATTTGAATATTTCGACGCATTCTTCAAAGCCTCACAAGTTGACACAAATCCCCAACAATTTGTGACATTCCATTCCCACACCTCACTCGCACCAAAGGGCGTGCCTGTTCCCACTCCATCTCGCAACATGATACAGTCGTATCCCTTGCTGAACGCATCCGTCAACGTACTACCAACACACTGATCGGTATTCACCCCTCCCAAAAGAAGTGTGCTTATCCCCTCTCGTTCCAGGAAACTCTCTAATTCAGAGCCTGATCCCCATAGCCCAGACATGCGGTTCTTATGAAATAGTACATCCGGCTTTGATTGAGTGTTGTCCCCCAATATACCATGGCTCTTCTTGTATTCCTGATCGAAGGGATCGTAGAGTGCGGCGTTCCAGGAATCACGCATGAGTACGCGCCCGCCGGGGACCGTCTTGTTAGCAGCCGACTCCACAGTACCGAGATCCGTTCCGAGGCCCTTATAAAGTGCGGGGTTCTTGATTCGGACCATGTTCGGCGCTGAAGGGAGAGGACCATTCTTTCCAATATGATCTTTCGAAGATTGACCAGCTTCGTAGCAGCTGAAGGTGCGCATGATTGCTGGTGGCATAGTGCGTAGATCGTTCTCAGTCAAACCCCAGCACAGCCAAATGACTCGGATTCCGTGATGCCGAGCGGCTGGAATACCAGCGCTAAGGAGCGCATTCGTGGCTGCTTCTGCTGGAGTGGGCTTGTCTCCGGCTCGTGGTCGCACTGCTGGATGTAGAAAGAAATTCTGCAGGTCGATCAACAGGAGTGCGGTTTTCTCAGGATCGAGTCGAGTTGATTGTGTTGTGGTTCTCAGGCTGATGAGGTCGTTGGACTTTGATCCTCGAGAGAGGTCAATAGTGTTGCAGCCGGGCTCGTAACGCCAGAAGTTCGTTGCACCATGTCCAATCATTTGTGTAGGTACCATTTTGGTATGTTTGAGGGAAGTTCCCTCACAAGTTACAATTTTATCGTGGTTGACATTTTTTTGGTGGCCAATCTCATAGCGCCTTCTCGGGACATATCTCATGTAGAAAGAGCTTATCTAACCCCTTCCCCGCACCTAGTCGAGACGGATTCAAACAGCACCATACCAGATCTTTAATTTCTAATCTGAAGAAGGTCTGGCGACGTTTCGATACCAATACTGGTGTAATTCTTTTTTCAAAGTCCCTACAGGAAAGCTGCTCCGTTTGCCGAAATCAAGCATCTAGATTCATTTTCAGTCAGCGTATCTTGGAAGACCGGCTTTTGCTCAATGATGAAGGAAATGATGAAGAGGGAGCATTTCCACCCTTTCACATTGCATAAGAACACCATTATCTTTGCCACAACACATAATATTATTCCTCCATAAAAAGTTCATGGAATGCTGGATTGAGTACTTCATACACTCGGTCAATGTACATAGTCTAACGTCTTGAAATGCTTTCCCTTTTTTCTAAAGCCCCCGCTTGCCTTCTATCCAAATAACGGTAACCAGTCTAGATAGTCTATCGGCCGTTTCTGCAGACCAATATCTCACATTTTCCCTTTCGAATCACACAATTGCTGATGCTATACTAGACCCATGGCACTTTTTGGAATAGGACGAGGCTTAGCTACCTTTTCGTACTCGGCCATGAACCGCAACAAAGTCTCCTCCTCATCCGCCCTGGCCACCAAACATGAACCGAATGGTCCATCATTGTAGCGAAGTTGTCCTATCGGGACCGTGGCGACGGGATACCTTGATCCTGTTAGAAAACCGTGAGCCAAAATGACGCTCGATAAGGTATTATCTGCAGCGGCAGCATGAACACATAATGGAGAGTCTCCTGGAGCTGCCGGGATATTGATATTCTACTTGTCAAATAGCTCATCCAAAACAGCCCTCGCGGCTCGTCGAAGTTCTTGTTTGAGTGCGTCTATATGCTCCTTCGTGTCACTGCTGTTTAATGCTCCTTGCAGATCATTCTGCATTATGTTAAGTTTTCACTACACGCTCACAGGATTGTATCCTCCCTATCAACGTACGGGGTGGAATGGCAATTGCGCTATTCTCTCTATTAATTTTGACATATCTCCGACGCTTCTTACCGAGCACTCGTCAAAACAGTCAATGGGAATACTCTCCGACACCCGGGTACTTCGGCAGCCTGTACGCCGCTCGATCTATCTTAAGCCCCTCTCTGTCTAGTGTACTTGAGACTGGAATCGAGCGAATAAGTAGACTTAGGCCTAAGTCTCTTAGGTTTATTTAGCTATCTGAGTGGGAAGAAGGAAGATCCTACTAGGAGGACTGTTATGATATACCCTGGCATGAAGTTATTCCCAAGTGTTGGTGCCTCAGGCTTCCCAGACCTGATAAGCCGGCAGGCTTTCTGTGGAGGCTCGCTGGGGCTTCGGCATCAGTACGTGTACGAACTCCTGCAGGGAACACCCTTGACAGAGGTTACACAAGCCTTGTGGTTACTCCGCTCCCATCCTTCTACCAAGGATACATCTCCTTCCTGTTTGAGCGATGAGACTGTATATAAATTGACCCATGTTGAAGAGGTTTTACGATCCTCAAGAAACAATCTTTGACTATCTCACGTAATTGACTTGGCCCCGTTTCTCCTACCTGATTGACAGGCCTCTACCCTGACTTGTAGATTATATTCTTACAGGCACCCTAGCTACGTAGAAAGACGTATTGTAGGCGTCGCCGAAGCCCTCGATCTCTCCAATAATATCTTCAACCCGCAGGATCTCCTGAAGCTCTATAATCTGTCGCTTACGCTTAGCAGGGTTATCACAGCGAAGGCGAATGCTAAGACGCTTTCGAATTCGCCGAAGTGTCCTGCTAGACGTTGGCTTTCCCTGCTCCTTGAGGATGCGTAGAATCTTATCTGAGCGAAGAGCCGTTTTGTAGAGTTGCATAACAAGGTCATCGGTTTCTTCTGCTTCAGGAGCCCTTCTAGGGCGGCGAATACCCTATTCAACCAGACGATTGCTGATAGTGCGCCCTGTAACGGTAACACCGTAGTCATTAGAGAGGATAGCCGCGATAGCTCTGTCTGATTCACCACGGCGAGCTATGTTCGTAATATCATCTTTGTATAGGTCAATATCGATTCGAGGCGTCATGCTGAAGGCACCAAGGCAGAGGAAAGGGATCAGAGAGGTGTAAGAGAGAACATAATATGCAGAAGAAGAGATGCAGAGGAAGAGATGCAGCCCTAGGAGGGGGCCATGAAAGCAGACTAGATTGCCTATTCGGGTCTGTTGATGCCTAGTTTATCAGGTATACAGAGCAGGCGGTCTTAAAGGCGGTATGTGGAACGCCACTTTCCAAAGGTGGCCACTACTGTCCACCGTAGACTAGGAGTTAAGGACGACTGGGGACGATTGGAGGACGATTGAAGGACGATTGAAGGACAATTGGAGGACTATTGGGGGCATTAAATTCAAAACCCACAGGTGGTAATTAACAACATCGTTGATATTTCAGTGACGCCAAGCTGAACATCAGGTTCGTCCACTTTAGGCAGAGTGACTGTCACGTGACTAGACATCAGACACTCCCCATGTTTGACCTCTATCTCAGGGGAAACGCGCATCCACATGCGCATCGACTTGCTAGCCTCTGTGAGAGCCAACAGTTCAGCTTCAGTGGTGCTTGTTGTGACCGTTTTCTACTTCGCAGCCTTCCAATCCACCGGTCCTCCAAATATTTTGCAGAGATATCCCGCAGAGCTCTTGCGATCGTGACTATCCCCGTATGAGGCATCGCTGCATCTGGATTTTCCAAGAATATGTCGGAGCGGGGAATACTATTACACAAGCCCCCTATTCTAATGTAAAAATGCTACCTGGTACAGCGGTGAATGGTGGTGTCTCCAGAATTTCTTGATCCCTGCTGTAATCCTGCAGGGCGGATTGGTTTCTGGAAGGGTGTGAATGTCTGTCCACATTTCTGAGTACAGTGAGTATGTATGTATGTATGATTTCATTTACGCTGGCCCTGAATTGTTTACCTGGACGAAGCTTTACCAGGAACTGTTTACCTTTGCGAATATCGTTCAACCACCATCAATATCTCCAGATCAACCCGGTAGAAGCTTGGAAGAAAAAGCCCGATACGGCAAGGAATCATGATATGTGTAGAGTGACTGGCTTTCTCGGGTTTGAGCGGCGTACGTAAATGCTTCCAAAATGCAGTAAGTTTCTGTGTCTATTATGGCTGGGTAGGCCTAGATCTTCGAACCATAAAAGGGGCAATCAAACCAATCGTACATTTAGTGCTCGAAGAGACCTAGCCTCTACCGTGTCAGGTTTAGAATAATCGGAGTGGGGCGCTGGGAAAGAAAGCGGGTGTCTCTGGAAAGGAAACTGTTTTCGAAATTCTGTGATCTCTATTACAACAATATTGAAAACTTACAGAACGGCAATAGGATATTTCTCTCTCAAAGTTCCCCCATATCTATAAATAAGCGCTGGCACCGGAGTCATGCCCAGGGCAAGGAATCCTAGAAGAGAATTACCCCAACCCATTCCCAACACCTTATACATGCTAGGCCCAGCCAAGGGCAAAAACGCACCGAACAGACAACGTACAGCAATTAACCCCGCAATGGAGGACGCGGCAAACGGTCCAGAAACATCGATAAAGTACGTCTGAATGGAGGCAAAGATTCCGATCATCCCAAAGCCGAACGGCACCAGACCGATAATAGGCAGAATCCAATGGATGTGTTTATCCGCTGTCCAACCGTACCAAAAAAAACTGATTGGGATGAATGGGGCGGCAATGAGGCAGCTCGCGAGGCGCATCTCGGGCTTGTAAACATTGTTGTTCTCTTTAGTGAGGCGGGTGACTGTGTCGTCAGAGGTTTTAGCTACAACGGTGATGCCGATGATGAAACCAATTCCGAGGCCCAGGTAGGCGAGGCCGGCGAGCTCGACGGGCCAGTCGTATTGAGTGGTGAAGAGGGTGGTAATTGTGGTGAAGAGGAGATAGAGCAGTCCAAACACAAAGGACATGTAGAGCGTTAAGAAGAAAAGGATTGGCGAGCCGAGGACCATTTTCATGGGCCTTGTAATGCCGAGGAGAAGACCAGCAGTGGCGTTTGGAGCCTGGGATTCCTCGCTGTCGTAAACTGCATTAGCACTTCCACGCTTTTGAAGCGGTTTTCTGTGCCAACGGAGCATTACAGCGTGGTTAGTTTCCTGTCCAAGAACGAGGTTGACGATGGCCAGTGTTCCAGTGGCAATGAGTAAAACCCAGTAGACCCATCGCCAACCTGCACGCTGTGCGATAAATCCTCCGATTACTGGGCCTACCACAGGGCCAAGGAGAGGGCCAACTGTGAACATTGCATTTGCCTTTCCTCGCTGGGCAAGCGGGAAGAGGTCAGCGATAATGCCTCCTCCGATAGTCAAGCATGCTGAACCGCCGACACCGCCAAGGAACCGGAAGACGATAAGACTCGCCAGATTAGGTGAGAGCGCGGCGCCGAGCTGCCAGACGGCATGGAAGAAATTTGCACCATTCAATACTATTTGACGGCCATAAGCTTCGCTTAGAGGGGCCAGAATCAGTGGGCCGAGCTGAATACCGTCAGTGCATGAGCGTCATAATTGTGCTAGTCCAGAACTTACGGCGAAACCAAGAACGAAAATGCTGACAGCAAAGGAGTTGAGGATTTGTGAAGTAACCTGGAAGTCCTTATCCATAAGATGTATACCTGGGGCAGGGATGGATGATGCCAAGGGACTGAAGCCGTTAGTAAGTGTACCTCTTAGGAAGTACCCGAAGTGCTAGCATACCTAAGAAACGCCATGAGGCTGACAAGGGACAATAAAAGCCACTTTCGGCGCTTGGAAAAGTTTCTAGATTTATCAGCACATTCTATCGCGAAAGAGTGAATATTCCTTACTGTGGGTTGATGTCCTGATTCTCGGCTTCCACCGTAGGTCCAAAATCGTTCTTCTCCGTGTCCACTGCGGACCATGAATTGTTGGTGGCTTCCTGAGCATTCATGCCGGAAAATCTTCGAAAAAGCGTTATGGAAGAATAGCGTGGGAATTAAGCTATGGGAGATAGAGTGGTTATATAATTTAGCCAAATTTAGGGGAACAAAAATAACAATAAGATTGCGTGTAGTTCGGGCACCGCTGGGACCCTGCTTACTGTGCCTATTCTATGTGTACAATTCTACAAGGCTAGAGTACCATAATAACAATACTCTGCCTACTAGCCTACTACTCGAATTCATTCCTGAAAAGAAGTCCGAAAAAGGGGCCGTAACCCCGCGGAGGAAAAAAGGGCGATGACAATACTGCTCAGGTAGACGGACATAGACCGGCGTTAAGAGCAGGACCGATACCCCGGGGGCACCGAGTCAGCATCCTAGGAAAATACCTAGGAGCTAGCTACTATTCCGCATCCAAAGTTAATCTTCTAAATGGTCAGGCATTTCGTTTCAATGAGCCCGATTTGTGATGCGCCCGATGGCCATCGGCTCTGCCGACGCACATCTGTCGGATGTCTCAAACGCTCTCGAATCCTCACACCTGGACTGTCGGAATGGCCTCTGCCTGCAATGGTGCATACAAGGTACTACGTAATACTCCCGATACCTGTAGGACCTTGAGAGCATGTAGCTATATATTGTCACCGGAAACGATAGACACTTCGACAGATTCAACACCATCTTACAAATTACTCTACTATCCAGAATCCAGCACCAAAAATGTCCAGATGCACTGCCGCCAACAGTGCCGGCGATTTCCGCCCTACGGCCTCGCAGATCATCGACGACGAAGACCTCGAGAACAAGCTTCCCGACAACGTCATGCTCATCACTGGTTTCTCTCAGGCCTAGGTGTCGAGACTGCTCGCGCGCCCTTCCGCACCGGCGCAACCATCTACACCACAGCGCGCGATATGAAAAAGCAAAGAACGCCCTAAGCGACATCGCTAACAGCCTTGAGCTCCACTTTCTAAAGTTGACTTAACTTGCTCGACTCCGTCCCTGGCTGCACGGAAGAATTCAAGTCCAAGAGTAACCAACTTAACCTTCCGATCGAGAATGCTGGTGTCATGGCCTGCCCCGAAGGTAAGACCGCAGACATGTTCGAAAGCCAGTTCGGCACCAACCACCAAGCCCACTTCCTCCTCTTTTACCTCCTGAAAGATCTCTTGCTCTCCTCCTCTACCCCTGCTTTCAACTCCCGCGTCGTGGTTGTTCTTCCAGCGCCCACCGTAATTTCTCCATCCACCTCGACAATTTGAGCCTCGAGTATGACCCTTGGGAGGCATATGGGCAGAGCAAATCAGCAAATATCTGGATGGCAAACCAGCTCGAGCGTCGTTTTGGATCCCAGGGTCTCCATGGACTGAGTTTACACCCTGGTGCTATTAGAACAGAGGTATTACGCCATGTTTCAGAAAGACAGTTGGATTCGTAGGGCAAGGATGAAGAATTGAAAAAAGTCTGGAAAAATCCGCAGCAGGCAGCTGACACTACGGCCTGGGGTGCGGTGGCTAAGGGATTGGAAGGCAGAGGAGGTGTTTTCCAGAACGATTGCCAGATTGCCGGGGCGTGTGTTGCACAGTCCAATGGTCAGGCTGGACCTGGGTATGCGGAATGGGCGTACAATCCTGGAGAGAATAAGCTTTCGGAAAAGACGCTTGAGCTCCTCAATTTGACTTAGTTTCGATAGATTTGTGAAACGTACCTATGATTAGCAGATAAGTGCGATCAGAAGTAATCCTTGTTCAGCCGGTGAGAAAAACGTCTACTAGGGCTGCATTTTCTAGTCTAGACAGAAATGTATCTTTTGGAATTTTGATTTAAATACACCACATTTCTCCTAGTGCTTGCACAACACACCACGGTATCTGACATTGCCCCTCTTAAGTCTGTCGAGAGTCTTGTTGATACCCTCAGTCGACAGCGGCTCGCACTCAATAATAGCGCGAATGTTATTTCGCGCAGCAAACTTGAGCATATCGGAGTAGGTTTTCTTGGAGGGCATCGGCGACTGAACCTTAGCTCCGTTGACAAGAAACTTCATGTGAGGCAGCGCAAGCTGGGCCTCGGGGCCGGTCGCGGTGAGCGGGAAAATAGCAGAGCCCTTGGCAAGAATAGGAAAGAACAGATCCCAGTCGGGCAACTCAGCGGTGGTGACAAGGAGGTGGTGGACCTTGCTTGAGACGTCGGAGGTGAGGTCCGTCTTGCCACGGGTCGTCACGAAGCACGAGGCGCCGAGCTTCATTGCATCCTCCTTCTTGGACTCCGTCTGGCTGAATACCACAACTTCGCATCCCATAGCCCGAGCGAACTGGATGGCCAGATGGCCGAGACCTCCCATACCGACGATACCGACGGTGTCGGAGGGCTTGACACCGCAGAGCATCAGGGGTGCGAAGACGGTGATACCACCGCACATCAGGGGAGCGGCTTGCTCGGATGGCATGTTATCGGGAATGCGGAAGACGAAGGATTCCTTGCGGATGGCTCCAGTGGCGAAACTTCCAGAGTCCAAGTTAGCTGTTCCATAGTAGACCGGGGTATCGCAGATGGTCGGGTAGCCGTCCATGCACTTCTCACAAGTACCACAGCTGTCGAAGGGATAGCCCCAGCCGACGCGGTCACCGCTGGAAACAGATAAGTCAGCCGTTGAAGGATACGGGGAATGGTTGGTTGGGACACTTACACCCTCAAGCTCTTAACCTCGGGTCCAGTAGCTTCGACAACGCCAGCACCTTCATGGCCCAGAGCTATGCCGAAGGGGATACAGTGAAGATCAGAGCCACAGACGCCGGAGTGAGTAACATTTATGTACACCTGATCACCAGTGAGGGCGGGGCGCTCAGTGGTGTCTTCTGCAATGCTGCCGTCCTTCTGGCCGCGCCAGACGGTGAATTTGTAGACTGAGCTCATAATATTTGATATGGTATGAATGCAAGAACGATTGACTGCTATTGCAACAAGTTGTTTAGACTGAGGAAAGAAAACACATCTTATAACCAGAGACGGGATCAGCGAATGCATCATTCCTACGGTATCTGGCCTGCGGTTACGGTGGTGGCGTCTGCTATCCAGATCCGCAATACTCCGGCAATATAACTTTGTAAAGCATTCAGCGAGGTTGCTAACATGGTAACCGTGGAAGAGGCTGGCCCACTGGCTTTCTTCATGTGGATAAGAATCTGACTCTTCGGGTTTAACAAATGTGGGGTGCATTAATTACAACATATTTCGGCCTTAACTACAGGGTCTTTCGGTGTTAAGATTCTGATGACAGGACGGGTTAACAAGATTAATCAATTCTTCGGGTGCAGTTTAGGGTGAGGAAAATACTAATGAAATATCTATAATATCTATGGTATCCATGCTCCATTACACATGTCGCTCAGTGCACGTAACTTTGCGAGAAATCCGTATGAGCTTAATCAGCTTCCGAAATGATAATTAAAAATCGGCCGGGACAATCTTAGTTTTCACTACCTCAGACACAGTGAATTGACCCATCAGAATTTGATATACATACATAGTAGTAGTATGGCTCGGAATTGCATCTAACTAGTTAGTTAGTTAGAGACAAGATACTGAATTAGTCAGCACTCAACGAAATCGAATTTCTCGCCACCAACGAACTAACGATAAAATTCCCGGGTTAACGTTTTCAAATTTGCACTACAAAAACCTTAATTTTTTAAATAAGCGAGATCTCCATCGCTCCTTTGAGAAAACCTCTATGCGCTCGGCCGTTTTGTTCCAAATACCCAAGCAAAGAGAAACCCTCACATATCCGTTTGACTATCGTTCACCACCCCCAAGAAACAAACACAATTCATATTCTAAGAGAAGAAGCATAATAACACCCTAGGTCTAGCTGATTACTAGGACAAAATCGTTTCGGGGCAGAATTTGTCAAGAAGCTTCTCACAAGGCGAGATGAAGTGTAAGGATATACTCTATAAGTCAGGATAGAGGCCTGTCAATCAGGTAGGAGAAAGGGACCAAGTCAATTGTGTGAGATAGCCAAAGACTGTTTCTTGAGGATCGTAAAACCTCTTCAACATGGGTCAATTTATATACAGTCTCATCGCTCAAACAGGAAGGAGATGTATCCTTGGTAGGAAAATGGGAGCGGGGTGAAACACGAGGCTTGTGTAATCTCTGTCAAGGGTGTTCCCTGCAGGAGTTCGTGCACGTACTGATGCCGAAGCCCCAGCGAACCTCCACAGAAAGCCTGAGGCACCAACACTTGGGAATAACCTCATGCCAGGGTATATCATAACAATTAGCGACGTTCTTGCCTTAGTTAATCTCGACCTTGGTTATTATCGTCTCCTAGTAATTAGTTACGAGGAAGACAGTATAAGAGCCTTTGATTGCTACGGCAACAGAGAATAACGAGTTTAGGTCGCCCTATAACAAACAAAGGTGTCGGTATCTGTACAGCCTGTAGGGTAGGTAGCATTAAAGAAGGTTATATAAGTATATACATTTACAACCTCAACCCTTAACTTAGCCAACGCCTCCGCGGCCGGTTTTGAAACATCCCGTGTAATCCCACGAACTTTAAACTTCTTCAACAATAACGAGTCAGAAAGGAGACTCTTAATGACGGAACCTCCCTGAATGCTAGTAGCGCCAAAAACGGTAATAATCTGAGACTTAATAGCGATGGTAATACGAGCCTAAATTTTTGAAAGTCTGTGGAAGCCGCAGGGACCAGCTACATTTATATAGCCTACGGAGGGCTTTTGTTATGCTGTTACACAATACTAAAAATATTGTCAGAGCATTGAACTAGCACCTTTGCGCAAACTTTCCATCTCGCATGTCTTCCATTGCACGGGGGGTGTCCGTTTTCGGAGTTTCGGACGAGGTGACCGATTACCAATGTGCCGAAACATTAACCAGTTAACCGAGTCGTTAGACATGCGATGGCATGTTAGGTGAACTCTGCTTTAACGTGGCGTTAACACCGGTCCAATAACTACCGCCTTCACCTAGGATAAACGGCCCCATGTAACCTTATTCCTCAGCCCCGAATTGCAACGGCCGAATATCGATCGGCCTTAGAAATTCGGCCGAATTCCAACTTATTGGAATGCCGCCGCGCCAAAGCATTAGGATCACCAAACGTGCCGAACTCGTGTACCGACATATCACCCACACTCTCGTTCCCACCGCATTTTCATACCCAATTTTCGAATACATGATGCAATTAATCCACCAAACTAGCTAAAATCATATAAAAGACAGCTCTCCTTTCTCCCTTGCTTCCTTTTCGCTATCAATTGACCTCTGAATAGTTACTCTGTTTAGTGCGCATTGAGGGCTTAAAACTATGCACGATTTCGAATTGCTTATCAAGCTTCCTCTCGTGAGCAGCGTTTTCCTTCGCCTTCCTCTGTTGAATCGACCGATTCGCGTCACGAGGCTTCAGTATACCATCCTGGCTAAGCGATTTAACCTGCCGTTTAGTATATACCCGACGTTGGGGGTCTTGCGCAGCCCGAACGCGCCAAAGTGGATCCAGTGTCATAGCAAGCTCCTCAGGCTTATCTAGCTGGTGTTTGAAAAATTTGGCGATATTTCATTGCGCCCTCTCTAAATCCCTATTGAGATCTCTTATTATCTTCGCTTGATTCCTCTCGAGTGCTTCAATGGTAGCAGGAGGGCTATTATCCACGCTAGAAGATAGAATTTCCGGAGATAGAGTGCGTACACCTGCTGATCGAAGCTCTGGTGTATATAGCTCAGGAATAACCATCTGAGTCGTCAGATCGGCCACGATCTGACGACCATTCACTGGGTAAATACCACGATCTTTGAAGGATTGACGAATATTTCGCGGATTAAAGGCCCTTTCACGAATTGGTGCGATAATCCGAAGGAAATCTGATTTCATGCGGTCGGCCACTCCAAAACGATAGCCCATTATTCGTAAGCCGAAACTGCTGCTTATAAGTCAAAAAGGGCTTCCCATCGAGCGGTTGACAGAGGTGAGTTGAATGCGGTAGAAAGGTGTATGGGACAATCAAATTATCCTCGCATTTTTAAAGAAATTCAAGGTAGGATGCGCGCCGTGCCCGTCGAATATAAGATGTCGCATTTCACCCCCTTTTAACCGGTAGGTAGTAGCAGTAGCAGTAATAAAGCTATTCCAGCTATTCAAAGAGATATACCAAATCCTCGGCACCGTACTACTCGGGCCTGTGATGCCTGCCGCGCCTGCAAAAGAAAATGTGATGGGAAAATGCCGAGATGTTCGCAATGCCAGGCCCAATGCTCAGAAGACTGCTGTTACTCCGACAAGAAGAACGTGAGACGGAAAAAAAAAACTTTGTTCTGCCAACCAAAGAATTCAGAATTATGAGGACCTTCTTCGCGATTTACTGCTGTATTACAGATACCCTCGAGGGTACCCTCTCCATGTCGGCTTCGGCAGAGCCCGCAGAACCCCGCAGAACCCGGAAAGCTAACCTCCTCAGGGCAACGACGTACATATAGATAGCCAGCAACATGGTGCCCTGAGCGGTCACACTCTGTTTTTTCTCTCCACTCACGAGACGCAATTCTCACGGTTGATGAGGATGTTAATCGAAATCAAAAGGCGCGAGCCACCGGGTATCATGGTAAAACCTCAGAGGTAACTTGGATTAAACATCTGTCGTCGAATATCAAACAGGAAGCCGATAAGCTGGGGTTTATTGATCTTCAGCAAACATTCGACATTCCCCACAGCTCCACAGCCGCTGCTATCATTTAGACGGACTGTGCGAGACAGCGACTGTTGAGGGCGATCCCTTTGAGTTGCCCCCGATCTGGACGGTAGAAAACCTTATAAGTTTATACTTTCGTCACGTCAATTTGGCGCTCCCAATCGTTCGCGAAGATCTCTTCAAGAAGCAATGCAATGAACTATACAATGATGGCTCGTCGATGCCTGGCAAAAAGTGGATTGCGGTGTTTAACCAGGTTCTCGGCATTGGGGCGGAGCTTCACAATATGAGCCGTAGAGAAGAGCGGATTGACAGTAGCACGTTCCTCGCTCGGGCACAAACTGTTAACTCCTTCGACTATATAACCGGAGCTCACGAGGATTTACAGGAGGTTCAGGCTCAAACCCTTGCGGCCCTATACTTCCTGATCACGTCAAATATTGATAGGTATGCGCCCTAGACAACATTGCCTCGTTTTGTTAGCACAGAACCTGCATTAACTTTTACAGAGCCTGGAAAGTGATAGGCATAGCCAGCCGTTTGGGCATTGCTTTGGAATTGAACTTCCATTCAACCCATATTTTCTCCGAAAGGGAATCGTTCGACGCCCGGGTCAATCTTTGGTGGTCGATCTTCCGACTGGACACGCTACTATCTCTAATGACTGGCAGATCCTCTGGGCTGGGTGAGAACTCTTCAATGGCCCCATTGCCCCTAGAATTCTGTTCCGAAGTGCTCTCGCCCAATCAACTCTGGGAACGACCCCCACAGAATCGCAGTATTCGGTGGACAATCTATCAGAAGCAGGATGACATGGCAAATCAACGGACGCTTTTGCAAAGTTTGACCCCGAGCCACTCCCTATTCCAGTTTTACTTGGTTGACTTGGATCTAATCACCCATACCATAGCCAATCGGGTATTTGGTATTGACATATTTCAGGACGGGTGGAGTGATATAGAGAGACGCATCGCGTATTATAACGTCAAAATGGACCTTTGGCAATCTGACCTACACTCCGCTATGCAGTTTGCCGATGATCAAGGGAGACCACGCACCGGATCACTTTCGGCCTTCCAGGCAATATTAGCGCTTCAGTCCTACAGCGCCCGCATTGTCCTCAATCGGCCTTGTTTTAAGAGGTTCGGTAACAAGAAGGAAGTACAGTTTCCTTCTTCGAGTTTCGGAGGCCAGACTGCTTCGAATTGCTTACATGCGTCACTAAAGTTGATATCCCTCCTTCCTGATTTGCCTGATATGGATTGGTATTTCCTCATTGGGCCATGGTGGAGCTTGTTACACTTTGTTGTTCAAGCTCTGACTATTCTGCTTATCCACTTGTCACTCGGGCCTGGTATGTGGGGCACCGCTCACGAAGGCATTCCCGAACTACAGGATTCTTTGTCCGCTGCTGATGTGTCCGGTACTATCCTGGCTGCCGCGGGAAAAGCACTGCTCTGGCTATCTAGTCTGAGAAAGATTAACCGTGCGGCCTCACGGGCCTTTGATCGGTGCTATGCCTGTCTGCAGCTGGTTGCGGTGACCAAAGCCATCGACCTAGGAGACATGGCACGCGATTCGCCATTTTCAAATTCTCCCGCGAGTAACTTGTCGGGGCAGGAAAGCTCGGGCAAGGCGTCAAACCGAGCACTCAGACGCATCGGCGGCCCAATCATTCAATTTCTATTACAGCCCTTTGCGTCCTTTGGCCCCGATATCGATATACACGTCCATACATCTGACCCAGCAAATACAACCTTTGAAGACATACTAGCTTCTCTAATGGAAACGGCCCCCTAGATTTGATGCCATTTGGGCGGGCCGTAGGTGTTACGTACCAGAGGAACCCGATGAAATTGTGCTCTCAATGAAGGAAACAAAGCTGAGGGAAGGATCTATTAGTTACAATGAGTTCGAAAATTACTGTATTGTGCTACAACTAATACGAATAAAAAAGGGCCGTGCAAGCCGAATTACATCAGAATACCTTTCCACAGCATCAAAGACAGAATGTGTGTTCACCCAGTCAACCAGCTTCGAGTACTTTCGACACTTATGCGGAAGTGCTCTGCTCTCCTTTATCCCGTCTTGACTTGTGACAAAACAGTGTGGAGTCACATCGCTTTGACACGCAAATACTATACTCAATGTCTCAATGCAGTGGTCTATATGGTGCCAGCTTGTCTTCTCTCCACCGCTGAGAGAGGGCAAGTTGCTATAATCCCAATGATCTCAACTTATGAACTGCCTTACAAAATTCTGTCGGGAATCCTCCCTTAGCGCGACAATCTCCAAGTCGACCTTGCCGTGACTAACCAAGCAATGAATCTGATGCCCCTCTTACAGACCGCCAACCCCCGCATCTGGTCCCGAGCCCACTAGCCGAAAATCACCCACCATGGAAGATTTGTTCAATCCCACGAGATACTCTAGGGGCACGGAAAAGGTGCCAACTGGTTCAGTGAGCATAGCATTCGCCATTGAAGTAGATGACTTGAAGGGGAATTGGACTCACAATCCCCTAACGCTCCCCATGCTTTCTCCGCAGCAGCGGAGGGGTAGCCGCTAAACTCATCCGGCCTGAAAACGAAAGCGAAAGCGAGCGAAGGTAAAATTTGCAACGTGGTCATTCTCATTTTCACATGATGCAAGGAAAACTCCGTCAGAGTGTCTTTGTCTTTGGGTCAGATCAATTCTGTCTCACTATTCTTCGGTGGTGAGTTTTCGAGTGCTGCCCACTTATCCGAGTCCCCACTAGCTGTTGGTCCAGGCTTCCCCGATTGACCCTGAAATAGACCCTCCGCTTGGTTAAAGATACTTGGCCATGGCTTCGGGGATTAGGTGGCGCTTTAAGGTGGCCGCGCGGTCAACCTACCTAACGGGGAACTTGACCTGCTTTCCGTGAGAATCCGGGTCACCCTTGCGGTCCCAATGTGATCACCATATAACAGATTTGCTTTCTTGGCGCCAATACTGGAGCCTTTACTGAGATTTCTGGCTTTAAAGGTTAATTTGTTCTTTGTCGCTCTAGACCGTCGGTAGCGTGGACGATCATGCGGCTTATCTACGTGAGTTTAAATCCTTTGCAATTTCATCCACCACAATTGGTGTCTATTTCATTGTGACGTCGAGTTCAATTCCACCTATTTTGCAAACATACAGACATTATCCATCTAGATTTGAACTTATTCAGTGTAGAACGTTCCTGTGGCGGTCGCCACATGGCCAAGATGGGGTACCCACCATCGACGGAATTGCCTCATCTACCACGTGAAATTCTAACAAAGGCCGGTTAATTATTGAGACACATAATGCCGACTGCGCTTCTGAAGAGAAAGACTTCAAGTTCGGTTCTGTTCCTGCAAACCTTGCAGGAACGCAAACTCTGAAGTCCATTTTTACAGACCAAGGCAAATCATATCGACCGAGACATAAGGCGCACAGGGCAAGACCGCCACTGACAGCATATTCCCCAGTTTTATCGTTTTCTGCCAGGGGGACGAGCAAACCATGAGCTGTCCCAGCTGGGGTGAATGAAAGGTTTGGAAACTCGGAACCATTGGAGACGTTGGGGGATTACCATTTCCGGCGATGGCAACAACGTTCGAGACCATCGGATATGGAAGATGATCCACTATTGCCTTAGCTATTGGAGAACCCCATAAAATCTCAACTTCAACCGTTCTTACGGTCAAGGGCAGAGTTTTAGATTTGCCACGACTCCAAAATCTCCACCGAGGACGATATATAGCTTCGAAGGATGCACGATAATGGCCCTTCTTCTTCTCGTCAACCACTACAGTCCTTTCGACAATTCCTTCATTCTCTTGTTGATTGCAACGATCTGATCACTCTCTTTCAGATCTTGTCATTCTCTTGTCTATCTTTTTACCAAACGACATTCTCTTGGTCACTATACACTGTCCTTTTCGACTTCCTAGTCAAACGACTCCATACACATATACAAAATGATTTTCGCCAACGTTTTCATCGCCAGTGTTCTTGCTGCCACCGCCACAGCCCTCCCCCACCGTGTCCGCGACTCTAGCTCCAGTTCCAGTGGCAATGTCCAATTCGTGAACAACATGGGCTCAGACATCTACCTGTGGACAACCTCCTCCGACCCCGGTAGCATGAAGACTCTTTCTTCCGGCGGTGGCACCTACAGCGAAGAATGGCAGACCAACTCCAATGGCGGTGGCATCTCTATCAAGCTGTCCACGACCCAGGACGAGAACAGCGTGCTTCAGTTCGAGTACACCGTTGACTCTGACACGCTCTACTGGGATCTGTCTTCTATCAACTTGGATTCGTCTTCGGAATTCATCAAGAGCGGCTTCTCTGTTAAGCCTAGTGATTCTAGCTGCAAAACCGCTACTTGTGAGGCCGGTGACACCAACTGCGCCGAGTCTTACCAGCACCCTGATGATGTGAACACGCTCTCCTGCTCGGTTGATGCGCAGTACATCGTTACTCTGGGATAAATATCCCATGTCATTCTTTTACGCTTGAATTCAAAAATCTTGCTTATTATTATCATGGCGCTTGCGGTAGATTGTTTTTATAGATTTTTCAAGACTTGTATAGACAATAGAACATTACGATGATTCCATATGGATGACGTACCGACATTCACAACTTGAGTATAGTTTTGATATCAGCAATCAGTAGATTGAGTTAATCACCGAGCTCAAATGACAGTACATTTCCTCGAACAGCAGATTATGGAGGTTAGTACATGGATATGCGTCATGTCCAGTCCAGCCAGACACAGGTCACGCACGGGATAGCCTCCTCGTAAATAATGTGAAAAATTGATTTCCTCTCCCTAAGCTTTCACTCATAGAATCCTCAAGAAAGAATAAGTATTACCAGGCTAGATCAATTTTCAGACCTGACTGAAGTTGGTTGGTTGTTATCTGAGACCCTCCTCCCATCCGTACAGGATATTCTTCGAATGACGTCATGTTCTAGAACCCCGCCCAACGGCTGCTTGCTTTCTTTGTCCCGGCTCGATACAAGGCTTGATTGGATATTTTTGCATCGACCTGAGTGGAAATGCGTTAAATCAACGCGAGGCCAATCGATGAAATGGTTATTTTCCAAATATCATCAAAGTTCCTACTTCGATTCAGGCGCTGTTGCAGTGATCTCGTGATAAGCGATTTGACCACGTGACGAATATGTTCTGTTTGAACTGCCAGCAGTGGCAAGGTGAAAGGCATCTCTCATTTCCCTCAAGTTAGCCGCCGCACACTGCTCGTCACTATCACGTCTGAATTCCGTGGCCTGCCGTCGGATAAGATCACGATAACCCACGCCACGCGGACCGCGCAGTGGGGCCAAGCGCGCGCTCGCCGAGGTCGGGACGCCATCACCGCGGGGCCGAACATCCATAAAGCACACATCGAGTGGCACTAAGCGTTTCTGCACTTACCATCAAACATCCGGGGTATAGATCAAGATCCAGATACACACACATTCAATCGGCATAATGACCCGATCACTTCGCATCGCCGTTCTGGAATGTGATACGCCGCTCCCCGCCATCACGGACCGACTCGGAGGTTATGGAGAGATCTTTGCGCGATTGCTGAACAAGGGTCTCAAGGAATCTGGGGAGACGACGGTGGAGATTCAAGATGTTAGCAAGTGGAATGTCGTGAATAACCCGGTCTTTCCTGAGGTGAATGAGTTTGATGCTCTCTTGATCTCGGGCAGCAGTATGTATTTTCCCCCTCATCAGTCACGGTTGAGAATTGATATTAACGTGGTGTTCCAGAACATGACTGCTTCGCGGATGATCCTTGGATTGTGAGTCTTACTGAGTATGTTCGGGGAGTTCTTGAAGAGCACAAGAAGCCAGTTGTTGGGATTTGCTTCGGCCACCAGATTATTGCTCGCGCTTTGGGGTCGCGCGTTGGCCGTGGTGATGGTGGATGGGAAATTTCTGTTGACGAGATCACTTTGACGGATGCTGGCAAGGAGCTGTTTGGCAAAGACAAGCTGGTAATATCTCATTCATCCCAAAATTGCTATTTAACACCGTCTTACATATTCTAGTACCTCCAACAAATGCACCGTGACGTGGTCCACGAGGTGCCCGAGGGATGCGTGAATCTCGGCTACAGCCCTCGATGCGCGGTCCAGGGCCTTTACCAGCCAAAGAAGATCTGGAGTGTTCAAGCGCATCCTGAGTTTACCGAGTTCATCATGTCTAATGTCCTAGACGCTCGGCATAAGAACGGGGTATTCAATGACGAGATGTATGAGGATGCCGCTTCAAGGGCAGGAAAACCTCATGATGGAGAGTTTTTAGCGACGCAGATTATCAAGTTTATTGCGGAGTCTACAGCATAGAATAGTTAATATCCACAATATCAGTCTTTACATTCAATCAATCTCTTAAGTAGAAACCAGAAGTCTCAATCATAAGGGGTCGATCTTCCCCTGTCCCCGTATACCCGCTCAAGCGCTCGGCGGGGAAAGTGGCGACGGGCGGAAGACTGTAGCAACGAGAGACCGCGATAAGCGGCGGGACCACATAAATTCCATCAATGCCCCTCCTCTCCCTTCACCCTCCCTCGAAGTCAACAAGTTTCACAAAACTTCTCCCTCCCCTCCAAACCCTCCATATTTCACCTCACACACAATGTCAAACCAAATTCGCACCATCAACCCCGCGACCCACGAGGTCATCTTCGATAAGCCAGGTACTTCTCTGGAAGAAGCTGGCAAGATCGCCACCGCCTCGAAGCAGGCATTCCAGTCTTGGCGCGCCGTGAGCCTGGAAGATAGAACCGCGATTGTCAAGCGCGCTCTGGAAATCATTGACTCTCGCATTGATGAGTTGGCGAAGGAATTGACTACGCAGATGGGCAGGCCTATTCGCTACTGTGCTGGAGAGATTAAGACTGCCGCGCTGCGTGCGGAGCATATGATCAAGATTGCGAAGCAGAGTCTGGCGGATTTGCCTGGTGAGCCTCAGGACGGGTTTAGACGGATGGTTAAGCAAGTTCCTCTGGGTCCTATTCTTATTGCGTCTGCTTGGAATGTAAGATGAACCGCGTTTGTGCAAAAGGGTTTTGTATTAGTGTGAGGTGCTAATATACCGTCTGCAGTATCCGTACCTCACAACTGTGAATGCTCTCGTCCCTGCTTTGTTAGCGGGTAACACTGTGCTTTTGCGCCCATCCCCTCAGACTCCTCTTCTCGGTGATAGGCTATCCGAGATCTTCACCGAGGCAGGACTCCCCAAGAACGTCCTCGAGGTCTTGCAGATCGGAAATTTGGATGTCCTGGACCAAATTGCCCAGCTGCCGGAGGTCCAGTCCGTTTCTTTCACCGGATCAACTGCTGGTGGTATCCGTCTTCGCGAAGCAACTGCCAAGCAGATCAAGCCTGTGAACTTGGAACTCGGTGGTAACGATCCCGCTTATGTGCGTCCTGACGTGGACGTCAAGAATGCCGCGGAGAACCTTGTCGATGGAGCTATCTTCAACTCTGGACAGAGCTGCTGCTCCGTTGAGCGTGTTTATGTTCATGAGAAGATTTACGATGACTTTGTTCGCTATGTGCAGGAGGAACTTAAGGGGTATGATCTAACACACCTCCTTAGCCAGTCTATTGGTGTGGGTAGCAGCTAACAGCGACTCTAGATACAAGCTCGGAGACCCCCATGACCAAACCACCACAACCGGCCCAGTCATCTCCGCACCCGCCAAAGAAAAGATCCAATCCCACATCGACGACGCCCTGAAGAAGGGAGCCATCGACGCTACCCCAGAGAACGCGTCGTTCTCCCTCGCCAAGACAAGCCAGAAGGGTAACTTCCTGGCACCCGTCGTTCTGACAAACGTGAACCACGACATGGTCACCATGAAGGAGGAGACCTTCGGCCCCGTCATGCCCATTATGAAGGTCTCCAGCGATGAAGAAGCTGTTGCTTTGATGAATGACAGCGATTACGGTTTGACGGCTAGTGTCTGGACGAAGGATATGGCTCGTGGTGAAGAGTTGATTGAGCAGATTGAGGCTGGTACGGTGTTTATTAACCGTTGTGATTATCCTGCTCCAGTATGTTTCTCACTGAAAAATGTTGTTCTGAAAGGGGATGGGACATGGCTAACTGTGCTACAGGATCTCGCTTGGACTGGTTGGAAGACTTCCGGTTTGGGATCTACACTTGGTCCCCGTGGTTATGACGGGTTCGTGAAGTTGAAGAGTTATCATATTAAAGATGCTTCTGCTTAAAGCATGGGCAGAATGGCATGTTTGATGGCTTCTTTGTCACCACTATATCGCGACTATTTCATGATTCCAATTTTTAGTCGCAGTCGCAGTCCCAGTGGCATTTAGCTACCTATCGGTCCTTGCAATGATACAAATTAATAGATCATTTCATTCTTTTCTTTTGAATATCAAATCTATTACTTTCCTACTCTGCAACCTGTTCACCCATCCCATCCCATTCCCAAGTAACATTCTTTGAGAATGTTTCTTGGCACTCTCCCCGTCGTATACCAATCAAATCACAGACCCACTGGAGCGCGGTCCCGGACCGCGCTGCGCTAGTTCCGAAGCGCGGTAACAACACGTGACACTTTACACTTGTGAGCCACGTGAGCATCAAGCTTGCTTATTCTGTCAATCTATCGTTGGTCCCAGACGATGATATGATTAGATAGCTGTTTGCCGTTATTTTATGTCCCCTCGAGGCCTCAAAAGTCTGCATTCAACGCCTTTGGTGCCGTGCTAGCGGATCGAGTGATTGATTGACCGCGACAGCGACTTTTGAGTCACCTGGATCGTAGAATGGACATCTAATGGCTGTGGCGCTTCTGATACGAGTAAACGTTACCGCACGTGAGATAGGACGCTCTTGGGTATTGTACATTATCTCACTAATAGGTAGCACCTTATGGAGTGTTCACTTGGGAGACGGCAGCCGGGAGTACAAAATACATATTCAACGTCATCAATTCAGTTGACAATAAAACCAATTTATCAAGGTTCGTCGCCACTTTTTCAAGGAACATTTTGAGAATCATTTGTGTAGGTATTCATTGATTTCTTGTACGCCGGCGGAATATTTCAGGGCACAATCCCTTCATTTCCGGTGTAGCTGACGGCGGTATGTAGCCAAGCCACCTCAAATAGCGTGGTCTAGCAACCTAGCAGGTTGAAAAAAAGCCGCTCTGGCCTCAAAACTGGAAACTATCCTGCTTCACGAGTGAGGCTTCCTTCCTCATAAATAAGACGACGGACACAGGTCTTGCATTGACCCCAAGTAAAGTAAACACAATCAGGCACCGTCAAAAGGCTAGTCGACGATATATCCGACAAAATGGGAAATTAAAGCTGCAGCACTGAACTTGACATGGGGACGCGTCGAGCGCTATTTTCAACGGTGCGGGTATCATGAACCCCAAGGACGTAGATGTGGAGGCTTGTCCAAATGATATTTAGCAGCCCGCTTTGACATTAATCTCAAGCATGGTGTTGGATGAATCCAGCATGACGTTCAATGGCCACGAATGCATTGCAAGAAGGCTGCTAGCACGGCTAGCAAGAGGACTATCCTGGCAATGACTTAGAAGTTTGGCTGTGCATGCTCGACCGGAATGCCGGCTTGACTCGAATTTTCCTGCGCCGCTGCAGTTCTAGTCCTTGATGCCTTCCTGACTGAGAGTGTTCGAATTTAGACGAAGCGTGTAGCACACCTCTTTCGCGGGACTGGTGGGCGACAAGAAGGGCCAAGCGCTTGCGTCGCAACGTGCACTTTCTGAGTTGTTGTTTCGGCGATGCAATAAAGTAGGCTCGGGCTATGGTGCGCCTGGTGAGTGATGGGAGTTCGGTCATTTATGCCGTGGCTCATCGTGATCGGCGGTCTCACAAAGACATATTTCACGCTCAGGGGATCTGCGACCGAGATACCCAGGGATTTGGCTGGTCCTTAGACTTGACCCATAACCTTGAAGACTACCTTGAAAATTGTACAAACTGTACATCAAGTGACTCGGGCTGCAATCACGCAAACGATATCCAAATCTGTTTAGCCTGCATCGTCCGACAGATGTTCCACGGCCCAGCATCAGCCGCGGGGAGTTCCCACATGGCCTCTAGCAACAGAAGCGTTCGCTGCATATTACCTAGGCCAAAGTGCGTCGCCATCGCCGTCAAACGTGTCCGAAGACGTTCCTGCTGCTCAGGCTTCTCAAGACACGATCCCACGACTGCGATCGGCCAACAGAGACCAGAGTTGATCCTGGCTTGTGGCGAAATTTCGTCGAGGTAGGACAGCGCTTCAGTGACAGCCGTTTGGATGAGACCTTTATACATGCCGTCCGGGGCGTAGGTGTAGCCACCGAGCGAAGTGTACAAGTAGATGAGCATTGCTTGTTGGAAGACTAGACCAGCTAGGTAAACCTCAGGCTCGACAAAGGAGTAGGGCGACCAGCGTAGAACCTGAGCTTGGATGGAAGCGAACATGGCCATGTCGTCTGCTGTCGGAAGGGTGGGCTGGGTGTCGTCCATCATCCATTGCCGGCCGAGATCGAAGATACAGGGGATGAGGAGGAGTAACTCTAACCAGCAGCCACACAGATTGCCCACGTATTGAGTGCGGAGGACCTCACGCGCACGTTGTTCGAGGTCGAAGTTCAAGAAGACCTGTCCACTTAAGCGAGCGTCGATTGAAATCATGCTCACGGTCGCGGTGTAGACGTAGTACTCGATGACGAAGTCTTTCAACTCTCTTGGTACGGCGGTGTCACTTTGTTCGAGGAGCTTCACTAGTAAGGAGTGAGCGGCTGACAGATGATCGAAGACAGTTCCTGTCATGTCGCCTTTGGCAGTCTACCATTCTTATTAGTATCTGTTGATGAGTTGTTCTATTCAGTCGGTCGGCCATACCTCGGTGAAGCACATCAACAAGGCGCCAACCAGCAGCATCAGCGGGTTTGATTCTTTGCCTTGGATGAAATCGTTGACACCATGTCTGAAGAGCTGAATGGCTTTTGTATAGTGGGAGTTGGCCACAGCATCTGAATCGTCACGTCGTCGAAAGGCACGGTGCGCAGCACTCTGAGCAATGACGAGCTGGAGCAGGAGATCGCTGGTGAATGCGAGTGGTACAATCTGAACCAGAAACGGGTTGATAGGGGTAGTACCGTTGGCCATCACATCCGCCGTGTTGGCCAGATAATGCGAAAGCAAGGCGTAGCTCTCCGGGTCATAGCCAGGCAACATGGACAAAGTCCGAGGAACGACGTTTCCGACAGCCATACTAGCCACGAGTGCGTTTTCTTCCTCTACCAAAGTTGACCTGCGGCTGTCCATAGCCTCGACTTGACCCGGTCCCCGAGCCAGGTGCTCCTCGACAATGGCGGAAAGTCCCGCACTTGACGAAGTGGAGGAGTGGCGCCTGGACAAGGGACTACCGGGTAGTTGCATGGCATCGAGATCTTCGATCGACCCGGCGTAACTAGACCGTCTATCTCCGGGGATGTAACCCGACATGTCGTTTTCCGGGCCCGAGTTCCTCCTTCCAGGTAGGTTCGACGGCCACTCGCAAACCAGGTCATTCCGCCGGCACCCTGAACAGATCGGTCGGAGTTCGTCGCACTTCTTCTTCCTACGCCGACAAGACCAGCATCCCGTGCGGACGCGAACGATCCGCTGCACCCGCGGCTGTCGATCTGGCGGCATCGTGTTGGTGTGGGGGGTGTGAAAGGGAAGGAGATCGAACAGAACTTGAAGGGTGGCCGGGCTGATAAGAAACGTGCCGAACTCGTGTGGGTGTGGGGTAAAGGAAAGTCTATTTCCGCTCTCCGCCAACCTCCAAATTGTGTATACCAATGGATGGATAGAGAATGATTCTGTTCCTTGGTCAATGGTCAATTAGACTTAAGTCAAACTCGGTTGTTTCTAGTTATTTCTGCCAACTTCAAGCGAAGAATACAGCCAGCTCCACCGTTAAATACTGGCATACGGTCTGGTCTTATCTCGCCACGCGCTATCGCTATCAGCATTCAGCACCGACACTCGGAGACATGCGACCGCAAAGCATTAATAACTCCGTTGCTATCGATACCACAACTTGTGGCAGCCTTTCTTTATACTGTCATCCTTCAACAGAGCATTTCTATGCCGGACTTTCAGCGCACTTTCCACAAACAATGTGAAAGGAATGACCCCTGCAGCCTCCAGTTCCTATTTAATAGGCAACCAGCACCAATCACGAGTATAAAAAATTGTACCAGCCATCATTATCCTGGGCAATGTGAGCATGTTGTTTCCCTTTCCACGGCCCTCTCGTAAAGTCAATTTTCGTGCTTTCCATCGCGACATCGGATAAGTCGACAACTTGCCCTGCGTTCCCCTGGCGTTCAGAAACCCGTAACCTCGTGGTCGGGGTAGTGTTGATGCTGGCGTCGGAACGTATGGTAGTCTGTCACTGGCAATCAGTAAATCCATCTGCCTTGGTCGTGACGAATCTCCATACCGTTGCTAGCGGCCATACCTTGCCTGACTATTACCGGCGGCAAATCCAACAACCCAGTTGTCGCCTTGTAAGTCTATTTCCGACGGTAAGTTGATTTGAAGTGTCGGTGAACAGAATCCTGGTGGCAACCCCAGGAGATTAGGCAAACCAGTCGCTATCTCCAGGTCAAAGGTGTCTAGGTCAATCCGTTAGCTTGTTCGTTACGTTCCTCAAGTTCTTGTATTGCGACTTTGACTTCGGAGTCAAGAATGGAAGACGTACTGTTTAAATCGTGATCACGCCCTATCGCGGCCGGCCGACTCCTTGCTTTGCCGTTTCTCAAGTGAACACCAGCTCTAATATCATGGTCTTCAACTGTCGCGACTTCAAACGATAAAAGCCATTGATTGTTAGATCGAACCGTAAAGAGGGGGATCACTCGACAGTTCGGCATATGGGGATGGTTGTTCCTTACAGGCATATAGGCCCGTTCCCATTGGAACTTCGCTCATAGCCCCATTAGGAATGCCGGAACTCCATCACGTATTCATCCACGGTTTGCCACTACCAAAAAACTGGCTGGGATCCATGAGGATTGAGTAGTCGGTATCCTTTGCATGCTGGTTCTCAATAGAAATTGTGTAGGTGCAGATATTAGACATTTTGTGCGAGGGTTCAGTGGGTAGGGTTGAAAGAATTCGCAATCTATTTCTCAGTTCTGAAGAAATGACAGTGAAACTTCGAGTAGGGGGCAGGATTGCCAGGTCTATATAGTTATCGTAATAACATCCCACTGGGATTAAATTGGATCCGTAGTCTCTTGTTTACTTCTTTCCAAGCAAGTCAGATTGTCATCCACATATATAGTGAAAAGCCAATCTCAAGTGTTGAGGATCAGCAATAGAATGTGACTTTCATTTCTTTTGCGAATGACCTATAGGCAACTCCAATCCGCCTCGAATAAGCCCTGGCTTCACTGATGCAGGCCTTCTGAGTTTTTTTCAGCCAAGCAACCATTTTGACGATACCTACTTTAGTCTTAGTTATTGCGTCTGATTAATTAATGAGCACGAGTTAGATAGCGGCCAACATAATTCCACGAGGAGTACCTAGCAGCATACGGGGAATTGATATCATTGATAATACGCCCATCATCCATCATCCATAGACCGACTCTGGATGCTCGAGCTTGTGTTTGCGAGGCCTCGATGTATCATAAGCATGCACCGGAGAAAGCCCTTTTATTGTAGCTACTTAAGTGGCAAAAACCAAAAGCAAAGATTCTGCTAGCACTGATTTGCTGAAAAAATATCGATTGGTTGCTAGATCTAGTCCAAAATCCAGGTGGAGGGGTAAGGACATCTGATGGATGTAGTGTTCCACTGCGCCTAGAACAGGCACAGAAAGGATATCGTGGTATACTCAAACACCGATATATACACTCTTTAGCTTAAATGTTCAGGATAATCCCATAGTGAACTAGTGTTTCATAAATGATCAAGCTTTTGAGAATTTACGGTAATCAACCAGAGGGTTTACTATGCATCATAGAGAGGAAGGATCGATCTGGGAACTGAGATACATGCGGCATCATCAGATGCTAAGGTAGGGAAAGCAGAATTTTCTTGGCTAGAGGGCGTACGAAATTGAGATAAGCTAAGCCACCGCCATCAGCTACTTAATGCCCTATGCTCTAGCCTTGTCAAAGTTGATTGAAAGAGTTCTGAGTCAAAATACAGCTAGCTCACCTGCACCGGGCGGTTATAATCCGCATAGGTTTGGGCACGTGCTTACTCAATATTTCTGCACTCACCTGATCGTGCTGACCTATCAGCATCAGTAGTTACCAGGGCTGTTAGTCTCGATCAGGCCCCCGTGACTTCGAAAAGCACGTGTGAGTCCTTTCTAGCTTAACCGCTCATCATCTCTTCTAGAAGGCTTCGGAAGCATTCCCAAGCTCTGGATGTCTCAGCTTGCAACCTTAGATTGACCCACGAAATAAAAACTTGATATAGTAGAATTCGAAAACAGATTACCCCTTGGACACTCACGCTTTCTTTCCCAGTACCCCACTCCGACCGCGCTAAGCTAAATTCGGTCAGGAAAAGTCCCCACCATTCCAGATGTATTTCTAGTAGATCACCAAAGTTAACGTAATTACAGGTTCCGGCATTGGGAAGACCATACTTGCCGAAACGCCGGGGCCATACAGTCGATCGAAAAGAGTCTTCCCGTTGGTTCTCGGCCCGTTGCCCGAAACCTCCCTAATCCTGATTTAGCTAACTCGTAAATAATAGCTTTCTAAGAATAGATCCTTTTGTATTCTAGGACGACTGAATGATGTATAATATTTTATGTTACACGAAACTCTAATATGCTCCCAACTCATTGCCCCTCATTCCCATCGAACTCCATACGCATCCATCCATCTGCAGCAACACTATCTCAGGAATAGCTAGAATATTATGAACAATATCGCACTGCGACGACAACCCTCAAAGCTACCCTGCATCCATAATATAACACAGAGTCAGCACCAAGTATGTCTCAAATAGCCGACGCAGCTGAATGCAGCCTCAACAGAAAACCCGGGAGGAGAAATGGCAGAATCATCTACTCAATTCCAAATAACATCAAAGAACGGTCTGAACCATCAGTAGAAATGGGATAAAATCGGTCTTGAGCGCGTCAAGGAGCCAACCCGGACTCTGCTCGAGAAGTGCAGTAAAATCCCAGACGACCAGATGGACAACTATGTTATGCAAGTGGTATGTACCTTCCGCTCATCTTCGCCGAGCAAGATGTTCATCAATGATTCAACGTCGCTTGAGTATTGTTTATGAGTTTATATCTTGGCATATTGAGGTTCTCAAGTTACGAAAAAGTTACGATACAAATACTAACCTGTTTTAATAGAGAGATCGAGCATTTGCGGTGGTTCGTTGGCTTTCTTACCATTTCCACGAAGCTCATTATCCATGTTATGTTTTTAGTATTCTAATTGAACTATAGGCTGACTTTCCTTCGAATCCAGGCCCCCTACCCATGCATCGGATCTTTTCGTTTCCTTGAAATAACCATCTACAACTCCCAAGCATACCCCGAAATCCTAGCTAGATTGAAATCCAGCGACAAGTATCTCGACCTAGCTTGCGCATAAGGCCAGTAGTAAATTTGGTCCTTCCGGCTCTTTGTCAACCCCTCAATGTGAACCCCAGTGACAAACACACCTAATATATTCCCCCCGTATATATTCAAAGGTGTACCACCCTCCAACCTCTATAGCTCAGACCTCCGCCCCGAGTTTTTCAACTTGGGCTATGACCTCTTCCTCGACCGCTCAACCATCAAGGCCACTTTCATCCCCAGCGATATCTTCGACGACACCTCTGCGCTATTCCAGCATCTACCTAGCAAACTCAACATCATAAACGCAGCCTCCTTCTTTCACTTTTTTGACTGGGGACGCCAGGTTGCCGTCACGAAACAGGTGGTGAAGTTGTTACGACCAGTGCCGGGCTCCCTTCTCACTGGGCGGCATTCGGGTAATGTGCAGCCTGGGAAACGGGAGGGATCGGAGCTTTGAGGGTCAATTTATCGGCACGATGCAGTGTCATGGAGGAGGCTTTGGGGGCAAGTTGGGCGGGAGACAGGGACAGAGGGGGAGGTTGATATTACGGAGGAAAAGTGGGAGGAGTTGCAGACTCAGGAGGATAGTGATAAGGCGCTTTCAAGATGCAGTGTGTTATAAGGAGGGTTTGACACTATATAGATAGGACGGCTGTAGTGTCATTTGTGATACGGCCCGAGAAACCAACTGTGAGTGTCTGAGGGGTAATCTGTTTTCAAAGTCTAGAGAACTACTAAATTGTATAGAAAGGGGGTCCAAGTACCTTGGGGCGTCAAGGCAGAACGTCCCCTAATTAATTTTACGGACCTGTTTTGGAATCCGACAAGGCTTCCAACGAATCAACGGTTTCCCTGCGTTTCAGTGTTTTCCTAGTCTACCTAGCGCTGACTCTGGGCTGATTATCGGCAGGACGTGCAGTGGCTGCTTACAACAAAAGCTGAACATGCAGCCTTCGGCATTCTCGAAACCGTAAAAAGACTAGGCCACGTATGACTCAAGATTTAATACTAGTTTATAAAGAGCTGGCGTGTCTCACACTTTTCCCAGCATCAGCAATATATTTCTCATTTGTCTTACTCATATACGCTCTTAGAAAATCTATCCATACCCGATGGATCCCCTGAAAGTCCTCGTCTGCGGTGGTGGCTGTGCAGGGCCTGCACTGGCTTACTGGCTCGCCCGTAGTGGTCACCAAGTCACAGTTATAGAACGCTTTCCGGTTCTTAGGGTTGCCGGCTCACAAATTGACCTGCGTGGAGCAGGTATCGAAGCCGCCAACCGCATGGGGCTACTCGATACCATCCGCGGCAAACTAGTGGACGAGGCCGGCTCGGTCTTGGTGGACTCCCAAGGCAATGCCAAAGGAAAGATCATGGCCAACAATTCGGGCAAGGGCGCGCAGTCCTTCACCTCCGAATACGAAATTATGCGCGGGGACCTTGTGTGTATCCTCTATGAAGCAACAAAAGATAATGTGGAGTACATCTTCGACAAATCCGTCGAGCTCTTTGAGCAAGATGACAACCAAGTCACTGTTACCTTCTCAGATGGCTCATCGGACACATTCGATCTTCTCGTCGGCGCAGATGGTCAAGGATCACGCATTCGGAAAGCAATACTGCCACCTGGTACTCCGGATCCTTACTTCAGGTTTGGGTACCACGTCGCCTACTGGTTCGTCCCGCGTAGTGAGGGGGACGATAATATGATGAACGTTTACCACTGTCCCGGAGGCCGGATGATTATACGCCGGAGTCACAGCGCGGCGGAATCCCAAGTTATGTGTTTCCTCCGAGATAGCTCACCGAAATTATGCAGTATCCCCAAAGCATCTATGGATAAGCAAAAGGAATTTTGGACCCAGCAATTCCGGGATGCGGGGTGGCAAGCCGAGCGGTTCTTGGAAGGTATGAAAACAACAGATAAATGGTACTGCCAAGAAGTGGTGCAGGTGCGCACCGAGACATGGTCCAAAGGCCGCGTTGTCCTTCTTGGTGATGCTGCATACTGCCCATCGCCTTTCAGCGGTATGGGCACCTCCGCTGCTCTTGTTGGCGCCTACATCTTGGCTGGGGAGATTAGTCAGCACGGCGACGATTTTCCCCAAGCCTTTGCAAATTATGACAAGAACTTACGACCTTTTGTGAAGGAGGTTCAACAAGTCAATCTCTTCCTGCTGAAGCTGGGCATGCCGGATACATGGTGGGGAATCGCGATTCTCCACTTCATCTTCCAAACCATTTGTTTTTTTAAAATTCCAAAGTTGCTCTCAAGGTTTATGAAGGAGAAAGACGGGGATTGGCAGTTACCCGATTATCCAGAGCTCAAGGCAGCAGATAAATAGATCGAAAGAGACAAAGGGCTCTCTAATATAATATGACAGACAGAACGTGATAAGTGGATGCAATGATATAAACCATATACTCCACTATTCATGAATTTCCCGCAGTAGGAGCGGCACGTGGTCCGAGGGCGGCTGATCGAAGAAAGAACAATGTTGGTTCACTGGCTAATCTCTGTCAATCAATCTCATTATGCCCACCAGGCAAGACTGACCACGCTAGTTTTGGACTGGTCAAACTCGTATTTAGTTACTGGCCGATCCGGGGCCTTTTGGTAATCCGTATCAGTGGGCCAAGAGGGTATAAAGAGGTGATCATAGGGCTGAAATTCTGTGCTTTTCTCTCTACCCAATCTACCAGCATGAGCTACTCAGCATACGACGGAACTATTAGAGCCGCCAAAAGAGCTATCGGAGCACTGGCCCACATGCTTTGCAAAGGTGGGAAATGCCCTTATGCCGAAAAGACAGTTTACAGGGTGGCCACTGGGCGTTTCGGTAAGTATGGTTTGCCCAATGCTGGAACCTGTAATTACGGTAACTTTGGTGATCTACCAGAAATACATCAACGAGAGATGGGGGACTTTTCCTGACCGAATTCAGTTTAGCGCGATCGAAGTGGGACGCTGGGAAGGAACGCGTGAGTGTCCAAGGGGTAATCTGTTTTCGAATTCTACTGTACCTTGAAATCTCTAGTCTAGCAAGGAATGACAGTGAGAAATTCTATGACTGGACGCTGTTAGCAAAACCCAGTCTCTTGAATACCTTGAGTGATTGCTATTTTTAAAGGCTTCTTGGAGTCAGAGCACACTTGGCAGCATTTTGTGATCCCGCAGGATTTGAAGAACATGCGTTAAATTTCGATCTGCCATTCGCCCAGAATGACGATTTAGTTCATCGTGACTGCCCTTCAAAATTGACCGTGAATCCAAGCCACAACTGAATGATTGGGGGGTTTTTGTATGACATCTTCGGTTCGATTCGAGGAGGCAAGTCATGAACACACCATTTGTTTGCTTATTGCTCTTCTTTCAAGAATCCTCTGCGTATATCTCGGGCGGTCAAAGCTCTCTGATCCCGATCTTATCATCTTCCAGAAATGATGAAGTTTCTTCTTTCACCAAGTCCAAGACCTCGATTGTTCCACGTGGTGAGATATATGGCAATGACCTTTGGTCCTCTGGCATCTCCAACCTATCGGGGTCTTTTCCACATCCATGGCCTCAATCACCCCTATCGGCTTAGACCAGGCCAGAAACAAGAATTAACTGCCGACCCGAGCACGGGGCATCCCGCATACTCGATGCTTGACTACTAACTACTGCTAACTAGATCCTGGACTCAGTCCTTGGCCAATGCTTATCCTTCCTGATATTGCCTGCATGGAAAATTCTCGGAAGTATTCCAGTCCGCGCCCTCTTGTAATCTGCTATTCTGCCAATTTTTCAGCCAGTCATGAAGCTTTGGGGCGCAACGTGCCAGGAACGGGTGGGATCCACTTCCACAACCCACCAACCAGAAGTCAAATTATCAGGACAAGATGGGGCTAAGCTTCCCCGCTAACGCCCAGTGCGGATAGAAACCAGCCAGTAAATCCCGTCTGCAATGCAACGTGCAGTTCCCGTCTGCTGTTACAACCTTGTTGATTGCCGGCTTGGCCGCGACGGGCTCCGTCGTATTCTCTAAGCGAAGAGGGGCAATGACAAGCCTTGAGATGCGAATGCGCGTCTCTCCACTGGTTGCATATTGAATGGTCCACAAGAAGTCCGCCCGGTGCATGCGGCGCGAGATCCGCGAGGTATAAGAATGCTGGTCATTCGCCCGATGATCGCCCGGTCTGATTTCTTTCTCCCATCGTGAGAAATATTCCCTTCGGTAGAACAATCAATTGTCACCAGATCTAAATCGATCAAAATGTTCACCAAGAAGAGCCTCTTCGCGTTCGTCAGCTGCCTGGCCGTCGCCGCAGCTGAGACTTCCACCGTCGAGTACCCTACTGCCGCTGAGATCGCCGCTGCTAAGGCCTCGGTCCTGCCTTACTCGCCCGTCTCCAATGTCAAGGGTCTTGCTTTCGACCGTTTCGTCGATATCTGGATTGAGAACACTGTTAGTTATCTGAGGCATTGTTCTGTGGAGTGCAAGCTAATATATGCGATTAGGACTTTGCCACTTCTGCCTCGGACAAGAACTTCGAGGCCCTCGCCAAGGAGGGTATCCTCTTGACCAACTACTTCGCTGTCACTCACCCCTCCGAGCCTAACTACTGCGCCTCCGCTGGTGGTGATGACTTCGGCATGGACAACGATGACTGGCATCAGATCCCCGCCAACGTCTCCACCATTGCCGACCTGTTCGACACCAAGGGCGTTGCCTGGGGCGAGTACCAGGAGGGTCTGCCCTACGCTGGTACGTGAATCCAATTCAAGCATAACCATACCATGCTTGTCACGCATACCCTCAAAGCTAAAGCTGAAGCTAACCTCTCCCCTTACAGGATACCAAGGCTTCCGCTACCCGGAATCCGGCGCCAACGACTACGTCCGCAAGCACAACCCGCTCATCCTCTTCGACTCAGTCACCAACGACGCCGTGCGCCCCCGCCAAATCAAAAACTTCACCACCTTCTACGAAGACCTCGAGCACCACCGCCTGCCCCAGCACATGTTCATCACCCCGAACATGACCAACGACGCCCACGACACCAACATCACTTTTGCCGGGGAGTGGCTCAACCGCTTCATGACCCCCCTCCTCAAGAACGACTACTTCACCAAGGACACCCTCATCCTGGTCACCTTCGACGAAACCGCCTCCTACAAGCAGGAGAACCGCGTCTACAGCATTCTCCTCGGCGGCGCTGTCCCTAAGCACCTCCGCGGTACTACCGATGACACTTTCTACACGCATTACTCTGTTATCGCCTCTCTGAGCGCGAACTGGGGTCTTCCTTCTCTGGGACGTTGGGATTGTGGTGCTAACCTGCTTAACCTTGTTGCGGAGAAGACGGGTTATGTTAACTGGAAGGTTGATTTGGCGACTATTGCGGCTAAGGATTACTTTAACCAGACTGCCCCTGGTCCCCTGTCGGATGGTGTTTACTCCAAGTTTACTTCGCAGTGGCCGGCTCCTACTGTGAACGAGCGTTGCTCGGCTGGTCATGGTATTCTTGAGACGGTGAAGAAGACTTGGGCTGGTCACAAGGCTACTTATAACTACACCAGCCCTGTGCCTTACAGTGCTCCCGCTGGTATTAACGTTGGTGTTAAGTACAGCCGTACTCTGGTGAGTTTTACCATCTTTGATTTTTGGTTTTTTTGCGATACAGGATGGTTTACTGACAAACATGTCCAGAAAAACGGCAAGAAGGAGAGCGGCATCACCAACTAAATACGCCTTTTGCATTGACTGGTGCAGTACATTCAGTCGAAGGTACCCGATGATCTTGTATTATGTTTCGATAGACTGTACATATTAATTATGAACACATCCGTTTGTCCTCAAGTGTAATTCTGAATACAACTTACATTGTAGCCTTTGATTGAGTATCGAGAAACCCTGATGCAATTAAATTGACTTTCGATATTCGAAATAAAGTTTTATAAAATATAGCTTGCTCATAAGCAAGCGGGTATTATGCACGCAATGCAAACCAAAAAAGCAAAACAAAAACAAGATGCACACTCCACCAAACCTTGATCTAACACACCCATGCGAATAGATCTGATCTACCCAGCGGCATAAGTACTCTTCTTCCTCAACACCTCCCCAAACTTCCACAAGAAAATCGGCGCCGGAATCCCAATCGCAATCGAAACAAACGCCAACACACTATTCCCCCACCCATAATGCAACTTATCATACATATACGGCGCGAAAAGGGGGAACCCAAAGCCAGCCAACGATCTCAAAAATGCCGCTGCCGCAAGCGCACTAGCCGCAAACCTCGTATAAGCATCAACCATATACGTCTGCATACACTGGAACGAGATAATCGTCCCCGCGCCGAAAAGTACAGCGCCGATATTAGGCGCTATCCAGTGACAATGTGTCTGTGCGGTCCAGCCGTAGATGAAAAGACCTGTTGGGACGAGGATGGCCGCGACGCCGAGGAGGGGGACGCGGAACTCTGGTCTTCCGATGCCGTTGTTGCGGGCTTTGAGGCGTTTGTAGATTCGGTCATTTAGGGGCGCGCAGAGTTGGGAGCCGCACCAGAAGCCTAGACCGAGAGATATGTAGTTTAGGCCACCAATGCCGATGGATTCGTTGTAGTAGTCTTTGCCGGTCCAAAGGGAGGGGAACGTTGAGAGGACTAGGTACATTATTCCGTAGATGTAGGCCATGTAGCAGGCGACGACTTGGACGATAGATTGCGTGAGGAGGAGGCGGAAGGGGCGGATGAGGGATGTGCGGAGGACTTGGGCGAGTGTTTTCTTTTGCATTTCCGCCTCAGTTTGCCAGGTTGCGTCTCCTGTCTCCTTGCGGATGCGTTTCGCGCGATCGCGGAGGATTCGTGGGCCGTATGTTTCCCGAAGGAAGAAGAGGCCCATGAATTGGATTAGACCGTCCGCGATGGAGACGCTGTAGAAGACCCAGCGCCAAGAGGTGTTTTCGGCAATGAAGCCGCCGGCGATAGGGCCGAGGGCTGGACCGAGTAGTGGCGCGAGACTGTAGATTGCGATGCTCTTGCCTCGTTCTTCGGGCTTGAAACAGTCAGAGAGGACGCCGCCGCCGACGGCGAGGGGGCGCTGCCGCCTAGACCGGCGAAGAAGCGGCAGATGATTAGTTGGGTTTTTGTTTGGGCGACGCCGCAGCCGATGTTGAAGATTAGAAAGAATAGGTTGGCGAGTTGGAGAACGATTGTTCGGCCGTAGATTTCTGAAAGGGGGCCGAGGAATAAGGGGCCGACGGCGTAGGCGAGGACGAAGATGGAGAGCATGAGTTGGGATATTATTTGGTCGGTGACGTTGAATTGGGCCGCGATGGTGGTTAGGGCTGGAGCTACCATTGAGGAGGAGACGGGAGAGATGAAGGTGAATAGAGAGACTGTGATGGTGGCCGCCCACTTCTTGTTCGTGGGCCAGTTCTTGGGATTGTCGGGGTCATCGGGTCCATCCCATGTCACCTGGAGGGCTGGTTAGAATGGTGCAATGGATGTGACAGAGCTGAACTTACTAGCTTGCCGCCGTGACGAGATTTGGTTGACTTTAACGTCCTTGTCTGTTCTAGCTCTGACGCAGGCTGTTGACCTCTTTCTAGGTCCACATCTCGCTCGTTCACGATCCCGCCTCGTACCTCCTGGATAGTATCGACCTTGGCAGCCTCCAGCGAGGAATCGTCGGTCATATCGTGGTCATCGTCCTCGTGACTGTGATACACTGCATTGTCGTCTGGATATCTCGCAGAGTGAACCCGGTCCAGATCTGCTTCGTCAGGGTTGGACTTGGACATTTGTCTTGACTTGACCGACTCCGCAATCCCTCGGGAGAGCGACGGTGTCCGCGATGCGGGGTCATTGGTATCTGAGCTACCATCCGAGGTAGAATGAGAGCGTGTCGATCGGTGGTCGTAGTCGTCTTTTTCCGACATGGCTGTGTAGTCAATTAAGTCTATGCGGCCATGAAAGTCCAGAGAATGCAGGAATGGAAACAAGATGCGATTCAACGAGAAAGAAGATGCTTGTAGGTAAGAGGTAAGAAATACACGATTCCCCAGCAAAAAGTCAAACAGAAAAGTCGGCAGCAATCTCTATTTATACCACCTTATCACCGGATACCACACTGCCGTGGATAGACAGCATAAGTTCTCCGATCCCTGCACACGGTGATAAATCGAGTCTTAAACCCGCGTATCGATTGAAGAATTCGCTCTCCACTGCCCTCCACTGGCCCCCCATCGATCTCAGTTGTGTCCATCGTGATAGGCTGTACAGCAAAGCTTGACAGCAGACTCGCCGTCGGACCAGCTCCTGGGCCCCGCCAAGGAGTAAAAAATCAGGTCAACGGCGGCCTGAACCGGCATGGCCAAACTGTTTTGGGGGAAAAGCGGAGGCAAAATTGTAGCGGGAACGTGGAAAAACGTGGAAAAGAGACACTTGCAGGGCCGGTCCCGGGATTGCTGATTCATCGTTTCGGCATCTCGGCACGGTCACGTGGATGCTATCTTTATACATGAGGGTTCAACTATGAATTGGGTGTTTGATACTGATGGAGATCCGATAGGGATCTCCCTCGAGGAAATCCCCCGGTCGGGATTCTCCTAGAGGATGATTTCAGGGCCAGGTTGATTGTTCTGCTTCGGCCTATTTTAGGCCTTTCCTTCCCTTGGTTCCTTTCTCCTACAGAGATAGTTCTCCAAGTATTCGAACTATATTGTTCCTTTCTTCCCTGCTTCCTTGCGTAGTGGTGATAGATCGCCATCAGATACGAGTTTCAGTCTTCGCATAAACCTGTTGGTTGATTATACTTCGGAGCAGGTGTTGGCTATTCCATATGTAATACTGTTTTTGGTATCGGCTTCTTCCTACGAATATTATATGCGTGGCGGTCGTATTTGAGGGCGGCTGGATACATATCGTGGAGAGTTTCATCATCCACGAGAAGACATCCGTTGTTTTCTTCCTACATGAAGGTTATGAGCATTGGTTTGTTACCCAGCTAAACAATGTAAATTCATACTCAACCATAGGCCATCGATCTTCGCAGCTACTTAACATCCTTCTCCTGCATAATCATGACAGAACACATCTGTCTAGGTCATTTGCCAACCATCTTACTCCCAGGCGGCCCAAGTGCCGAATCCTTGTAGCCCCCAAAGTCCACCACAATCCTCTGTAGGACCGCGCCCGGCTCAAGAAGCCAGAGTAACAACTCATGCGCGCCAGTCTCAACCACACCCGCGAGCTCGACCACCGATGTCCAGCCATTTGCGATAACCGCTTGTTGCCAGGCTTTTCCTTCCTTGAACGGAGGGACAGTTCACACAGGGCGAACGGTTACAGGCGCCGCTCCGTCCAATGATTATGCGAATTGAATCGAACGCGTGGGGTCATGGTTGTGCGAGGCACCGAGACTAATGATTAGCCTCGCGCTTGAAGACATTGTCGTAGTATATACGGAGGACCATTTCAAAACTACTGCGCGGACCCACCAGCTTAGTTTACTAGCGGTAACTAGCAAAACTTGGTAATATAGCCCCTATTCGAATATCTCCCACCACACACACACTCTCTCTCTCTCACACACAACACCTACCACACCTACCACATCAATCTCGCAATGGCCGGAACTGATATCGCCCTACGTGCGCAGGTTATTTCTAAGAAGATATATACCCACAAGACCTCCGAGCAGATCGCGCGAGAGATTGGTATATCGAGGGCTACTGTTGATCGGATTTATGCAAGAGCGATCGAACGAGGCTTTGATCATGCCAATTCTATCCTTGCTGACGAATACGTGCAAGATAAACCACGCTCGGGCAGGCCACGGAAATCTGATCTTGCTAAAGATATCGCTATATCTAAGGTTCAGAGTATTTCAACGCTAGGGCGATGTTGGGATATTGCGTGCCCATTGTCACATGCCAGGGCATGACTGCGGAGAGTGTGCGTCCGTAATGCTAGATCTCGACGTACGACACGCCGTTCTTCGTCTCGGCACTGGTATAGCGGCTTTGCTTCGATGGAGATGACTCCGTTTCACTCGATGAACCTGGTAAAGCCTGGAGGCACGACGGTCTTGTTGACGGGTAGTAAGAGTTTTGCGATAGACCCATCACGAGCTCGCACTGTAAGCTCTGTGTATGATAGACCGGGCTTTGCAGAACGCCAATTAACAGTGATAAAGCCGCGCACGTTTGATCCATGACCTTGGGAGGATACAGACCCGCGCTCCTGTGAGACCTTCACATAGGAGGTGTCGGAGGAAATAGAGTACGTCGATGTTGTGTTTCTCCCTGCGAATATATCAATATACCTATAACTCTGTTGGCGGCATATAAGGATCCATGGAGATAAGCTGCAATGTTCCCTGTCAAGGATAGGATGCTGCACTGCCTTGAACGGCGACACCTATACCCTGAACACCCTCTGGGTCCGCCACATAGTTCAACGCCGGCATGACATTGGTGTTAGTCACGGGATCGTTCCATGAAGTGTAGCCAAGGTGAACCTGATTCATGACCGGCCTCCACTTGCCTCCTTTGATGTTGTGATATCTCTCAGTAATTGCGGCATCTTCAGCGAACAAAGTCATGGACTTCCTGGACCAGGCGGTTCGTGCTTATCCGGCCCTGCCGATAGCATAGCCCGTTTAACGCAGCTTTAGTGTAGAGATCCACAACGGTCTTACCGGCTAGTACCGGGTGCAAACCCATCTCAAAAAATGAAGCTTGGGTTGCCTGGTCAAGAGAATCGTAAACCCTTTGAGTCTGGTCCAGTAGATCTCTCCATTGGGCCAAGTTGTTCGCTGTTTCGTCGTAGTAGGTCGTGCTGAATGCAAAAGGCAGCTGGCTGAGTAGTTCGTACTTGCGGCGCGCGACAAGGGTTCCGTACTGATTGAGAATATCGGCAGTACGATCGGCAATCCGTTGGTTGAGTTCATTAGCAGCCCAATGCTTGAACAAGTCTGTGGTGGAACTCGAGCACCAACAGCTTCTATGTTGGCTTTTATTTAAATAGCCCATTTGACGTCGTCGCCAACACGTACAAACACCGAGCGCGTGTAGCAGAAGCCGATTAGAGTGATCGATATCCGTCGCTATAATCCGAGGCCATGTCGAGTCATTTGTCTTGTCGGATAGCTAAGCCTCCAATCGCGCGCCGTTTGGAGTACGGAGCGCACTGTCCTTAACGCGTTGACCTTGACACAGGTACCTACTGCTGAGCAGCACATGGTCCAGAATATTCCATTCATTTCATAGGATTGCAAGGAAGACTCGCTAATCTTTGGCTATGAGGACGAATCGATAGTACTTGGAACAAAGCTCCCCTGATTACTAGCCGCGGAAATCGGACATATGCCTGGTATGGTTAAACAGGATCATGCGAGCTTGAGACTGCCATAGCGAACGCGATTAAGCGGTTGTTGTGAATTCCAATGGCATTTTGTAAAGCCTGGATATACGACGAAGCCGAGCTAATGAGAAATTCTTGAAAGTTTCTTTCCAATGAAGGGATTCCCTTCTAACTGCTGGTCATAAAGCGCTAGTCTATATGGTAGTAGATATAATTTGGCGATTCATCTTTGTGAGCTCTCCTCCTTCCTATTTAAAGTTGATGTGGGGCGGTTTTGGTGTCCAATCCTTGGCACTGTGGCAGCTATCTTCGTTGACATTCCTATTCTGGCCTAGTGCCAATTCCCAGCCCTGTGTTCCTGAAGGATCCTGTAGCCCAGGCTGTCAATTTGATGGAAGGGAAGTGTTGGGTTTAATTATGAAGCGCATAAGTACAATGGGGTGCAAATTTTTGAAAATGTTTCCTTGATTGTAGGACTCTTATGCCGGCTGAAAATCCTCTGAAGCAAAGAGTTCAACTCAAAGACTTCAACTAAATAACATGGTAGGTTGCATATCACCCTTCTGCAGCGGTAATTCCCTATAATCTGCAAGCTTAGACTAGCTAAGAACTAAAAGATCTCACGAAGGAAGTTGACGGCAATATGGTGTCTGCAATGCAGGTCATGAGCAGGGGATAGTTCTAAATATTTATATTACTACTGTACCTGAAGGAGCGCCTCGTAAAAAGCCTGATGTTTTCCGCCGTCCCTGTGGATCCTTTTCCCTGTGAGACCTGTCAGGAGCCGAGTGAAAGAGGGAAGTTAGATTTTCAGTCTCTGCTGTACTCGTAAGTATTCTATTCTGAGCCTTTCATGGTAGGTCCTAGATTACGCTGGTATGGTGGGAAGCGGGTGTCGGCGTGATCTCGCAAGATGGGCCCTTTGAGCTGGGCAGTTACCTATAGCCCCATATGTCTTATTTACTAGCGAGGTCCGTGAAATGAGTCTTGTAAAATAAAACACGACTTGTTTACCAGTATAGGAAGCTGGAGGTTTTATTGACGTTTATTGGGTGAGGGTGGGCTTGGCTAACTAGATTTCCCAAGATGGATAGCTCCTATACCTAAGATTCCAACGCACGAACGTGTAAGCTGACGCAAAGTGCTAGGTTGTTAACCTTATACTCAAACCCCTGATTCATCAGAAAAGCGCTCTGTCATCAAATTTAACCCTCGCTACAAGTATATAAAGCCCAGCTGCAAGCAGGACGGTCAATTTTCCACAACAGCACTGTTGCCTTAAAATAGTCTCCTCTGGCATCTTCCTGTTTGTTTCCTTGCTCGGCCTCCTTCTTTCCTTTTTCGGCCTGCTGCTCTCAACATGCACTGGCACGATTTCTTACCAACGCTGCTTGCCGCAGTGTTGGTCAGCCCTGCCAACGGATTTCGCATGCCTTCCAGCACAATTCTGGCATATCTTCGTCGGGACCCGGTTGTGAGCCCGGGTCAAGTCTCGGGTCACGTCCATGCAGTCGGCGGTGCGAGTGGCTTCTACTCCACCCTCACGACGCAAGGCTTGACCAGCTCCAACTGTACTACCATGGTTATCCAGGATGACTTCAGCTCCTATTGGACGGCACCGCCAACGAGACAATGGCCAAATGGTAGCTTCTCTGCTCTGCCTCTAACCGGCCAGCTTACTTATTACCAGAAGGTGAGTCAAGTGGGCAGGTCTTCCGTGAAGTTTCGCAGCTAATAAGTTCCAGCGTGTGCCCGACGCCGAAATCCACATGTACCCGGAAAACTTTCGCGTTGTAGCAGGAGACGCCATGGCCACATCGACAACCCGCAGTAAAGACCAGACTTCTTTCCGATGCATAGTGTTTGATCCGCCCAATATCTATGGCAACCTGGTTACTATGACCGAGGGTTGGAATCGCTTGCCAACTATGGATTGTACAGTCATTACGCTTGCCGTCACCTTTCCGGGTACGTCTTCAATCTAATATCCCGGGGAAGGAGGCTTTGCCGCTGCAAGCTAAATGATGCTAACAGCTAACAATGGTCATTGACAGGGTGTTGGGATGGTGAAAATGTGGATTCTGCCAACCACCGTGACCACGTATCGTACAACACCGGACCGTACTCATCATGTCCGAGCACGCATCCCGTCCAAATCCCGGAACTTACCCTTGAGATGACTTTCGCTACCGAGGGTGCCTCCTGGCAAGACATATACCTGAGCAGTGGCTCCGCAAGTGGCTATGGTATGATTTCGAAGCTTTTTTCGGTATAATTTCTATTTCTCGGGTTAACGATCTCCCCAGGAATTCACGCAGACTATGTGTTCGGTTGGAAGAATGGCGGTGCTCTCCTCAGCAAAGCTATGGCGGATCCCACATGCTTGGGTCAAGAGGACGTGATGGATAAGGGGGACGGCGGGCCCATTTGTAAGACCATGTTCGAACACTTTGATAGCGATGCCAGTCTAGCTTGCGGAGCGGATGGTGTTGTCGATATTGTTCATGAGGAGGTTGGAATCTCACGACCGGTCCCGTCTCTACCCGGATGCAACCTACCCCATGATGATCCAGGCCTTCCGTCCACCAGACCTTCGTGCCCATCCACTTCTACCCCTGTTATAGGTGCGCCTTCTCGCCTGTTGTCGTGGTGGAACACGAACCCCGGACAAAAGCCCGCAACATTTGGAGTTTATGATGCAGCTTCTCTTCCTGCACCTCCAGGAAAGAAGGCTGGTCGCGCTATGACTCCTAATACCGGAACTATGTACCTTTGCACTGGTCAGAACTGGGACGGGCATAAGGAGAATTGGCCTTGGACAAAGGGTGTTTGTAAGACATTGACTGGAGCATTGTATGTCAGACTAAGCATGATCAAATCATCTAGAGAAGCTGCTAACTATTGAACAGTGCCTCGGGCATTGGATCCGCTGGTCCCAATGCTGGATACTGTAATTTCTACGGGTGAGTGTTCTCTCTAACTTGTGTATATTTACCGGGTGGGCAAATTCTAACAAAGTTCTGATAGGGAGGCACATTGTAAGGGCAATGTTATGCATTCTACGACGTACCCGGGATTGAACAACCTTCAAGACTTCGCTGGATCAAGCCTTCGCTCCTTTATGTGCGTCTAGGATTTTGGGTTGACTCTAGATTCTGGTGGTGGTTGAAATCAGAAACATTTCGGCCGGTGAGAAGACCGCGACGCATTTAAGAGATGAGGCGATAAGGTTAGAATCACTTCTACGTTGAAACTACGAGGAAGATAGTGTACTATATTCTTTAACGCATCGTAGGTGTGCTGTATAGATTAATTAATTCACTGACTAGGCGCTAATCGAAGATAACCCACGTGACTGTCTCTAATCTACATCCTAGAAGATTAGCAGTATCCAGGGTTAGCAAAACCTGGCAGGGATAGATATATATAGTGATCTGAGGTATTATGCCGTAAAAGCTGTTAAAAAACCCTTTTATTACTGATAAAGGCAGATTGAGCGCGGATAATATAAGGGGGTTTAGACAGGACCAGGGATAGCTTTAGAAATAGTTCGGTTCGGGAATCGGTCAGAGAGTGTTAGCCAATTTAACACGATATAATTACTATATGAGCGACTAGGCTAGGATGGATTTAAGGCGTTATACTTAAGTAGAGATAAAGATTTAGGGAGAGAATGCTATAGAGAGGGAAAGATATAGAGAGGGAGAGAGGTGTAGAAAGAGGTGTAGAAAGAGATACCAGGACTTGGCCAAGACGGACTCCTGTGGCGATGCCGTTCTTGGCTATGCAATCTCAAATAAGACTGGTGTAAAACTGGAAGGACTATATCCCACCTTTGCTGGTGATGACCTCGGGTCCCTTAAAGTGGATAGGGAGAGGTGGTATGTTCCGCTCCTGGTTCTTCACAGAATGCCACCACAACAGTTGACGGGACTATGGGAATGGGAGCGAACGAGCCCATATAACGAGGTATTTGTCGGTTCGAGTTCGGAAGATGTGTCTCCTACTAACGTTGTTAGATACCTTTTGTTTACTCCTCCCTCCTCGCATATACCCTTTCTCACCTGCGCGACGAGCACACCCGAGAATTTTGGGACAACTACTCGGACATTCCCCAACCAGAAGGATGTCCAGCGAATGCATCTTCTGTAGCGTGCGGCTCCGCCTGTGCTGCGCACCCAGATTGTCTGCAATTTTCCCATTCGTCCAAGAAATGCCGGTTTGAGAATTCAATCCGGATGAGACGGCCCACGCCCGAGAATGAAGATTTTGTATCTGGCTGGGACATGGAAAAACTAATAAGGCTCAAGCTCAGCATAGATACAGAATTTAGCGACTCTTGCACGCAGGCTTCTTGGTTAAGGCGACCGTCCAATAAGGATCCTGAATCGTGGGAATTACCAAGGGAGTACAGTAGAAAACTTCATTGGCAGTTTGAAATAGATTGATTTGTGGACAAAGCAGATGAGCAAAACGGACATCATTGACTTCCATTGGTCCAACAAATAAACAAAACAAAACAAAACAAAACAAAACAAAAAGAATGTGCTCTTGGTCCGTTAGCTGGAAACAGATAACGTTAGTCAGCCAGCCTCTGAGCTTACAAAATATCTGAAAAAGCCTTTAACCACATGGAATCCAGCAAGTCCCGTCACTAAGTGAACGGCCTTTCTGGACTTGTCCGTAATTCTAGACTAGAACAACCCGAGTGGTTAATGGAATTGAAGCATATACAGATTAAAAGACCGAAAGGAATGTTCCGTCAAGCAGGCGATATCACATTCAACAGCAACCACAGCCTCCCGGACTACAAAATTCGGACCTCATTCCGAGAGTCACGAACGAGGAAATGACCAACTGAATCACTGTCTTCGACTCTACAACTGAAATTATTAATAAGTTTAAGAAAGGTATATAGTATCTTCTATAGTAATTTAGATATACTAACGTAATTCACAAGCGAGCGGATCACCCCAAAACACCATACTAAATGCTATAAATTACAATTCTATATATTGACAACGACATAATTTTAGTATGAAATATCGAGGGATTATAATCTTAATGTTATTTCTAGCATACTGGCGTAGTGGAGGAAGACTAATCAAAGTACTGATAGAGATATATATATTTAAGTCTCAGATAGCAAAAATACCGCGTATTTTATTGTAACGTATCTACAAAATAGTCTATATGGCTTGAAAACTATACTGGCCTTTCCTGTGTCTCCCTAGATGCATAATTTAGAATTCTACTCGATATAAACACCTGGTGGTTGAAATATGAATGAATCAAAAGGCGGCATTAAGTATGGTATTTTGGGGTGATCCGCTCGCCTGTGTGATCCGCTCGCTTGTGAATTACGTTATAAAGTTAGCAGTAGATAATGATATAGGTAATATAGGTAAATATAAAGAGATTTAAAAATATTACGAATTCTCTATGATTATCTAAGATCCTATTCCTCTTATTAGTTACTCTAAAATATAATAGACTCAACTACTAAGATAAAGAATTACTAAGTTAGTTAAGTTAGTTAAATTCAACCCTCCTTATGACACCTGGTTGGTAAGGCACCACAATTTCACTCTACAGTACCGTAAGCTCAGGCTGCCTAAGTACGAATTAAGATATAGAAATAATAAGTTACAGCGTTGCTGATCAAAGTACTCCGTAAGGATTACATAGAAAGAAAACACGTGCTGTTAGTCTGGTTATGGCCTCTCGTAAGAGTATAATGCCGACGCACTATGTACTTCGTGCCTTTCGAGATATGATCACCATGGGGTGGGGCAAGCCCTTTGGACCAAATTTCCACGGCCCAATGGATACTTTCTCGGCGGATTTATTTTGAACTCGGCATCTGAGAGCCCGTCGCAAAATTTTCACAAGCCGGATAGCTTAAGGGGGCCACCGGCCTTTTTTCCGTACGCTCTATAAAGCATATCTAACTATAAGTCTTAACCTTCGTGCCAAGCCTTGGATTGACATCTTGATTCTGCGAGGATTGTAATCACACATCTCAAAAGGCGGAATCTTTGTGTCTCGGGTGTACTTGGCTCCTGGAATCTCCATTCTTAGGGGCTTACGAGTCAGCTGAAAAGTTCTCCGAGATCGCGATCCGGCCCCACATTTCCCATCTTGGATCACGCGCTAGCGTGGGCTTCGCGAGTCTTGTCACCGTCAAGACATTTTCTTCACTCCACGCCAAGGCAGGGCCCATCCGATTGTGCGGAAAGTGCCGATATGGATTGAGAGAAAAGGAATTCTCCTTGTTAATCCAAAGCTGATCCGTCGATTTGTGCCGTGCCATCCACATGGTACATCATCCTATTCTCCATCGAGGTAAAGATCAGCGTACTGGGAGATGGGACGAACGACGCAGATAAAAATTGTATGGCGCAAAATGTTGCGTTCCCCTGGTATTAGGTATTATGTACAGTATATACTTTGTGCAGTCTACACGGATACGTGAATCCCAACTATTGCTGCATCCACCTTCATTACAAGTCCGATCACGGCAATCTATGGAGGTTCCAGACATGGGTTTGTGCCCGAACCTCTTTGCAATAGCAGTCTTTTTCAATGATCAAACTTAGTTGAGCTCACTGGCGGCAACCTCGAGGAGATTGTCCTGGCCGAGCGCGTTTTGGGTGTAGCGGGCGTTGAACTTCAGAACGTGCTTGACGGCGTTGTAGCTCTGAACGTTCAGAGGGAGGGGCTCAGTGCTGAGGAACCAGGCAACATCCTCCGAGCAAGGGGGGTGGTGAGGGAGCCCGTGTACTGGTAGATACCGTGAGACTTCAGGTGAGCAGTAAGGGCAGTGAAGTCGAGATGGCTAGTCTTAGTGTAGGTGCCAGGGGTGGCAATGTCGTCAATGTGGGCGAAGACGGAGTCGAAGAGGGGGGTAGAGTAACCAAACTGGGACAGTTCGAAGACAAAGCCAACAACAGCAATGGCATTGTCTATTCAATTATTAGTATTGGCACACTGTGGGATAAAGTTCTACTTGCACATATACAAGTATAAATAGATCATTTTCAGGTTGGTGACAATGGGAACCTACTAGAGTTCTCGAAAACGAAGTGAACCTCCATAGGGTAGTACTCCTCATTGATACGGTGCTCAGAAGGAGTGTGGAAATGGAATTGAGCAAGCTTGTAAGAACTGTTGCCAGCGACGAGGGTACCGTTGGTCAGGACAACCTCAAGGCCGGACCCCAAATTCTCAAACTTGGCATTGTCGGTGCTGGGGACATTGAAGCGAATTGAGCTGGCAGCGGCATAGTCAATGTCCTCGGTGACAATGTCGATGGGAGACTGGTGCTTGCCCTCAGAGCAGGCAGAGTTTGTCTTACTGAGACCGTACCAAGTCAAAGGACCACCAGTGTTGGTATAGTTGAACGAGTTGACGTCAACGGTACCATCAGCGGAACGGGGCAGCAGCGAGGTGCCGTGAAGGCGCGACGCGGTGGCCGAGGCAATGAGGGGAAGAATGGCGGCGGTGACCTTCATTGCGATTGTATTTCGAGAAAAATGCTGGAAGAGATGAATGCTCTACTCAATAGAGGCAGGGCGAGGGAAAGACTGGGTCTTTATACTTCACATCATTCCCTATCAGACCCTATCTATTAACATGAAAAACACAGACTACCGCTGCTAGACTAAGTGCCGCGTTATTAACAGTCTGATGCGAATGTCTCATTGCGGAAATTATCCGTGATAGAAATATCTCTTCTCCTGGTATAACCCGGCATCACCGGGTGGTAGAGCTGTTCAAGCGAAAGGCAATGGATCCATAGCTCATTGTTTAGGTAAATGATCGACGGACCAGGGCTATCGAGAGTGGACCATTATCCATGAAAAACCGAAAGTGGGATAGTACGGAGTACACTGGGCAACTCTTCGTCTTGTACTTTCTCCACATGACGATTTTTGGACCAAGACCTCCTCCGCGCTATGGAGGCTACTTCGCGGTTCCTGTACAGTAATTAACTCCCCACTCAGTGGGGTCTTGGCCCCGATCGTCATAATTAGTACAACCTCTCTCTTCCAATACGAAATACAGTAGAACAGGAGGCCTCTGCTAGATGGCTCCATTACCTTATCTAGATCGGTGTACAGTTCGTAAGTAGGGCCTGTCGGGGGATTTCGGTCTTGGCGAGATTAACTTGAGAAAGAATCTAGCTCGGGTCGAGTAAAATAAGAACCCATATCCTACGGAGTCAAAATGCTGATATTTAGATTTATGTAGATCGGCTCATGGAAATGTTGAGGATAAGTGAACATGCGATAAACCGTGCCAAATATCCTGCCCAATAGGTGCTACCTTTCGTTAGAATGTGTTATGGGTCTTTCAAGTGTTTATCGAGCAAGTCATTCTGAGGTCCCGTCATAGCCACAGGGGTTCCTCGGCATAAAATATCCCGCTGCACTCCACAGTCCAGCTCTCCATTTAGGACCCACCCAAAAATCATATAGCGTGCTGAGAACTTCATCTAGAAAAAAAGCGAGGATTGGGGGAATACTGTGGACCAAGTGCCGCTAATTGATGGGGTTGACCAGTTTGTTGGGTCCGATTCGGAGGCTCCGGGTATCGCTCGATTGGGAAAAGCTGTGTCATTGGGGTTTGTTTTGAAGACAAAGGATCTCTTTTACCGTAATGTTTGTCTAGACGTTCCCGAAAATAAGCAGAGATCTGCAAGGTATTGAGCTTCCAAGACGATCTTAAGCTGTCGTCTCAAGTCCAGAGTGGGGGAAGAGAGCCTGCCAGTACGTACTTCGAGCCAAATGGATAGCACGGTCACCGAACAAGTCTAGATGGTAAGATAAATGTATCGCTTTATGGATAAAAAAAGTTCACTTGGACCGATCATAGTTTCTCCTCGCTGTGCGCCGAATTTCCATCTAGCCATGGTTGTATGGTAAATGCGCCCTCCTTCTCACCTTCCCTTCCTTTCGTTTCCACTCAAATCCCAGTAAAAAGATGAAGAGAATGGTGTGTTAACTGAATGATCGACTCGCATTCGGGGACCCAAGTTGAAATGTGATCATCGTAATTCTTATCCCACTGCAATACCGCTTTCCACAGCTAGAGCTGCCCCGGGACTATGTGGATGAATCATAAGTCGCCTTTTCCGTGTCATCGATGTAGAATCATGGCCATTCTCCTCGAAGACAATGCCAACGGCCAATTCTGCTCCCCTATTGTCAATAAAGCATAGCTTGCTGCTTGAACGTAGAGAGGAAGGGTGAATATTATAGCCCTGGCTGACAACCAAACCGCGATTGCTCTCTCCCGCAATCCTGAGTTTCACATACGGACGAAGCATTTCAACGTGAAATTCTATTTCCAGCGAGTTGTTTTGAATTCAGAAGAAATCAATCCAGAATACATTCCAACCGAGGAACAAGCAGCGGATGGGCTCACCAAGCCCCTGGGACCCTCTCCTTTCACCAAGTTTGCAGCCTCTGAGGAATTGGCACTGAAGCACGCATGAAGGAAAAGTTGTGACCGTGATGGCGCTCTTTCCACTATTTCTCCTCTTCGAGGTTTTGAGTGGTTTTGCTGAGGCTTGATCGATTTGCACTTCAGTATCGCCTCGCCAGCAAGACGATTCTGAGGGGGAATGTTGTTTTGAAGACAGAATTTAATCACTTGATCTTCCAAGTACATCGTGCCATGAATCAGCCCGTAAAGTTCCCTCATAAAGATGTCCTAAGCACTCGGTTGCTTCGTGGGAACAGTGATATCACGACTGTGGGCGAGACGCGACGATTGTAGGAACTACGGTACAAAAAATTACCGCAAAATTGGTGGTCACCGACCTCTGAATACCTTCACGCGAATGAATTTGGGACGATTTAAAAATCTTCATCATCTGCGCCTCGTCTCCGCCGAAGACTGACATTATTTTTTTGGATGGTTGGTGCATTAACTGCGTCTCCTGAATGGTCGGTAGGAATAGCCCTGTAGCTGCCACATCTCTACTGTTTTGTGATGATCAGTAAGTCGGAGCGGCAAAAAATAAGTTGGTCTGAAGTGCTATCGACCGAGAGCCGGCCGGACCCAAGGTACGATCCACTACGAACCGATAGACGTGTTCTTTGGAAATTGGGGGTAGGATGACGGGGAAGAGCTGATATCCGAATTATAAAACTTAGCCGCTTGCAATAGTTAGCACCTCCACCCCTTACTGAATTTCGGGCTACAGTGGAGCATATTCCTGCGTACTCTTGACTGATAAAACCCTGCTTTTATAGCCTCAATACCTAATAATATCACATCCCGATGCAATGGGATTTACGAGGAGACTTCATTGGGAAATGTCTCCCAAGACACTTGGATGAACTCCTCAGATTTCTTTTTCGCTTCGAACTTCGTATGCAGCCACAGTTCAAATTACATGGCTAATCATGGGATATATAGGTATATATAACCTATATATCCCCTGGCCAATCAGCAGATGAATATACTGATAATATATACAGTATATCTAATCAAAACCACACAAAAGATCAAATTGAAATAAAGGAGATCGCTAAATTGCTTATGAATCGATCTATCCTATCTGATATTGAATTTATCGTGGATACTGCTGCTACTAGTTCTGTTATAAACAGATTGGAATATTTCTATAACTATTGGCCTACAAACAAAACTGTTATATGGGGAAAAGCTAAATCAATTCAAATTAATTATCAAGGAAATCTTATAGTTAGAACTAATTCTAACTATATCTATATACTAAGGAATGTGCTATATATGCCAGAACTAGGCATAAATATACTAAGCACAAACTGCCTAGTAGATATGATATCTACATTCTATAATGATAAGGCCTATATTTACACAAAAGATATATATAATAATAAGGATATATATGCTATATCCTATCGAAACGGCCTATATTCTATATCTAATATAGATATAGCTACTAGAAATATATCTAGTAGAACTTGTCGGATTTACGCTGTGTGCATAAACCCTCGGGCGTGTGCTTGTAGGCGCACACAGGTCGATCGAATACCACGATTATGGAAGAGTGACGAAGGTGCAATAGAGGTGGGTCGGCAGCGAAAAGGTTGAACAGTGGAGGGTCAACGCAGTTTAATCAGAATTGCCTTGAGCTCTATTCGTGAGTGAAAATGGTGTCAAACTTATGACATTGTCGTCAAACTTGTTCAATTTAACTAGGGAAACAGGGAGTATTTATAACTTTGGGTACATGGCAGAATGTCACAGGAAAAGACTGATGAGAATCCGAAATAACATAGGGGCATACGAGAGTGTTAGGAAACTCGTTGCTTTTTCCATTTGATGCAGTAGTTGATAATCAGCATCGTATATCATGAAGCGGTGTATAGGGATACAGATTTATGCATCCAATTGCATTAGCGCGCGCATGCATGCATGCGCTCGCTTATTGCGGGGATACGCACACACACACATGTTGACAGAACTACTACATTTACTGCTATCAAGCAGAATAGTCTATGTAAGACTAATATTGATGTCCTTACACCTAAAGGTTTAGAAAGGAATCAAGCTATCCTATCTATTCAAACTGATAAACAAGCTATCATAAAGCTTTGGCACGAGAGATTAGCTCATATAGGGCTAAATCCACTACAAAAGATATTAAAACATGTTAATATAGATATATCCAAATAAGATATATCTAGATATATCGAAGATATCTGTCAAACGTGCCTATTAGCTAAATATAATAGATTGATCAATAAACGATCTTGTGATTCTACCGATTATAATATTGGAGAACGAATACATAGCGATTTAGGTGGGCCTATTAGCCCTAAAACCTATAACGGCTATAAATACTATATAACCTTTCTAGATAAGAAATGTAGATATCTAGACGTCAGATTAATGAAAACTAAAAATCTGGCGCTAGAAATGCTAAAAATCTTTAAGAATCGCTCTGAAAACCAGACGAATACTACCATCAAAGAGATATTTACCGATAACGCTAAAGAATATATTAATAGCGATTTCGCTATATTTATTAGGAGATATGGTATAATCCATCGAAAAACTCCTATATATACTAAAGAGCCTAATGGTTTGATTGAAAGAATCAACCTTACACTACTTAATAAGCTTAGAAGCTTATTAATTTATTCAAAGGCTAATCAAAATTTATAGGGAGAGGCCCTACTAGCTATGGTTTATCTATATAATAGAACACCACATAGGGCACTAGAATTCAAAACACCCTATAAAATATATAGGGATATACCCTCTACGATTAACCATATAAAAATATAGGGATCAATAGCCTACTATCACACTAATAAGCACCTAGCTAAGCTGCAGTCTAGGAAAAACCTAGCTATATTAGTGGGCTATAGTGATTATATGCACTATAAGCTATATGATATAAAGCTTCGGCGAACTATTTGGACTAGAGATGCAGTTATCCTAGAAGGAAAATTCTTGGCTACGCATCAAACTGATATCAATAAAGATATCAATATCAATAGGGATTATACTA